TTATCGAAATCTGCAGAAGGTTCTCGTAATTAAGGGTGACACGTTGGTTTAAAATGCTAAAACGTGACCTCTTTAAAATGCCTTCAAAGTGCGCCAGAATTAGTTTTATTCTTTTTCCGGTTGCCGTCCGCCTTTCAAAGAAATCTCTGATCGAAATGCTTAGTATTGGACATTATATACGCGAGATTTGTGCGCTCTGTTTGGCTAATTTTATCGTAGTACAAATCAAATGTTTTTATGTACGAATACATTTATCGCAGACTGAGCTGGTCAGTCTTAACAGGCCGCATCCATTTGAGTATTTTATGTTTGCACATGATTTTCGGCCGTCAATAGCCAACCATCGCCATAAATTTAAACCATTGCTTGCAAAGCTAAATAGTATTAAGTATTCTTTCTTTGTAAATATTGTCAACGAATGGAATAATCTATCTAAAGACGTTGCGGAGGCTTGAAAATTTTCAAGAACAGACTCTGATACTATTTGACTAGTGTTTTAGGAAATTTCTGAACTATTTTATTGTGAATTTTATTCAAGAGCAAGTTTGCGTTTTTGATTATTTAGGAGAAAAACTTGAAAGGGATAACCTCTTTTGTTTCCTTTTCATCTTTCATTTGACTTTGAATTGTAAATAAACTGTTATGTAAACTAGACTACTTTCGACTCTCTTTGTCATCACCAACCCTTTAACTCCCATGAGTGACCAAGACAGAATTTCTCCTTACAATATCAATGTAATATCAACCGGATAAGTGATGAGAATAAAGAAAGAAAGGATATTCGATTTCTAGAGAAGGTACGCATGCCTCATTGTTCGACCCCAATCTTCTCCTTTCCAAGGCACGGCTTTCCATAAGGTCTCGTGACATGAGCGAACCTGATTTTATGGTCATCGCTCTCAATCAGATCATCGCTGTACGTGGTGAAGCTGGTGAACATAGCAAAGCGTGGTGAGTATATAACATTGTTCTTTAGATGAGGAAAGTTACATTGAGTTATTAATTGGACCAAAGGTTCAGTTACGTAGTAACAACATCTCAGCTGACTCTATGAGATGTGGTGAAAATAAAGCTGAAATTTTGCCGTGAAGATATTTAGCAACTGAAAAAGAAATGAAGCGAACAACATCCAAAATTGAGAAGGCAGCCGCTTATAAATTCGTAGATAGGAGCACGGGCTGGGTCTGTAACCAAGACTGAGTGCCTAATATCTGCAGACGGATATTTTCCCAGGGTGTGTTAAGATTTAGCAGGGAGAATCTTCAACTTGTTTATGCGTTAGAGACATATTTTAAACACGTTACTAAGGTTTGGGATTGCAGAAAAACGCTATTATTCCAAATTGTGACTTACAGAAGCAATTTATTAGGATTTTAAGCGTTTCGGTACCTTTTTTTTCTATCCTACGCCTTACTGAATTTTAGGCAACAGCTTCGAGCATCTGAGATTTCAAGGTCGATAAAGGGGAGGAAAATGAAACAACTGGGTGCTTTTCAGTCTCATGTCCACTATCGATGATAACACGCGCAATATTAAACAGAAAAAAAATTCCTCGACAATTCCTCGCCCACGCTCCTTTAAATCGTGACGATGGCGGTTTGCTTCCTGACGCCTATTTACACCTCGTCAGAAAAAAAAGGCCGCTAGTGGTCATATAAAAGGACCTCTTGTTGCAACGTTTAGATCACCCCTGATGAAGGCACTAGACAGGAGTGTCGAAACGTTGGGTCTATGAATTGTTACTTCTTCGGTTACATTCATTAAATCTGCAAACCAGAGTAGCATCAAACTATGCCTAATTCCTCGATTGTTCAGTTTGTGTTAAGTTGTAAACTGGCTTTTCAATTCGGGAATCTCACCATCCAAGCAACCTTCCTAGAGTCGGATATAAAACTTTTGTTTGTTAATGGTAAGAAAAATGACAAGGAAATGTTACACGCCTTAGTCGTATTAGGTATATAAGTTGCCCAAAGCACATTTTGGCGTGATAAGGGCTCATTTGAAGGAAATGATGTCGCTTTTCAGACCAAACGATTACACCAGATAAGACTTTGAAAAGCTTTGTTTAAAATTGATGGTACTTTAACTTTAGGAGCTTCTCGACAATTACCCATAGTAGTGTGCGACTATTAATAATGGATTTGAGGGCGAAATAAAGAAAGAGGAGAATGTTCATTAGTAGTCTGAAACAATTACGATATAAACGGCTGCTTTGACCGAGTTCTCAATGAAAAACGTTGACAAAGCTTTGTGAGTTTCATATTTCGAAATTTAATTGCGTTTTTACCCTCGTCATGAACAGTCTTAGATAGAAACCGAAATTTTTATGCAAAAACATCCTGTGTTGCGTCAAATATATATTAATCAAATTTTGAACTCCGGATATTGTATTTCTGGCGACTAGTTTCCTCGACTCCAGTTATCAGCTCATATACCGAATCACCTTATATGGAAAAAGATTCAACCAATTTTTGATAAGCTGGATTGAATTTTGGCTGAAAGCAAACATTTCTGCCGTGCATTGGAAAACAAATACTAGTCAATGTAATCGCGATGACAAAAGAAAAGCCAGAAAGAATGATGTTATACCACTAAATGGTACGTATCTTCAAAGTTTCACATAAAAATTTTTCACTTTGGTCTAGAAAAGATATAACGTCGCTACAACAGAAATAAAAGCCGGTTACCTTCAAGCTTTCAGGATGATTGCAAAGTTTGCGCCGAAATTTCTTCGCACTACTAGGACCTTAGTTACAAAAGCTCATCTTTTGAAATCCGCTCGAGTATCCATAATAATGGTTTCTTCCATTCGCCACCGGACTGTTAAATATTTTTAATGTGCACAACGCTTCAGGATACTTCAGGTTTGATACATTTAGCAGAATACCTGTCATAATATGTTTGTAAACCCAGAGCGAGAAATCGAGTCAAGGATATTTAAACGAAATTTTTCTTCGACCTCTTACTTTATTCGGTTCTAGTTTGACGAAACCCTTGAAAGAATTGTAAGAATTTTTTTCGCGTGTAGCATGGTAAGGCGTTACTCGTGCTTTCCCAAATTTCCCGCTTGACTAGTTCCTAACACTTTCTCTTTCTTCTTTGAAAAATAGTAAGACATTTGTCCGGCTGACCTCTTCCTCAGAATAGTTCTCCAATCTGCTTTCATCAAATGTTTTTATTTTAGAACCACTTCAATTAAAAACCCCAGTCTTATTACAGGGACATAGAAGAAGAAAAAAGCAAACAAAAACAAATGGAATGGAATGAAAAATCAAAGATGTAAGTGAGTTTAGAAACGAACTAAACGTTTAAATAATAAACCTGAGTTATAGGTCAAATGATTTCTTTAAAAATGCACACTTCTTAAATCACTTCACAGAGAGAAATCCAAAATGCACAGGATGATGGCAGGAGCCTCAGCAAATCTAGGCTGTAAAGGTGATATGGTGCCTACCGACAAGTCCATTATTCTTGAATCAGTTGAGGAAAATGATGACGAGCAGAATCACACCGAAACGGAAGATGACCCAAGGATCTCTCAAGAAGATCTAGAACGCATTAAACCAAGCAAGCAACGGTCCAACTATCGTCTATTGTGGCTGGCCATTATCACGTGTTTAATTTTGACGGTTTCCCTTCTCGTGGGTCTGCTGATAATTTCCGCGAAAATTGGTCGCAGGTGTGGATGCTCTGAACAAAATGGTTAGGTTTTATTCAAGTTTTTCTCCTTTTTTATTGAAATTTCTTTATATCTTAATTTAAGACCCAGTTACAAAGCTTAACTTGTTTGATTGTGTGTTTTGTTTACATTAACCGTGTCTCCTGCGACGCACTGATTTCTATTTCAGGGGCCCAACACCATAAAAATCAGCTGACTAAGAAGGATTTCCTAGGGGAGAATGAGACAAGCATTTCTGATTTGGTAAGGGACGTAAGAGAGAATAACCAATACGAAAAAGCTCCCTAATATTCTGAAGTAATTAAAAAACAGAGGGGGCATAGTCAGAGGAGGTTATGTTCATCCCAGGACACTTTCCCCTTCCCCTAAACAGAAACACCCCTGGAACTAGCTAACCAAAGTGCTTATCTGCAACAAGAAATACAATAACTGTTCAGGTGAATACACGATATTTGGGTATTTTTATTGAATTTCAAGATTAATACCTCCAATTGTCCTTGAATCAGACATTGAAGTCTACATCGGATAAAAGAAATGATGACTTCACTGAGGTAAAATCACTATAACAGGGGTAACTGTATCTGTAAGCCTCTACTTTCTTCGCTCAGAAATGAATTCGACTTCTTTGAAACGTGTGTCCATCTTGTAACGAATGTCGGTTACTTTTTCTGATAGCATTTTTACCGAGATATCTCTCATGTTAGGGTAATTTAGTATCATCAACTGAGCTGATAACGTAAATTGGCCACCGTAAAGAGTTTTAAAAGCTAAAGATTCGAGTATTAGCCCCTCGCTAATCGCTCTGACGAAGGGCTAATACTCGAAACGTCAGCTCTTAAACTCTTTACAGCAGCCAATTTACATTATGAACTCAGTTGATAATGCTAAATAACCCTGTTATACTCTCCCACCGACGCAGCACCACAGTTTCTCTAGAAACTTACCCCTTTATACATTTATCCCCCATGATAGCTTGAACATCTCAGCTCTGCTATGATCAAAGTGAAGGCACAACGTAAATCTTTGATAACATCTGCTCTATGCCAATTTTACTTCTTCAGTTCTATTTTCAAATCTCTTCTGTTCCATCGTCATTACACATGTTGATCTTGTTTCACGGAAATCTTTGGCAACATCCGTTTCATTCTTGTCAATTTGTCTTTAAATTTCCTTTGTTCTTCATGTTTGTTTGGCATACACATATAAAACAAATACATTTAATATTTCATGCACCATTTGATCGAAGCCCCAAAGTATATTTTTCATTTAAAGTTTCAAAGCAAAAACTACCTAATGGAAATGTTACCAATCGCTTCTTACCGTCTCAAACAAGTAAAAGAAAATTTAGAAATCACGAAAAAAGATTGTGTCTTATAACAGGGTAACTAAAAAAACAACACTGAAGTGAAGTTTGTTTTGGCTTCATAAGGGTGAATATATTTCCGTATGGCGGAGCAAGGTATTAAGAAAACAGAAAAACTAATCATTTATCATCTTTGCGGCTGGAACATTTCAACTCGTCCTTAAACCAGGTAAAATTTAAGTTGACCAGAACAAACAATGATATCTCCAAACTTCACAACATTGTAACAAAGGTGAAATTTTTACTCGATTGTTGCATGCGTGAAACAATATCAATGCAAGATTATTAGCCCCTTGAAAAGTAGTGATCTTTGTTTCAGCTCCACACGAACGAACACATTTCCGAAGGGTAAGAGCATGCTATTGAAACTCTGTTATCTTGTTTACAGCTGGAAAATTACAAGTCATCTTTTAACGAGGTGAAGTCCAAGTTAGATAGATCACGAATTGATCTATCAGAGCTTAACAGCACCGTGATCAAGGTAAAATTGAGTCCACACATATATGAAGACTTCGTAATGACCAGACAAGTTCATTCTAACTACGTTCCTGTTTAAAGGCTGTGAATACAATTATCACTTAACGTGGAAATCCTTATTCATCCTCTAACCAGGTAAAGTCTACATTGGACAGAACAAGCAAAGATATAACAGACCTGAAAAGTAGTGTGACGAAGGTAAACGTTTGTGTAATGTTTGTGCCTGTGACATAGCAAATGAGAAGCTAGAATTTTCTTTGTCCGTTTTGTCTGCTTGCAGTACTTTGATAATATTCCCACAGATTAAGTTATTGAAGTTTGTTACTAAATCCTAAATTCACAGTAGTTTTTTAAAATCTAGCGTTTCTATTTACTTTTCTCGTCATGTGTCTTTAGTTTTTACTATTTATGATTTTCCACTGTTTGGACATCGGTCATTTTCTAAATTTCCATTTTGCATTTAGTTATTCTCAGTTATATTTCTTTCATATCCCACTGCATTCATTCGCACACAAATTCGTGCATGTACTAAAAATCCTTTCGTCTGATCACTGTGATGCATCGTCTTAATCCAACATTTTGCGCTCACGATCTCTTTGATACTTATATCTCCTGGCAAGTTAAGCCACATTTTCCTTCGTGTATAAGTCATAACGTTAATAGAGGTCCCATTTTAATTTGGATACCGCTCTTCCTACGCTAACCAGGTGAAGTCTAAGTCAGATAGAAACAGCGATGATGTCTCGGTGCTGAACTGTACAGTGACAAAGGTAAACATCGTCATCGAGTAAGATCATCAGTGACACGCTTGGATGCTCCTGGTGTGCCACTCTTTTTTCTCATCATATCTTCACATTATATGTTATGTATTACCGAACACATGTACGACTGCAGTGAGCCTATTTGTTAAAAATTAGCAGGGACGTTATCGAGCCAACGATAATATGGCATCCATAGGGTTAATCGTTAGCCGTAAAACGGCCAAAAAATTTAGCTGTTATTGACTGCAAAATTTTGTTGAATCTTTTGTACTTTCCGGAGCAGCATTTGAAATCAACTTTTTAATTAATGTCACTACCATTGGACTCCACGAGGCAAGTTCGTTTTCCTTCCATGTATAGTAATAAAGGTAAAAAGTAAAAGCCTCGAGCTGGCTTTTTTTTCCGCTGTCTTTGTCTCCATTCGACGGAAATAATCGAAAAACAAATAGCAACGTAAATGGAGGCTATTGCGTGATAACTTTCTGGTGATTTTGTACCACGTGACGCAAGGTAACCGATAGAGTCGCGCGAAACTTAATGAGTGGGTTATAACGTTTAATAATGATGATAGCGATCCTATGAAATTTTTTTGTCTCAGCTCGACAAAGCTATTCAAAGTAACTTAAGCGAGTCTTGCCAGAATGTGACCTGGAACTCAGCGTTCGAGGACTGCAAATTGAAATGTTGCTGTTCAGCCAATTCTTGCGAAGAAACACGTAAGTTTCCTGAAATTCACAACCGGAATATCACTATATCAAGGAGTGTGCATGTACAGCGATGCTCAAAAAAATGTTTTTACTTTGCAAGCGAGATGTGCAGCCAGTAGGGACTGATCGTATTTATCTCCTGCAGGGCAAAAATAAAAAATAAAAAAAAGAAAGAAAAAAAAGGGAGTGACAGGATTTGGTTGTGACACTATAAAATTTACCTGATTCCCCTGAGGTAAAGTCTGTAGCCTATTTGCCCACCCGGGTGAAGCTAATCCCGGTTTTCATGTAACGTGAAGTGACTAGGAGTATTACCACTCTCCCTTGGATGGGATGCCAGTCTATCTCAAGGTTACCCCCCAGCATTTCATCAGACTTCCCTGACAATTCGCCTGTACCCATTAATAATCCCAGGTGGAGAGAGGCACTGTGAGGGTTGTGTCTTGCCCATGAACACAACCAAATAACCCGCCACTACATCTCAGGCCACTGCAATCCCCGCCCTCCTAAGGCTCTGTAGTATTCTTATGACCAACCCGCCCCCCCCTCCATCAATGGCAGTTGGTTCGCAGTCAATTTTCTATATCCCCTCTTTATACTCTGTTGGCGTCAACTGACCCCCCCCCTCCGTTACCCCTTGAAAACAATTTGATTGCCCCCAAATTCCTCCCCTTCCCCCCCACAGGCAATCAATAACGACTGGTGCCCTCCATGTTGATGTTTGAATTGCTTTCTTTGTTTTTCATTTAAATATGTTTTATTGTGAGTTTGAGGACGAAAACTTTCTCAAGAGATTAACTAATTTTTCAGTAAGATAGTGTATTATCATTGCTCCCACACTTAAGTCACTTTCGATATGGATCACGAGTTTTTCGCTGCTAGTCTTCTTCAGCGTAGTCTGGCAAGAAACCTTTTGGGTCAAATGGGAGGGAAGTTGAACAATCTAATTCTTACTCTCTGGTTTCTTTTTCAAATTCAAGCCCCAGCCGCTGAAAGTTGTAAGGAGCTGTACAACACAAATGGGTAAGTTCTTTCCATCCAGCAGAACGCATTTTACAATAAATTAAAATTAGAGAATTTGTTTTGATAGTATCCCAAGCTGCCTTGGGTTCGACTATCGCTGCAGGTTATAGAGACTCTTAATCGATACTTTACATATACCTCTTCTTTCAAGAATTGATTATATTCGTTGTTTGTTATTTTCCTCACTTTTCAGATCTGATGTCAACAAGGCTTACCCTCTGAAGCTGGGCAAAAAGATCCTTCCAGTTTACTGTCACATGACAGCACTTGATGGATGTGGGGGTGGTGGTTGGACTCTGGTGATGAAAATGGATGGTTCAAAGGTAAACATGAAACGATTCTAATAAAAATTCACAAAAAGATAGTTTCCTCTCTTCTTTAAATTATTAAAATGGTTCATAAAAATTCTTGTTCAAAAGTGTTCATTTGAATTTTGCAAATCTAAATCTATCATTTTTGTAAAAAAAAAAAGAAAAGTGAAAAGATTTTTAAATCAATTGAGTTCGCGTGTTCTATTCCTGTTCAATATAGACGAAATTTGGAGTAATTGTACTTTAAAAGGCATAAATCACATGCTTCAATTAAACAAAATCTTGTCCAGCAGACTCCATATAACTACAACCTCCAAGGGGAATTAGAGAGGCTCGGGTTGAGGGCCGAGATTTTGGAGGTAGTAACCGGGATCGAAATGGGAAAGGCCCGGTGTTTACTGTGTTTCTATTCATGCATTCGAATTTCATTGTGGTACAAAGATGTTGAGCGAAAATGAAACGTTTTGATTTGTTTCATTAACTAGGACACTTTTCATTACAATAAATTGATTTGGACCAACAAGCTAGGATACAACCCTTCTGCTGGCTCGACTGGGTTTGACGGGAATGAGACAATGCTACCAACATACTGGGAAATGAAATTCAACAGGATCTGTCTCGGTATGAAAATCGGCAAAAAAGTCAACTTCATCGCCATCAACAAGCCAGCTTCCTCCCTTTTCTCTCTGATCGCTGATGGGAAATACCGCACAACCTCACTGGGCAGAGAAAAATGGAAGCTGCTGCTTCCTTCAATTGCCTCACTACAATCAAATTGTAACCGGGAAGGATTTAACACATTTTGTAGAGGCTCTGGCCCCCTTCAACCCAGGGCTCGAATCGGTATCCTTGGTAACCAAGAGTATAACTGCAACGGCTGTGATTCCAGGATCGGTTTTGGTACTGGAGGACATCCTGATCACTGGAGCTCGTGTGGAAATGTGGCAATGCACGGATGGGGAGCAGATAATGGTGGTAAAAACATCAAAACTATGGGCTACATTTTTGTTCAATAACAAAGAAAGCTCCTATTTGGCTCCAAAAGGAGCGAACAGTTTTTTTTTATCAAAAGCAAAGCATAAGAGAGACTATGATTCTCAAGTAATGTCAAAGAATAAATTAATGAGCAAATGTTTTGTCTTGAATGGATGTTTGTGTACTTATCATCCCTAAAATGTTTTTTTGTAGCGCGAAAAACAAAACGTTACAGAGTCAAAGCCGTTAGGAGCGGGGAATTTTGACCTTTATAGAATTGTTTGGTCCGATTTTGTGATGCTCATGAAGTATATGTTAAGTGAAGATTTTTATTATGCAGGGCGTAAGCCGTAAAAATTGGTGGACACAATTTGAGAAACATCACCAGTAATATTCTTTCAAAGAGTTTCGTTCGCACGATATGGCTCAATGTGTCACGTGACCAAATTGCCTCAACTTGTACTAGGGAATACCCGGTGTTATTGTATAACTGGAATATAGTGTCGATCCACCATTGTAATTTTGAAACTCCTCTACTTTCGAAATCCTTGCATGTCGTCTCTTTTATTTGTACAAAATGCCCATTTGAAAATAACTAGGTTTTGTGTTCGTGCGTTTCTCCCGTGGAAAGTCTCACAAGCTAAATCAGAAATTACCTACATTCTTCCATTAATAACAAAAAAAACCTGCAAAATTATATTCCAACGACTTCGGAACACTCCTCAATGCACCTAAAAAGTTCCTATCAGCGGCATAACAAAAATTATCAAACCACAAAGTGGCAAGATAATAGTTATTGCATTCATATTGCTGTGTTTAGTTGAATAGTTGGTCAGTAGTTTCAAATAAATCATTATTTGGAACCAAAATAATGACCCGCTCCCAGTTGGCTTGTTAGGGTTCAAATCCCGCACAAGCCCGATTTTTTTTTCATCAGGCCTTAATTTCACTGCTCAAATAGTGTTCATTACTGCGAAGATCGCTCTCATATCCATGTCAGTTCACATATTTGATTTTCCTATATACACAGTGATTTATTCATCACTTCACGGGTTTATTTGGAATCGACATAAAGCTTGTTAGCTCAATTAATAGAGCACTGTATTGGTATCGCAGAGGTTATGGGTTCAAATCCCGTACAAGCCTGAATTTTTTTTGTTTAGCAATCATGTAAAACAGAGATTTAGGAGTCCCAAACAAAGATTGATGCTATGTACAAAGGAAAATTGAAAAATACCAGCATTCAAGTGTGCTTTGTCTTGGCTTCCTAGGAGCGAACATATTTCTGGAGCGTGTAGCAAGCTATATTAAAAAAAAAACCAGCAAAACAAAACAAGACAGAAAAGTAGTGATCTCTCAGAACCTCACGGCATTTTGACAAAGGTAATAGTTTATGCGATTGTTGTTACGTCTGAAGGTTTTCCTTTAATTCTGAATACTACTGATATTCTGATAGAACCAGCAATGATCTCACGGTACTGAGCTGTACCATGACAAAGGTAAAAACCGTCAAATTGCGGTAAGAACATCCGTGCCACACCTGGCTGCCTCTCGGGTGCCCTTTTTTATTTTTTCTTTCGTTTTAACCACGTTTGGACTTCATCTGTGATTTGCAACTAAACAGTTGCAAGGTAACATGGAATCGTTTTCATAAACGTTCGCGGGGACCTTATCAGGCCAGAGATAAGATGAACTAATTTAATATCTGCTGATCCAAGTTTTTTGATAATAGAAAGAAATATTATTACATTCCTTAACGACTGTATCTCTCAATAATTTCGATTTCTCGTTGTGTTTTTTTTTTGGTTTGCTTACCCGACCCCTCTCGAGGACGTAGAACTATACTTTACAATGAGACCTATATATTCGGATCTTTTTGGTCATCGAGTTGTGCAATTTTAGGGGGCCATGCAAGCGATCGTTTGCCTCAGAGAGTAGCAGCAGAATCCTTAAAAGTATAAATAAATAAATAAATAAATAAATAAAAAACACGAGAAATCCACCGGTCTCGTTTCATAAGATAACAAATAACAGTTACTGTAATGATCTTGTTGGCATCCTTATTTTTTAAGTTTTCTTACCGTTAGCTTAACAAAGCCAATCAAATAATTTACGCATGTCGTGCCAGAGCGAGACCTGGAACCTAGGGCACGATGAGTGCAAACACAAATATCGTTCTGCAACCAACTTCGACGGAAACTCTTCCGCGGAAAAAAGGAAGTATTCTTTAACCTCATGATTGGTCTTGAAAGCATTAATGATTATCTGTGCACGGAGGTGCTTATGAAGCACGATGTTTATAATCAAATTCATTAGTCTCCTTCGGATGAGTAAAGAGGCTTCTTCGTCAGGTGATGAGGTCGCTGATAGAGAGAGAGAAAAATTTTCCTTTTTTCCTGTGACTTCCTTTTTTTCAGCCTTTAAGAGAGACTGTTAGTCTTAAATGATGTCTAAGGATAGATAAATGAGCAAATGTTTTTTTTTGAATGGATGCTTTTGTACTTATCAACCCTAAATTGTTTTACGTAGCGCGAAAAAAAAAACGTTTCCAGAGTCTATTATCAAAGCCATTAACAGCGTAGAATTTTGACTTTTATATAATTGTTTGGCCCGATTTTGTGATGCTCATGAAGTAAATGTTTAAGTGAAGATTGTCATTATGCAGGGCGTAAGCTGTAAAAATTGGTGGACACCATTTGAGGAACATCACCAGTAATATTCTTTCAAAGAGTTTCGTTCGCACGATATGGCTTTGTATCACGTGACCTTGTTGCCTCAACTTGTACGGAGGAATACCCGGTGTTATTGTATAACTGGAATATGATGTCGATCCACCTTTGTAATTTTTAAACTCCTCTATTTTTGAAATACTTGTAAGTCGTCTCTTTCATTTGTACAAAAATGCCCATTTGAAAATATCTAGGTTGTGTGTTCGTGAGTTTCTCCCGCCGAACGCTTACAAGCTAAACCGGGTTCCAAATAAATTATTTGGAACCAACATAATGACCAGCTCAGTTAGTGATTGAGAGGCGTAAAATGAGTTAATTGTGCACGTGGAGGGAACCAGTACAAGAATAATATAACTGGTATCTTTGAAAGACTTAATACACATGTATCCACGAACAACTTGCAAATATAATTTGTCCCTTATTTTTGACGTTTTCAGAGCACCTACTTCTTGATCAAACAGTCTGGCAAACTTCGACTATTATTGTTTCTGTTCTCCATGCTTTTTTCATAAGGGATCGCTCATTATTTATCGCCAACGGGGAGAGGGGTGGGGGTCAATGAATTTTCGTTGTGTCTTGTGTGATCCCCCCATAAGGCTCTGTAATATTGTTATGACCCACCCCTCCCCCCTTTTGCAGCTAATTGACCTTAATTCACCTTTTTTTGTGAAGATTTATTCATGTTTCTTCCTGACGTTTGAGGTTTTGAAGGCTGATGTTCGATGAACTGTACAATGGTAAACGGAGTGTTTATGTTACGTACTTTCCATCCGAAAAATAACATTGTATTAGATGTAAAGATGTGTATATACCATGCACCAAGGAATAGACGAAGGAACCTTATTATAAAGTACAGGATACCTTCGAGTGACGTTTTTGTTTCGAACTTAGATGTGAAATTATTTTCAACCACATACGGAGAGAATTAACAGAATATTTTCCACTGGCCAAAGTGGAAAATTTCAAAGTGATATCTGATAATACGAAAGGATATTCGATTTCCAGAGAAGGTGCGCATGCACATGCCTCATTGTTCGACCCCAACCTTCTCTTTTTCAAGGCGCGGCTTTCCATAAGGTCTCGTGACCTGAGCGAATCTGATTTTATGGTCATCGCTCTCAATCAGATCATCGCTGTACGTGGTGAAGCTGGTAAACATAGCAAAGCGTGGTGAGTACATAACATTGTTCTTTAGATGAGGACAGTTACATTGAGTTATTAATTGGACCAAAGGTTCAGTTACGTAGTAATAACATCTCAGCTGACTCTACGAGATGTGGTGAAAATAAAGCTGAAATTTTGTCCGTGAAGATATTTAGCAACTGAAAAAGAAATGAAGTGAACAACATCCAAAATGGAGAAGGCAGCCGCTTATAAATTCGTGGATAGGAGCACGGGCTGGGTCTGTAACTAAGACTAAGGGCCTAATATCTGCAAACGGATATTTTCCCAGGGTGTGTTAAGATTTAGCAGGGAGAATCTTCAACTTGTTTATGCGTTAGAGACGTATTTCAGACACGTTACTAAGGTTTTGGATTGCAGAAAAACGCTATTATTCCAAATTGTGACTTATAGAAGCAATAGATCAGCATTCTAAGCTTTTCGGTACTTTTTTTTTCAATCCTGCGCCTTACTGGATTCTAAACAACAGCTTCGGGCATCTGAGATTTCAAGGTCGATAAAGGGGAGGAAAATGAAACAACTGGGTGCGTTTCAGTCTCATGTCCCCTATCGATGATAACACATGCAATATTAAACAGGAAAACAGTTCCTCTATTGTTCAGTTTATGTTTATTTGTAAACTGGCTTTTCAATTCGGGGAATCTCACCATGCACAACAACCTTCCCAGAGTCGGATATAAAACTTTTGTTTGTTAATGGTAAGAAAAATGAAAAGGAAATGTTACACGCCTTAGTCGTGCAAAGCACATGTTTGCATGAGAATGACGAATATGAAGCAAAAGGTTCCCTTTTCAGGGGGACTGGCTTCACGAGTAAAGACTACAAAAGCCTTGTTAGAAATTAATGATACTGTCTCTTTAAGAACTTAAGCGAAGAAAAGAAAGAGGAAAGTGGTAGTAAGAGAGCTGAAAAAATTTCGATTTAACGGCTGCTTCGATCAAGTGATCACTGAAACGCGTTGGAAACTTGATTGTGAGTTTCATCTTTCAAATTTTAATTGTATTTTACTCCCTTGTCATGAACAGCCCCAGACAGAAACGGAAAGTTTTATGTAGAAACATATGTGGCTCTCGTCCCTTTGCTAACACATCCTGTGCTACTAAAACATTTTAAAATAAAAAGGAAATTCAAAACCCCTGTTTTTTATCCATTACTAGATTAGCATAGTGATGGTAGACAATACGGTGTCACAAATTCCATATCCAAAGGAGAGATGCCTTGACTCCCTTTCGATGCCAGTGAAATTAGTGACGGTTTTTCGAGAGAAATCTTGACCCACTGAGTAGCCAATAGAGAGATAAATATCTTAGGAAATTGCCATAGTCACCTGAGGAAAGAATATTTATTTTATGAAGTGTTCGTCATCCACAGTTATAGGGCAGCCTTTGGTACACTCATTGAAAGGCATGCATAAGATTGAACAGCAAGACAATTGCTCAAATGTTTCACCTTCCTGTCCAACTCGGGGAGTCTTTCCATTCCCCCATATCCTTCATAGAATAGAAGATATACGCATTATCCTTCTGAGAAAATGAAAGAAAAGTATTTGGTGTATAAGAGAGGGGCTCATTTGAAACAAATGAAGTCGCTTTTCAGAGAGAATTGCTACACCAGATAAGACTGTAAAAGCTTTGTTTCAAATTGACGATACTTTCACTTCAAGAGCTTCTCCACAATTACCTTTAGTAGTGTGTGTGACTATTAATGATGGCTGTGAGGGCGAAGTAAAGAAAGAGGAGGGTGTTCATTAGAAGACTGCAACAATACCAATTACGATATAAACGACTGCTTTGACCGAGTTCTCGCTAAGAAACGTTGTTAAAGCTTTGCGAGTTTCAAATTTCGAATTTAATTGCATTTTTATCCTCCTCATGAATAGTCTTAGATAGAAACCGAAATTTTTATGTAAAACATCCTGTTTTGTGTCAAATATATATTCATCAAATTTGAAACTCCGGATATTGTATTTCTGGTGTTCTGGTGTTCTGACTGGTTCCCTCGACTCCAATCATCAGCTCATATACCGTATCAACCTCTATGGAAAATGATTCAAACTAGTGTTGCCAAGCTGAATTTACTTTAAGCTGAAAGCAACCATTTCTCCCGTGCATTGGAAAACAAATACTAGTCAATATAATCTCGGTGACAAAAGAAAAGCCACAAAGTACAATCATGTATAATGTTACACCATTGAATAGTACTTATCTTCAAAGTTTCATATGAAAATTGTGCAAGTATGGTCTAGAAAAATATAACGCCGCCACAACAGAAATAAAAGCCGGTTGCCTTCAAGCTTTCAGAATGAAAGGACTGAAAGAATTGTACACGACTTTTTCGCAGGCGTTACTCGTGCTTTCCCAAATTTCCCGCTTGATTATGCGATGTTAGCTCCTACAATTTTCTTTTTTCGCGATGAAAAACAGTGAAAAATTTGAACTAACCTCTTCCTCAGACTAGGTCTCCAATTCTGCTTTCATCAATTTTTTTATTTTAGAATCACTTCAAATAAAAGAAATGAAATGTTATGGTATGAAAGATCTAAGTTGCGAATGAGTGTAGAAACAAACTAAACCGTCCTAATTGATAAATTTGAGTTACAGGTCAAATGATTTTTTTAAAAATACACACTTCTTAAAACACTTCACAGACAGATATCCAAATGCACAGGAGGATAGCACGAGCCTTTGTAAATCTAGGGTATAAAGAAGATGAGCTACCCATACTTCTTGAACCAGTTGAGGAAAATGATGACGAGCAGAATCACACCGAAACGGAAGATGACCCAAGGATCTCTCAAGAAGATCTAGAACGCATCAAACCAAGCAAGCAACGGTCCAGCTATCGTCTTTTGTGGCTGGCCATTATCACGTGTTTAATTTTGACGGTTTCCCTTCTCGTGGGTCTGCTGATAATTTCCGCGAAAATTGGTCGCAGGTGTGGATGCTCTGAACAAAATGGTTAGGTTTTATTCAAGTTTTTCTCCTTTTTTATTGAAATTTCTTTATATCTTAATTTAAGACCCAGTTACAAAGCTTAAATTGTTTGATTGTGTGTTTTGTTTACTTTAACCGTGTCTCCTGCGACGGACTGATTCCTATTTCAGGGGCCCAACACCATAAAAATCAGCTGACTAAGAAGGATTTCCTAGGGGAGAATGAGACAAGCATTTCTGATTTGGTAAGGGACGTAAGAGAGAATAACCAATACGAAAAAGCTCCCTAATATTTTAAAAAACCGATGGGGCATAGTCAGAGGAGGTTACGTTCATCCCAAGACACTTTTTCCCCTTCCCCTAAACAGAAACACCCCTGGAACTAGCTAACCAAAGTGCTTATCTGCAACAAGAAATACAATAACTGTTCAGGTGAATATACGATATTTGGATATTTTTATTGAATTTCAAGATTAATGCCTCCAATTGTCCTTAAATCAGACATTGAAGTCTACATCGGATAAAGGAAATGATGACCTCACTGGGGTAAAAGCACTATAACAAGGGTAATATTATCTGTAAGCCTGTGCTTTCTTTGCTGAGAAATGTGTTCGACTTCTTTGAAACGTGTGTCCATCTTGTAACAAATGTCGGTTACTTTTTCCGATTACATTTTTAACGAACCGCCTCCCATTTTAGGGTAATTTAGTATTATCACCTGAGTTGATAACGTAAATTGACCACCGTAAAAGAGTTTAAAAGCTGACGTTTCGCAAATCGCTCTAACGAACTTAGCCAACTTACATTATCAACCCAGTTGATAATACTAAATTACCCTGTTATACTCTCCCACCGACGCAACACCACAGTTTCTTTAGAAACTTACCCCTTTATTCATTTATCCATCGTGATAGCTTGAATACCTCAGCTCTACTATGATCAAAGTGGAGGCCGCAGTGGATGAAACAAAGAATGACATCGCCAAATTGAACAGAACGACATCAACGGTAAAGATTTTACTGTTGCCTAGTTAAGGGTTCTAAAAAATGTCATTTGGTAATTACTCACTATATAGATTACAACATTTGTGGCTGTACCCTAAGAACGAGTGTCGAATTATTCTAAAATCAATTATTAGAAATAGGGCCGGAAACTCTTAAAATGTGTAAGCTTCTACCTGAAGGAAAAAACTGATAATGCCGAAAGAAGTTAAGTGTATCTTCACGTTAGGTTGAAAATCTCAACTCTTCGATGAACGAGGTGAAGGCCGCAGTGGATGGAGCAAAGAATGATATCGCCAAACTGAACAGAACGACAACAACGGTAAAGATTTTATAGTTTCTTAGTTAAGGATTCTAAAAAATGTCATTTGATAATTACTCACTATCTATCATGGAGTAAGTAGCGAGTAGCCAGTTAGATTACAACATTTGTAGCAATACCCTAAGAACGAGTGTGGAATTATTCTAAAATCAATTATTAGAAATAGGGCCGGAAGCTCTTAAAAAGTGCAAGCTTCTACCTGAAGGAAAAAACTGAAAATGCCGAAAGAAGTTAAATATTGTATCTTTATCTTCACGTTAGGTTGAAAATTTCAACTCTGCGATGAACGAGGTGAAAGCCGCAGTGGATGGAACAAAGAATGACATCGCCAAACTGAACAGAACGACAACAATGGTAAAGATTTTACAGTTTCTTAGTTAAGGATTCTAAAAAATGTCATTTGGTAATTACTCACTATCTATCATGGAGTAAGTAGCGAGTAGCCAGTCAGATAACAACATTTGTAACAGTACCCTAAGAACGAGTGTGGAATTATTCTAGAGTCAATTAGAAATAGGGCCGGAAACTCTTAAAAAGTGCAAGCTTCTACCTGAAGGAAAAAACTGATAATGCCGAAAGAAGTTAAATATTGTATCTTTATCTTCACGTTAGGTTGAAAATTTCACTTCTGCGATGAACGAGGTGAAAGCCGCAGTGGATAGAACAAAGAATGACATCGCCAAACTGAACAGAACGACAACAACGGTAAAGATTTTACAGTTTCTTAGTTAAGGATTCTAAAAAATGTCATTTGATAACTACTTACTATCTATCATGGAGTAAGTAGCGAGTATCCAGTTAGATTACAACATTTGTAGCAATACCCCAAGAACGAGTGTGGAATTATTCTAAAATCAATTATTAGAAATAGGGCCGGAAGCTCTTAAAAAGTGCAAGCTTCTACCTGAAGGAAAGAAACTGATAATGCCGAAAGAAGTTAAATATTGTATCTTTATCTTCACGTTAGGTTGAAAATTTCAACTCTGCGATGAACGAGGTGAAAGCCGCAGTGGATGGAACAAAGAATGACATCGCCAAACTGAACAGAACGACAACAATGGTAAAGATTTTACAGTTTCTTAGTTAAGGATTCTAAAAAATGTCATTTGGTAATTACTCACTATCTATCATGGAGTAAGTAGCGAGTAGCCAGTCAGATAACAACATTTGTAGCAATACCCTAAGAACGAGTGTGGAATTATTCTAGAGTCAATTAGAAATAGAGCCGGAAACTCATAAAAAGTGCAAGCTTCTACCTGAAGGAAAAAAACTGATAATGCCGAAAGAAGTTAATTATTGTATCTTTATCTTCACGTTAGGTTGAAAATTTCAACTCTGCGATGAACGAGGTGAAAGCCGCACTGGATGGAACAAAGAATGACATCGCCAAACTGAACAGAACGACAACAATGGTAAAGATTTTACAGTTTCTTAGTTAAGGATTCTAAAAAATGTCATTTGATAATTACTCACTATCTATCATGGAGTAAGTAGCGAGTATCCAGTTAGATTACAACATTTGTAGCAATACACTAAGAACGAGTGTGGAATTATTCTAAAATCAGTTATTAGAAATAGGGCCGGAAACTCTTAAAAAATACAAGCTTCTACCTGAAGGAAAGAAACTGATAATGCCGAAAGAAGTTATATATTGTATCTTTATGTTCACGTTAGGTTGAAAATTTCAACTCTGCGATGAACGAGGTGAAAGCTGCAGTGGATGGAACAAAGAATGACATCGCCAAACTGAACAGAACGACAACAATGGTAAAGATTTTAAAGTTTCTTAGTTAAGGATTCTAAAAAATGTCATTTGGTAATTACTCACTCTCTATCATGGAGTAAGTAGCGAGTAGCCAGTCAGATAACAATATTTGTAACAGTACCCTTAGAACGACTGTGGAATTATTCTAAAGTCAATTAGAAATAGGGCCGGAAACTCTTAAAAAGTGCAAGCTTCTACCTGAAGGAAAAAAACTGAGAATGCTGAAAGAAGTTAAATATTGTATCTTTATGTTCACGTTAGGTTGAAAATTTCAACTCTGCGATGAACGAGGTGAAAGCTGCAGTGGATGGAACAAAGAATGACATCGCCAAACTGAACAGAACGACAACAATGGTAAAGATTTTACAGTTTCTTAGTTAAGGAATCTAAAAAATGTCATTTGGTAATTACTCACTCTCTATCATGGAGTAAGTAGCGAGTAGCCAGTCAGATTACAAGGATCAGAGCTTAACAGCACCGTAATCAAGGTAAAATTGGGTCCACACATGTTTGAAGACTTCGAATGACCAGACAAGTTCATTCTAGCTACGTTCCTGTTTAAAAGCTGTGAATGCATTTATCACTTAACTTGTAAATCTTTATTCGTGCTCGAATCAGGTAAAGCCTACATTGGACAGAACAAGCAAAGATATAACAGACCTGAAATGTAGAGTGACAAAGGTAAGCGTTTGTGTAATGTTTGCACTTGTGACATAGCAAATGAGAAGCTAGAATTTTCTTTGTCCGTTTTGTCTGCTTGCAGTACTTTGATAATATTCCCGCAGATTAAGGTATTGAAGTTTGTTACTAAATCCTAAATTTACAGCAGTTGTAAAAATTTAGCGTTTTTATTTACTTTTCTCGTAATGTGTCTTTAGTTTTTACTATTTATAATTTTCCACTGTTTGGACATCGCTCATTTTCTAAATTTCCATTTTGCATTTAGTTATTCTCAGTTTTATTTCTTTCATATCCCACTGCATTCATTCGCACACAAATCCGCGCATGTACTAAAAATCCTTTCGTTTGATCACTGTGATGCATCCTCCTAATCCAACATTTTGCGCTCACGATAACTTTGATACTTGTATCTCCTGGCAAGTAAGCCACATTTTCCTTTATATATAAGTTATAACGTTAATAGAGGTCCCATTTTAATTTGGATACCGCTCTCCCTACTCTAACCGAGTGAAGCCTAAGTCAGATAGAACCAGCGATGATGTCTCGGTGCTGAACTGTACAGTGACAAAGGTAAACGTCGTCATCGAGTAAGATCATCAGTGACACGCTTGGATGCTCCCGGTGTGCCACTCTTTTTTCTCATCGTATCTTCACATTATATATTATGCATCATTGAACATACGCATGACTACAGTGAGCCTATTTGTCAAACATAAGCAGGGACGTTATCGAGCCACCGATAATATGGCATCCATAGGGTAAATCGTTAGCCGTAAAACGGCCAACAAATTTAGCTGTTGTTGACTGCAAAATTTTATTGATTCTTTTGTACTTTCCGGAGCAGCATCTGAAATCAACTTTTTTATATCACTACCACTCGATTCTATGAAGCAAGTTCGTTTTCTACCATGTAAAGTAATAAAGATAAAAAGTGAAAGTCTTAAGCTGGCTTTTTTCCGCTGTCTTTGTTTCCTTTCGACGGAAATAATCGAAGAACAAATAGCGACGTAACTGGAGGCTATTGCGTGATAACTTTCCGGTAATCTTGTGCCACGTGACGTAAGGCAACCGATAGCGTCGCTCGAAAATTAACGAGTGGGTTATAATGTTTAATATGAATTATTTAAAAAATGTAATTACAATAATGGCGATCTTATGATACCTTTTCCCTCAGCTCGACAAAGTTATTCAAAGTAACTTAAGCGAGTCTTGCCAGAATGTGACCTGGAACTCAGCGTTCGAGGACTGCAAATTGAAATGTTGCTGTTCAGCCAATTCTTGCGAAGAAACACGTAAGTTTTCTTGAAATTCATAACTGGTCTTAATATCTTTATATCAAGGAGTGTGCATGTACAGCGATTCTCAAAAAATGTTTTTACTTTGCAAGCAAGATGTTCAGCTAGTAGGGACTGGTCGTATTGATCTCCCGCAGGGCAAAAAAAAAGGGGTGAAAGGATTTTGTTTGTGACACCATAAAATTTACATGAACCCCCTGAGGTAAAGTCTGTAGCCTATTTTCCCACTTAGGCGGAGCTCATTCCGGTTTTTATGTTGCATGAAACGACTAGGAGTATTACCACTCTCTCCTGGATGGGATGCTAATCCATCACAAGGTTACCGCCCCAGCATTTCATCAGGCTTCCCCAACAATTCTCCGGTACCCATTTATACTCCTGGGAGGAGAGGGACAGTACCCATTTATACTCCTGGGTGGAGAGAGACACTGTGAAAGTAAACTATTTTACCCAAGAACACAACAGAATGACCCAACTAGGTCTCGAACCCAGACCTCCTCGTCCCGGAGTCCATTGCACTGACCATTACGCCACTGCAACTAGAGGCCCCCTCCCCCCCTCCCCGCCAAGGCTCTGTAATATTCTTATGACCCCCAAGTCAATTTTCTTTAGTCCTCTCTTAGGCCTTGTTGGCAACAACTGATCCCCCTCCATCCCCCTTGAAAACAATGTGATGCCCCCAAATTCCTCCCCCCCCTCCTCCCACAGGCGATAAGCAATGACTGGTGCCTTCCCTGTTGATGTTGGAATTGTTTCGTTTGCTTTTCCATTATATACGTTTTATAGTGAGCTCGAGGACAAAAACTTCCTCGAGAGATAAACTTATTTTTCAGTATGATAGTGTTTTATCATGGCTCTCCCTCTTTAGTCACTTTCAATATAGATCACGAGTTTTCCGTTGTTAGTCTTCTTCAGCGTGGTCCGGCAAGAAACCTCTCTTGGGTTAAATGGGAGGGAAGTTGAACAATCTAGTTCTTACTCTCTGATTTCTTTTTCAAATTCAAGCCCCAGCCGCTGAAAGTTGTAAGGAGCTGTACAACACAAATGGGTAAGTTCTTTCCATCCAGCAGAACGCATTTTACAGTATATTGTAAATTAGAGGATGTGTTTCGCTAGTATCCCAAGCTGCCTTGGGTGCGACTATCGCTGCAGGTAAGAAAGACTTTGCATGTACCTCTACTTTCAAGAATTGTTCATTTTCGTTTTTTGTAATTTTCCTCACTTTTCAGATCTGATGTCAACAAGGCTTACCCTCTGAAGCTGGGGAAAAAGATCCTTCCAGTTTACTGTCACATGACAGCTCTTAATGGATGTGGGGGTGGTGGTTGGACTCTGGTGATGAAAATGGACGGTTTAAAGGTAAACATGAAACGATGCTCTTAAAATTGCTTAAAAAGATAGTTTCCTCTCTTCTTTTAATCAATATAATGGTTCATAAAAATTCTTGCTCAACAGTGTTCATTCGAATTTCGCAAATCTAAATCTACCATATTTTGTAAAAAAAAAAGAAAGTGAAAATATTTTTAAATCAATTGAGTTCACGTGTTCTATTCCTGCTCAATATAGACGAAATATGAAGTGATTGTACTTTAAAAGGTATAAATCACGTGCTTCAATTAGCAAAAACTTGTAAAATAGACTCCAAATGATTATAACCTCCAAGTGGAATTAGAGAGGCTCCGTTTGCGGGCCGGGACTTTGGAGGTTATAACTGGGATTAAAAGCGGAAAGGTGTTTACTGTCTTTCTATTCATGCATTCGAATTTCATTGCAGTGCAAAGATGTTGAGCGAAAATAAAAACGTTTTGATTTGTTTCATTAATTAGGACACCTTTCATTACAATAAATTAATTTGGACCAACAAGCTAGGATACAACCCTTCTGCTGGCTCGACTGGGTTTGATGGGAATGAGACAATGTTACCAACATACTGGGAAACGAAATTCAATAGGATCTGTCTCGGTATGAAAAGCGGTAAAGAAGTCAACTTCATCGCCATCAACAGGCCAGCTTCCTCCCTGTATTCTCTGGTCGCTGATGGGAAATACCGCCAAACCTCACTGGGCAGAGACAGATGGAAGTCACTGCTTCCTTCAAATGCGTCACTACAATCAAACTGCAATCGGGAAGGATTTAACGCATTGTGTGCAGGTTCTGGCGCCATACAACCCAGGGCTCGAATCGGTATCCTTGCTAACGAACAGTATCACTGCAACAGCTGTGATTCCAGGATCGGTTTTGGGACTGGAGGACATCCTGACTACTCGAACTCGTGTGGAAATGTGGCAGTGCACCAATGGGGAGCCGATAATGGGGATAAAAACATCAAAACTATGGGCTACATTCTTGTTCAATAATGAAGAAGTAATAGCCCCTATTTGATTCCAGAAGGAGTGAACAGTTTTTTTTTTTATCAAAAGCAAAGCATAAGAGAGACTGTGATTCTCAAGTAATGTCTAAGGATAAATTAATGAGCATATGTTTTGTCTCGAATGGATGTTTTTATTATGTACTTTATTTATGTACTTATCAAGCCTAAAATGTTTTTTGTCGCGCGGAAAGCAAAACGTTTCCAGAGTCAAAGCCATTAACGGCGTGAAATTTTGACCCTTATCAGGAGCCCAGCACCTGCCTTTATAGAATTGTTTGGTCCGATTTTGTGATGCTCATGAAATAAATGTCAAGTGAAGAAGTGAAGATTTTCATTATGCAGTACGTAAGCTGTAAATATTGGTGGGCACTATTTGAGAAACATCACCAGTAATACCCATGCAGTGTTATAGAGTTATGGTATAACTAGAATATAATGTCGATCCACCTTTGTAATTTTCAAACTCCTCTATTTTCAAAATACTTGTATGTCGTCTCTTTCCTTTGTACAAAATGCCCATTTGAAAATAACAAGGTTGTGTGTTCGTGCGTTTCTCTCTCAAGCTAAATCAGATATTGCCTACATTCTTCCAGTAATAGCGAAAAAAAACCTGCAAAATTATATTCCAACGACTTCGGAATGCTCCTCAATGCGCCTAAAAAGTTCCTATCAGCGGCATGACAAAAATTATCAAACCACAAAGTGGCAAGATAACAGTTACTGTATTCATATTGCTGTGTTTGGTTGAATAGTTGGTCAGTAGTTTCAAATAAATAATTATTTGTAACCAAATAATGACCCGCTCCCAATTAGCTTGTTAGGGTTCAAATCCCGCACAGGACTGATTCTTTTTTTTGTTTTTGTTTGTTTGTTTGTTTTTCATCAGGCCTTAACTTCACTACTCAAGTAGTGTTCATTACTGCGTAGATCGCTTTCATATTCACGTCTTTAGCCGCAGTTCACATATTTGATTTTCCTATATACACAGTGATTTATTCATCACTTCACGGGTTTATTTGGAATCAACATAAAGCTTGTTAGCTCAATTAGAAGAGCACTGTACCGGTATCGCAGAGGTTATGGGTTCAAATCCCGTACAGGCCTGAATTTTTTTGTTTTGTCAAACAATCATTTTGTTTAACAATCATGTGAAACAGAGATTTAGGAATCCCAAACAAAGATTGGTGCTATGTACAAAGGAAAATTAAAAAAACCGGCCTTCAAGTGTGCTTTGTTTTGGCTTCATAGGAGCGAACATATTTCTGGAGCGTGGAGCAAGCTATATTTTAAAAAAACCGGCAAAACAAAACAAAAAAGTAGTGATCTCTCAGAACCTCACAGCATTTTGACAAAGGTAATAGTTTATGCGATTGTTGTTACGTCTGAAGGTTCTCCTTTAATTCTGAATACTTCTCTTGCTGTCTTAACCAGGTGAAGTGTGCGTCAGATAGAACCAGCAATGATCTCACGGTACTGAGCTGTACCATGACAAAGGTAAAAACCGTCAAATTGCGGTAAGAACATCCGTGCCACACCTGGCTGCCTCTCGGGTGCCCTTTTTTAAAATTTTTTTAAATTTTTTTTTTCGTTTTAACCACATTTGGACTTCATCTGTGATTTGCAACTAAACAGTTGCAAGGTAACATGGAATCGTTTTCATAAACGTTAGCGGGGACCTTATCAGGCCAGAGATAAGATGAACTAATTTAATATCTGCTGATCCAAGTTTTTTGATAATAGAAAGAAATATTATTACATTCCTTAACGACTGTATCTCTCAATAATTTCGATTTCTCGTTGTGTTTTTTTTTGGTTTGCTTACCCGACCCCTCTCGAGGACGTAGAACTATACTTTATATTCGGATCTTTTTGGTCATCGAGTTGTGCAATTTTAGGGGGCCATGCAAGCGATCGTTTGCCTCAGAGAGTAGCAGCAGAACCCTTAAAAGTATAGGTAAATAAATAAATAAAAAACATGAGAAATCAACCGGTCTCGTTTCATAAGATAACAAATAACAGTTACTGTAATGATCTTGTTGGCATCCTTATTTTTTAAGTTTTCTTACCGTTAGCTTAACAAAACCAATCAAATAATTTACGCATGTCGTGCCAGAGCGAGACCTGGAACCTAGGGCACGATGAGTGCAAACACAAATCTCGTTCTGCAACCAACTTCGACGGAAACTCTTCCGCGGAAAAAAGAAAGTATTCTTTAACCTCATAATTGGTCTTGAAAGCATTAATGAATGTCTGTGCACGGAGGTGCTTATGAAGCACGATGTTTATAATCAAATTCATTAGTCTACTTCGGATGAATAAAGAGGCTTCTTCGTCAGGTGATGAGGTTGCTGATAGAGAGATAGCAAAATTTCCCTTTTTTCCTGTGACTTCCTTTTTTCATCCTTTAAGAGAGACTGTCAGTCTTAAGTGATGTCTAAGGATAGATAAGTGAGCAAATTTTTTTCCTTCAATGGATGCTTTTGTACTTATCAACTCTAAGATGTTTTACGTAGCGCGAAAAAAAAATGTTTCCAGAGCCTATTATCAAAGCCATTAACAGCGTAGAATTTTGACTTTTATAGAATTGTTTGGTTCGATTTTGTGATGCTCATGAAGTAAATGTTTAAGTGAAGATTGTCCTTATGCAGGGCGTAAGCTGTAAAAATTGGTGGACACCATTTGAGGAACATCGCCAGTAATATTCCTTCAGAGAGTTTCGTTCGTACGATATGGCTTTGTGTCACGTGACCTGGTTGCCTCAACTTGTACTGGGGAATACCCGGTGTTATTGTATAACTGGAATATATAATGTCGATCCACCTTTGTAATTTTTAAACTCCTCTATTTTTGAAATACTTGTAAGTCGTCTCTTTTATTTGTACAAAATGCCCATTTGAAAATATCTAGGTTGTGCGTCCGTAAGTTTCTCCCGCCGAACGCTTACAAGCTAAACCGGGTTCCAAATAAATTATTCGGAACCAACATAATGACCAGCTCAGTTGGTGATTGAGAGGCGTAAAATGAGTTAATTGTACACGTGGAGGGAACCAATACAAGAATAATATAACTGGTATCTTTGAAAGACTTAATACACATGTATCCACGAACAACTTGCAAATATTAATTTGTCCCTTATTTTTGACATTTTCAGAGCACCTACTTCTTGATCAAACAGTCTGGCAAATTTCGACTATTATTGTTTCTGTTCTCCATGCTTTTTTCATAAGGGATCGCTCATAATTTATCGCCAAAGGGGAGAGGGGTGGGGGTCAATGAATTTTCGTTGTGTCACAGTAAACACTGATCCCCCCATAAGGCTCTGTAATATTGTTATGACCCACCCCTCCCCTCTTTTGCAGCTAATTGACCTTAATTCACCTTTTTTTGTGAAGATTTATTCATGTTTCTTCCTGACGTTTGAGGTTTTGAAGGCTGATTTTCGATGAACTGTACAGTGGTAAACGGAGTGTTTACGTTACGTACTTTCTATCCGAAAAATAACATTGTATTTTGCTTTCTTAAGGAAGCGATACGCCTTTCCCAAAGATATTCATATACCATGCGCTAAGGAATAGACAAAGGAACCTTATTATAAAGGACAGGATACCTTCGAGTGACATTTTTACTTCGAACCTAGATGTGAAATTATTTTCAACCATATACAGAGAGAATTCACAGAATATTTTCCACTGGCCAATTTAAACATGGAATTTCAAAGTGATATCTGATAATACGAAGGGATATTCGATTTCCAGAGAAGGTACGCATGCCTCATTGTTCGACCCCAATCTTCTCCTTTCCAAGGCACGGCTTTCCATAAGGTCTCGTGACATGAGCGAACCTAATTTTATGATCATCGCTCTCAATCAGATCATCGCTGTACGTGGTGAAGCTGGTGAACATAGCAAAGCGTGGTGAGTACATAACATTGTTCTTTAGATGAGGAAAGTTATATTGAGTTATTAATTGGACCAAAGGTTCAGTTACGTAGTAACAACATTTCAACTGACTCTATGAGATGTGGTGAAAATAAAGCCGAAATTTTGTCCGTGTAGATATTTAGCAACTGAAAAAGAAATGAAGCAAACAACATCCAAAATGGAGAAGGCAGCCGCTTATAAATTCGTGGATAGGAGCGCGGGCTGGGTCTGTAACTAAGACTGAGCGCCTAATATCTGCAGACGGATATTTTCCCAGGGTGTGTTAAGATTTAGCAAGGAGAATCTTCAACTTTTTTATGCACTAGAGACGTATTTCAGACACGTTACTAAGGTTTGGGATTGCAGAAAAACGCTTTTATTACAAATTGTGACATATAGAAGCAATGGATCAGCATTTTAAGCTTTTCGGTACCTTTCTTTTTTCAATCCTGCGCCTTACTGGATTTTAAACAACAGCTTCGGGCATCTGAGATTTCAAAAAGATAAAGATAAAGGGGAGGAAAATGAAACAACTGGGTGCGTTTCACTCTCATGTCCACTATCGATGATAACACATGCAATATTAAACAGAAAAACAATTCCTCGATTGTTCAGTTTATGTTTAGTTGCAAACTGGCTTTTCAATTCGGGGAATCTCACCATGCACAGCAACCTTCCTAGAGTCGGATAAAAACTTTTTTTTGTTAATGGTAAGAAAAATGAAAAGGAAATGTTACACGCCTTAGTCGTGCAAAGCACATGTTTGCATGAGAATGACGAATATGAAGGAAAAGGTACCCTTTTCAGAGGGACTGGCTACACGAGTAAAGACTACAAAAACTTTATTAGAAATTAACGATACTATCTCTTTAAGATCAGTGATGAATGCACGAGCGAAGAAAAGAAAGAGAGGGGGGTAGTGAGAGGGCTGAAAAAAATTTCGATTTAACGACTGCTTCGATCAAATGATCACTGAAACACGTCGGAAACGTGATTGTGAGTTTCATCTTTCGAATTTTAATCGTATTTTATCCCTTGTCATGAACAGCCCCAGACAGAAACGGAATGTTTTATGTGGAAACATATGTGGCTCTCGTCCCTTTGCTAACACATCCTGTGCTACTAGAACATTTCAAAATAATAAGGAAATTCAAAACCCCTGTTTTTTATCCATTACTAGATTAGCATAGTGATGGTAGACAATACGGTGTCACAAATTCCATATCCAAAGGAGAGAGATGCACTGACTCCCTTTCGGTGCCAGTGAAATTAGTGACGGTTTTTCGAGAGATATCTTGACCCGCTGAGTAGCCAATGGGAGATAAATATCTTAGGAAAGAATATTTATTTTATGAAGTGTTCGTCATCCACATTTATCGGGCAGCCTTTGTTACACTCATTGAAAGGCATGCATAAGATTGAACAGCAAGACAATTGCTCAAATGTTTCACCTTCCTTTCCAACTCCGGGAGTCTTTCCATCCCCCGTATCCTTCATAGAATAGAAGATATACCCATTATTCTTCTGAGAAAATGAAAGAAAAGTATTTGGTGTATAAGTCGCCCAAAGCATATTTTTTGCGCGAGAGGGGCTCATTTGAAACAAATGAAGTCGCTTTTCAGAGAGAATTGCTACACCAGATAAGACTGTAAAAGCTTTGTTTCAAATTGACGATACTTTCACTTTAAGAGCTTCTCCACAATTACCCATAGCAGTATGTGACTATTAATGATGGCTTTGAGGGCGAAGTAAAGAAAGAGGAGAGTGTTCATTAGAAGACTGAAACAATGCCAATTACGATATAAACGGCTGCTTTGACTGAGTTCTCATTGAAAAACGTTGTTAAAGCTTTGCGAGTTTCATATTTTGAATTTAATTGCGTTTTTACCTTCGTCATGAACAGTCTTAGATAGAAACCGAAATTTTTATGTAAAGCATCCTGTGTTGTGTCAAATATATATTCATCAAATTTGAAACTCCGGATATTGTATTTCTGGTGTTCTGGTGTTCTGTCTGGTTCCCTCGACTCCAATCATCAGCTCATTCACCGTGTCACCCTCTATGGAAAATGATTCAACCTAGTGTTGCCAAGCTGAATTTACTTTTAGCTGAAAGCAACCATTTCTCCCGTGCATTGGAAAACAAATACTAGTCGATGTAATCTCGGTGACAAAAGTAAAAGCCACAGAGTACAATCATGTATAATGTTACACCATTGAATAGTACGTATCTTCAAAGTTTCATATGAAAATTGTGCACTTATGGTCTAGAAAAAATATAACGCCGCCACAATAGAAATAAAAGCCGGTTACCTTCAAGCTTTCAGGATGACTGCAAAGTTTGCACTGAGATTTCTTCGCACTACCAGGACCTTTTGTTACAAGGCTCACCTTTTAAATCTGTTCGAGTAGCCATAATAATGGTTTCTTCCAGTCGATACCGGACAGTTAAATATTTTTAAATGAGCACAACGCTTCAGGATACTTGAGGTTTAATACATCTAGCAGAATACCTGTCTTAGTAAGTTTGTAACTCGTAACTCGTATACTCAGGGCAACGAAAGTTGTCTCCGATCACTTACTTTGTTTGGTTCTAGTTTAACTAAACCCTTGAAAGAGTTGCACACAACTTTTTTGCAGGCGTTACTCGCACTTTCCCAAATTTCCCACTTGATTATACGATGTTAGCACCTACAATTTTCTCTTTCCTCGATGAAAAACAGTAAAAAATTTGAACTAACCTCTTCCTCAGACTAGGTCTCCAATTCTGCTTTCATCAAATTTATTATTTTAGAATCACTTTCAGTAAAAACCCAGGTGTTATTACAGGGACAAAGAAGACGAAAAAAAAAGAAGAAATGCTATGGCATGAAAAATCAAAGTTGTAAATGAGTGTAGAAACAAACTAAACCGCTATAATTGATAAATTTGAGTTACAGGTCAAATGAGTTCTTTAAAAATACACTCTTCTGAAAACATTTCACAGACAGATATCCAAAATGCACAGGAGGATAGCACGAGTCTTGGCAAATCTAGGCTGTAAAGAACATCAGGTGCCTTCCGATAAGCCCATGCTTCTACAATCATTTGAGGAAAATGCTGACGAGCAGAATCACACCGATACGGAAGATGACCCAAGGATCTCTCAAGAAGATCTAGAACGCATAAAACCAAGCAAGCAACGGTCCAACCATCGTCTATTGTGGCTGGCCATCGTCACGTGTTTAATTTTGATGGTTTCCCTTCTAGTGGGTCTGCTGATGATGTCCGAGAAAATTAATCGCAGGTGTGGATGCTCTGAACAAAATGGTTAGGTTTTATTCAATTTTTTTCTCCTTATTTTATTGCAATTTCTTTATATTTTGATTTAAGGCCCACTTACAAAGCGTAAATTGTATGAGTGTGTGTTTTGTTTACTTTAATCCTTTCACTCCCAAGATCTCATCAGTGATTCTCCTTACTGTCTGCCAGATAGTTCTTGTGATGTTAGTTTGAAGAATTTGGTATTTGATCAACTAATAATCCTCTAACTATTGTTTATCTGTTATTCTCATCACTTTTCTGCTTGATATCGTATTGATATTGTATTGATATTGTATTGATATTGTATTGATATTGTATTGATATTGTATTGATATTGTATTGATATTGTATTGATATTGTATTGATATTGTATTGATATTGTATTGATATTGTATTGATATTGTATTGATATTGTATTGATATTGTATTGATATTGTATTGATATTGTATTGATATTGTATTGATATTGTATTGATATTGTATTGATATTGTATTGATATTGTAAGGAGAAATTCTGTCTTGGTCACCAATGGGAGTTGCAGGGTTTACCTTGTCTCCTGCGACAGACTGTTTCTATTTCAGGGGTCCGACACCATAAAAATCCACTGACTGGGAAGGATTCCCTAAGAGAGAATGAGACAAGTATTTCTGATTCGGTAAGGGATCTAACAGAGTAACCAATACGAAACAGCTCGCTAATATTCTGAAGTAATTAAAAAACTGAGGGGGCACAGTCAGGTTAACAGCTAACCCAAGTGCTTATCTGTAACAAGAAATACAATAACTGTTCAGGTGAATATGGGACATTTGGGTATTTTTATTGAATTTCAAGATTAATACCTCCAATTGTCCTTGAATCAGACATTGAAGTTTTATATTGAATTAACGAAATGATGACTTCACTAAGGTAAAAGCACTATAACAAGGGTAACTGTATCTGTAAGCCTCTGCTTTCTTTGCTCAGAAATGTGTTCGACTTCTTTGAAACGTGTGTCCATCTTGTAACTAATGTCGGTTACTTTTTCCGATTACATTTTTAACGAACCATCTCCCATTCTAGAGTAATTTAGTATTATCACCTGAGTTGATAATACTATATTACCCTGTTATACTCTTCTACCGACGCAGCACCACAGTTTCTTTAGAAACTTACCCCCTTTATTCATTTATCTCCCATGATGGCTTGAATACCTCAGCTCTGCTATGATCAAAGTGAAGGCCGCAGTGGATGAAACAAAGAATGACATCGCCAAATTGAACAGAACGACAATAACGCTAAAGATTTTACAGTTTCTTAGTTAGGGATTCTAAAAAAATTTCGTTTGGTAATTACTCACTGTCTATCATGGAGTAAGTAGCGAGTAGCCAGTCAGATTGCAACATTTGTAGCAGTACCCTAAGAACGAGTGTGGAATTATTCCAAAATCAATTATGATAAATAGGGGCAGAAACTGTTAAAATTTCTAAGCTTCTTCCTGAAGAAAAACTGGAAATGCCGAAAGAAGTTATGTGTTGTATCTTTATCTTCACGTTAGGTTGAAAACCTCAACTCTGCTATGAACGAGGTGAAGGCTGCATTGGATGGAACAAAGAGGGACCTTGCTAATCTTAAAGAAACTGTTACAACGGTAGAGACCTCACTTATTATCAACATTTATTTTCTGAAGACATTTTTCTATTCATTCGTTTAGTTCTACCTGCCATATTTATCATTGGTCCCTTTTCCAAGTTGAAGAAATTTCCTTACAACCAACAACGGAAATCTTTGGTAACATTTACTTAATACCGATTTTACTTCTTCAGTTTTATTTTCAAATCTCTTTTGTTTATGGTGCTATGTAAGAAAGAAAACAGCATTCAAGCGTCCTTTGTTTAGGATTCATAGGGGCGAGTATATTTCTGGAGGGTAGAGCAAACTATATCTAATAAAACCGGCAAAACAAACAAGCAATGATCCCTTAGAACTTCTCGGCACTTTGATTAAGGTAATAGTTTATGCGATTGTTGCCGTGTGTAAAGGCGCTCTTTTCTGATTACTTCTCTTGCCGTCTTAATCAGGTGAAGTGCGCGTCAGATAGAACCAGCAATGAACTCGCGGTACTGAACTGTACCATGACAAAGGTAAAATCGTCAAATTGCGGTAAGAACATCCGTGCCACACCTGACTGCCTCTCGGATGCCCTTTTTTCTTTATTTAACCACATTTAGACGTCAACTGTGATCTGCTACTAAACAGTTGCACGGTAACCGTGACATGGAATCTATTTGACAAACGTTAGCAAAGACATTATCGGTCTGGCGATAAGATAAAGTGATTTATTGTCGATTTATCCAAGTTTCTTGATAATGGAAAGAAAGATAATAACATTCCTCAACGACTATTTCTCTCAATGATTTCGATTTCATGTTGTGTTTTTTTCGGCTTGCTTATCCGACCCCTTCCGTGGACGTAGAACTACAGTGCACAACGAGACCTAAATATTCGAATCTTCTGGTTCATCGAGTTGTGCAATCATAGGGGGCCATGCTATGCGATCGTTTGGATCAGAGAGTAACAGCAAAATCTTTAAAAGTATATAAGGAAAAAAAAAACACCAGAAATCAACCGGTATCGTTACATATAGTTAACAAATAACAGTTACTGTAATGATCTTGTTGGTACCCTTATTTTTAAAACTTTCTTACCCCTAGCTTAACAAAGCCAATCTAAGTAATTTACGCATGTCGTGCCAGAACGAGACCTGGAACGCAGGGCACGATGAGTGTAAACACGAATCACGTTCTGCAACCAATTTCAGTGGAAAATCTTCTAAGGAAACACGTAAGTATGGTCTTTGTGGTAGAGCTTCAATGATGTACGGAGGTGCCCATGAAGCACCATGTTTATAATCAAGTTCATTTGTCTACTTTCGATGAAGAAAGAGGGTTCTTCGTCAGGTGATGAGGTCACTGATAGAGAAAGATCAAAATTTCCTTTGCTTTCTTCTGATTTCTTTTTTTCAACCTTAAAGCCCCAGCCGCTAAAAGTTGCAAGGAACTGTACAACAGAAATGGGTAAGTTTATTTCCTTTCGCAAAATCCGTTTTACAATGATCTAAAAACCCTGCAGCAGCTGAGTAGAGAATGTGTTTTTGCTCCTATCCAAAGCTGCCTTCAGCGCGATTTTCGTTGTGAGGTATTAAGACTCCGAATCAAACCTTCGAACCTACCTCTTCTTTTAAGAATTGTTTAATTACACTCTTTTCATGTCATTTTCTACAAATTCAGATCTGACGGTAACAAGGAATACCCGTTGAAGCTTGGTAAAAGGATCCATCCTGTTTACTGTCACATGACAGCTCTTAATGGATGTGGGGGTGGTGGTTGGACTCTGGTCATGAAGATGGATTGTTCCAAGGTAAACATGAAACAGGGCATAGGGTAAAATGTAGAGGACTATTTTTTGACAATTTTTTTGGACCATTTTTTTTTTGGACTATTTTAAAGGGGAGAGGAAGCACACCGTTAGTGCTGAGGGAGGGGTGGGAGGTAGAGTGTTATTACTCATGGAGGAGTGGGAGGTTTCACTCGATCGTACAAACTATTCTAATTGGTTTTTCGACTGATTTTTGTATGTCAAAATTTTAGCGCTGGGCCGCGGCATTTCTTAATTTTTTTGTCATGCGACAGCGAAATTGCTACGTAAACACTGGAATTCTACGTTTTGCCGACAGAAACCATCGGCAAGCAACAGTAGCCACCATAGTTCCACTTCGCAGGTTTCGTAGGTTTTTTACGCAAGAAGTGATCGGCAGCAGCCCAGGCAAATTGGAAAACAAACCTAACGGAGTCGCGAGGAATACTGGTCGCGATTTCCGGTGTCGATGATTAACTCCTTTGTTTGCAAAATAGATGAAATCGATATTTGCACTTTCTCATTATGCAAGAACAGCAGTGTTTTTGGTCGATTCGAGAACAAGGATTCCTTTTCGAAATCGTTCGCTGATGATTTGTACAGTAAAGGTATAAACTTTAAAATTGCGATAGCGCTTGTGAATTCTTTATGTTGCTAAGTTAAGGGCTGAGGACCGGAAATTCCGTGATCTCGTTTGATAAGATCAATTACAAAAGGAAGATAGATCAATTTAGTAATTGCATACTGTATACAAAAAGAGAAACGTAAAGCAACTGACGGTACACATGGCGCACGCATATCTCGACAGTGGAGGATCGAACACGCGATATTTTCAATAAAAATTAAAGTCCACTGTTTACGTGGCAGTTTCGCTTTAGCATGAAAAAAAAATGAAGAAACGCCGTGGCCCAGCGCTAAAATTTTGACATACAAAAAGTCAGTCGAAAAATCGATGAAAATAATTTGTAAGATCGAGTAAAAGCTTCATTAACCAGTAGTGTTTACTATTACAACCACCTCCCACCCCTCCTTGCGTAGTAATAGTCCGTCTCTCATCAACTCCCCAAGTACTAACACTCTGCCTCCCACCCCTCCCTTAGTACTGATAGACTGCATCCCACCCCTCCCTGAGAACTAATGGTGTGCTTCCCTCCCTCCAACTATAAAATGGTTCAAAAGATGGGTTAAAAAATGGTCCCAAAAAAACGGTCCAAAAAATTGTCCAGTCCATATTTTACCCTATGCCCGTGGAACAGTGTTGATAAAAATGCACAAATGCACTAATCGTAAGCAATTTAATGGTTCTTAAAATAATTATTTTTCTGGCACCGTTATTTGAAACTGGCAAATCTAAATCTATCATGATTGCAAAATAGTCCTGGAAAAGATTTTTTGAATCAATTGAGTTTACGTGCCCTGTTCAGAAATAGATAAAATTAGAGAAAAAATATGATTGTATTTTAAAAGTTATCGATTACATGGCGCGAGTGAAACAAAAAAATGCCCCTTCAAAGAAAATTAGAGAAGCTCGAATTATAGTGAGTGGGAAGGCACTATATCAACTGAAATTAGAGGGGGAAAATTGCCTACTGTTTTTTTTTCCATTCATGCAGTGCAGATATTTCTCGTCCTCAAATTCCACTTAAGTAAAGATGTCAAGCGGGGAAAAAACATTTTGATGATTTGATTTTGTTTATTAGAACACCTTTCATTATAATCAATTAATTTGGAGCAACAAGCTGAAATACAACCCTTTTTCTGGGAAGACTGGGTTTGACAGACGAGAGACCATGTTGCCAACTTACTGGGAAACTGAGTTCACCAGGATCTGTCTCGGTATGAAGAACGGCAAAGAAATCAACTTCATCGCCATCAACATAACGGCTTCCTCCCTGTTCTCTCTGATCGCTGATGGGAAATACCACCCAACCTCTTTGGGCCGAGACAAATGGAAGTCGCTACTCCGCTCAAACGCCTCACTACAATCAAATTGCACCCGGGAAGGATTCAACGCATTTTGTGCGGGTGGTGCCTTTAAATCCAGGGCTAGAATCGGTATCATTGCTAGCCAAGAAAATCATCGTCACAGCTGTGATTCCAGGATCGGTTTTGGCACAGGAGGTCATCGTGGTCACTCGAACGCCTGTGGAATCATGGCACTGGGTAAATCGGCAGAAGATGATGGGCACAAAAACATCAAGACCATGGGATTCATTCTCGTTCAATAATGTAGTAGTAATAGCCCCTAGCTGGTTTTTTTTAAGTAAACTCTCGGGTATTTTTTCTTAGACAAAATGTGTTCTTAGAAACGAACATTTTATCAAAAGCAAGGCTCAATTTAAGGTGGTAGAGGATAGTGTCCGCAGACAACTACCCAAGCATGTTTTTATTTTTATCTTCAACAGCTTCGCTGCACGTGCTTAGACAAATTAAATTGCTTGCACGTGATAATATTTGATGAATTATAAAATGTGATAACTTAAGAAATTTTCAATTGTCGTTGAGTCCTAATTTTGTATAACGCCATGTAGAAAATTGAGTCGGCGGTACTCGGAGTAATTTACCAAAGTAAACCAAGAATATTTGAAATTTGACTGGGTGTAATTTTTCGAGGTTATCATGGACTACGAGCAGTACCGCCTTTTTGGTTAAGTCCTTTACGTGAATAGAAGAACATCAGTGAAAAAAAAAATCGTTGTTAGTCTGCCTGGCAGAACTCTGGAACTGAGGCCTGAGGCGCTCAAAAAGTAGAAAAGAAAAGTCATTGAAAGATATCCTGGTTAGAGATAAACTTTGAAGGGAGAATATTTCAAATCGCTTTCAAATGGCATGAGTCGTGCAGGCCCGTCAACACTTTTAAACTACCTCGGAACAAACAGCTCTTGTCAATGCCAAAATTATGAAGAAAGGAGGACTTGGTTAGAACAGTTTTTGTGAGTCTGAAGGTATAAGGGCGCGTGCTTCGGCCACGTCAACTTATCTTTGTCTTTCTTTTTATTTTATTTTCTTTCCTTTTTCCTTTTTGGATAGATAGTTTATTTAAATATACCTAGCAGCCTTGCGCCTCATCCCCAAAGTTCCAAGAGTAAACTGTTATAAAGTTTATCGCTGTTGTCAAATTTGCTGTGCTTTACTTTCTCTGCCTTTGATTACAACTTCCGTATTGTAGTAAAAAAGCAATGTGGTTTAAAATGCAGAGGGGTCGGAATAAACAGCTCTTGTCAATGCCAAAATTATGAAGAAAGGAGGACTTGGTTAGAACAGTGTTTGTACACTGATCAATTTACCGGCAGAGACTGGGCGGGACATCAGTAGAGTAGATACATGTGTATCTAATGTGCACAGGAGATTATAAACTGAGAAGTTTAAAATCTTTTTACGCGCGTCAAATATATTTTTGTGCAAAACCTCGTCACTTCGCTCTGCGTGCCTAGTGCAATATATATACCAACCCCTCCCGAGTCTGAAAGTATAAGGGCTCGAACTTTGGCCACGTCAACTTATCTTAGTCTTTCTTTTTCTTCTCTTTTCTTTCCTTTTTCCTTTTTTTTCCCTTTCAATCGACAATTTTTTTAAAGGATATGTTAGACTTGTTCAGATTAAAACGCACATGTGAGAACGTTTTACGACGTAGCTTTCATGTTCAATCGATAACAAGTCCAAAAGCAGAGCTGAGACGCTGAACAAACATCGAACTAAACCCAACAAATCAAAATGAATCCGAAAAAACCCAATCAGGTTCGTTCAACGATGGCCAGAGTGAGAGCTGACCCAGATCACAAGAGTCGTTACGAGTGTCCCACAATAGTCCGCCATTTTGAAAACCGTGAGGGGCTTGGTGGAAAGTTTACGGACTTACGTATACACGACACCATAACAGTGCTTAGGGCCTTCCTAGAAGAAAGGCACGTTAAGCACAAAGAGTGAGTAGCCTACGTTGAATACACTGGATGTAAGCCAAGAATCTGGGCCGACCACATGAGATGGAAGCCAACTGGTCAACTTTTTTTTTAAAGATAATATGAAACGACAAATAACACGTTTGTAGCAGGTGAAGAAAGACTTCTTACCCAGTTTGGGTACTCAAAATATTTAACTGCAAACGGAGACACGAATATTTGTTTGAAACCTTGTTGTGCCCTTTTATTTTCTTGAGGGCACAACTTCTTCATTACGGACATTTCAGTTATCAGGTGTCAAAACGTGACCCAAGCTTTTTCTCTTTTCCGCGAGGCTCGCGCTCGCTTTTCATAGGGTCACCTGACGTCAATCAGCCTAGCCAGTCATTGTTCTCAATCAGATTTTCTCTGTGCGTGGTGAAGCTGAGGAAGTGACTAAAGCGTGGTGAGTACATAAACATTAAGTTCTTCAAGTGACGAGAGTTATTAATGAACATTTGGCCAAAGAAACAATTAAGCACAGTATCAACATTAAGCTGACTAGTTGACATATAGTAAAACTACACCAGAAGCCGAAATTTTGTCCGTGTTGATATCCAGCAACTGAAAACTAATGATCATGAATTCGTGGATAGAAACACCGGCTGGCTCGATAAAATACTTAGTTGATGGGTACCTAGTATCCGCAGACGGATTATTTCTCAGAGTACGTTAAGAATTAGTAAAGAGGATGATTTAACGGTCGAAACATTGGACATATATCTAGACATAGAGGTGTCAAATATGGCAATCAGAAGAGGTTTTCAGTTTTGTAGTACCTCGTTCTTTTATAAAAATGGATTATTCTTGTTTCCAATCCCGCACCACACTGTTTATCACAACAGCAGCCCCCGGTATCTGAGACATCGACGTCAACAAAGGGGAGGGAAAGGAAACGACCGGGTGCACTTTAGTCTATCGACGAAAACTTAACGCGCGTAAAGGTTAAATAGGAAGACAATTCCTCGAATATTTTCACGTCTGTAAACATACTATCGTGTGATCATTGCATGACCCAATATTCAGACATTAGTTTAAAGGTTGTCAGTTCGAACCCCCTTACCCCCCTCCTTCGCATCATCCTCGATAATAAACCAGGCAATAACTTGGGGAAATTCGCCATGCACCACATCTTTCCCAGAGTCGGCTGTTTAGCCGTTGTTTTTTAAGGCTTGGAAAATTGAAATGGCGTTGTCACGCCCTGAGTCATCAAAAGGGGAAAGATATCGCTTTCAGAGCGACTTTCTGCAACCATCAGAAAAGACTTCAGAAGCTTTGTTTTAAATTGATGGTACTGTCCCTCTACCAATCTCTAGCTTTTGGCCATAGTAGTGTGCAATTATCAAAAATGGGTTCGTTGGCGAAGTAAAGGTAGAGGGTGACAACGTTATTAGTACACATCAGAAAACTCAAGTAGGCTGTCATTAAATTACCCCGCTTCCTTTTGTAAATATTAAATGTCGTAATTCAATAGCGTTTTATGTCTGCGTCAGTCTTCATTAGCACAATAACAAATTGAAACTTGAAACTATATCGAAAATGGAAACACGAATGGAACAGCGACCGTGAGAATGAAGAGCCTAAAGTGTACGAATAAGCATATGTTTTTATTTTGTTTTCATGTATTTACGTCTTTGTGCTTTCAATAACACTTTTTGGCTGATGTATAGCCCTCATTTGAAATATATGAGAGGAACCTGTCTTTCACACATAAGAACGTATTCTTATTACCGGTATTTAGCCACTATTTGCGTCACCCAGAGCATTAGAGCAGCTAACCTACGTGTTGAATGACATCATGAGTTCATGAAGTTCTCTTTGACCAGCAGATATTTCTTATCTTATTTTACCCTAGTCTGGTCAAAACAGCAACACGTCAGTGTTAGTCGGGTACACATCAGATGATTAATTTTAAATAATAACTGATTGAAACACTCCACAGAACGTTTTCCAGAATGCACAGGAGATTTGCTCAAGCATTTGAGAGTTGCCTTCAGACAAGCCCATACTTTTGCAATCAGCTGAGGAACATGCAGAGGACCAGAATCACACCGAGACGGAAGATGACTCATGGATCTTGCAAGAAGATCTAGAACGCATAAAACCAAGCAAGCAGCAGTCCAACCATCGTCTATTGTGGTTGGCCGTTGTCACGTGTTTAATTTTGTTCCTTGTCCTCCTTGTGAGTCTGCTGGTATTGTCTAGGAAAATTGGTCATGGATGTAAATGCTCGGAACAAAATGGTTTGTTTTTTGAAAATCACCCGCAATTTCTTGATATCTTCCATTTAAGGCCTTCCTACAAAGCTTGACTTTATGTGTTTTATTTGCTTTAACTCTTTCTACTTCAGGACCTCAACACCTTGAAAGTCAAACACCCGAGAAGAAATTTGAAAGGAAAAATACGACAAGCAATTCTGAATTGGTAAGGGCTTAATAGAATGGATGGGGAGGGGAGAGTTCGCCATGAAGTGGCTCATACTGCTGCTGTACCTAATTTCTTCTCTATCAGTGGGCTCATGTGCACGAGGCAAGAAGGACTGGTAGAGAGGTAGATGGAAAATCGAGCACTGGAGGAGATTTATGCCATGTATAGATTCTTCGGATTTACGAGTTACCGCAAAGAAAAAAAAAGAAGAAAAACTCCTATAAAGAGGAGATCGAGAGACATCCCCTTCCATAAGATACACCGCTGGAACTAGATAAGCAAATATTGGTCTGCAATAAAAGACCGATGCAATTAATGTTTATCTGGATAAACCACACAGGATCTGTTATGCATGCAATAAGCTCCCGTCATTCTAATTGGATTTCTTAATTTCAGCTCAAATACCTTCAGCTCTTGAATGAGACATTAAAGTCCACATTGAATAAAAGAAACGATGACCTTGCTGAGCTAAAAAGCACTGTTAAAAGGGTGACGCTATCTGTAAGTTTTTACTTTGTTTCCTAAGAAATGAGTCATTTCTTTTAATCGACGGTATATCTGGTAACAAACGTCAGTTACTTTTACTGATCGGAATTATCCCTCAAGGTTGAAAACCTTCACTCTGCTATGAAGGATGTGAGGGCCGCAGTGAATGGAACAAAGAAAGACCTTGCCAAACTGAAGAGAACTGTAACAACGGTAAAGATTTTAATGTTTTTGCTCAATAGATTCTAGAAATATCCCTTGACAATGATCATTTTAACTCAGAAAATGATTAAAAGAACTGTAACAACGGTAAAGATTTTAATGTTTTTGCTCAATGAATTCTAGAAATGTCCCTTGACAATGATCATTTTAACTCAGAAAATGATTAAATGCCATTTCCGAGGTAATGTTTTCATTCAAAATTCACTCCATCTACCATTAAAATTATTTCCCAACGTGAAAAAAGACCTTAACTGCCTCATCTCAAAACATCGTCTCTTCACATGTTGATCTTGTGTAATGGAAATCTTTGGCAACATCCGTTTCATTCATGTCAGTCTGTTTCCTAAGAAATGAGTCATTTCTTTTAATCGACGGTATATCTGGTAACAAACGTCAGTTACTTTTACTGATCGGAATTATCCCTCAAGGTTGAAAACCTTCACTCTGCTATGAAGGATGTGAGGGCCGCAGTGAATGGAACAAAGAACGACCTTGCCAAACTGAAGAGAACTGTAACAACGGTAAAGATTTTAATGTTTTTGCTCAATAGATTCTAGAAATCTCCCTTGATAATAATCATTTTTAACACAGAAAATGATTAAATGCCATTTCCGAGGTAATGTTTTCATCCAAAATTCACTCCATCTACCATTATAAATTATTTTTAAAGACTCTCACTGCCTCATCACTACACATGTAGATCTTGTTTAACGGAAATCTTTGGCAACATCCGTTTCATTCCTGTCAGTTTTAAATTTTCTTTGCTCCTCATGGATTGCATAGCATACACATCTAAAGACAAATGCATTTAAGATTTCATGCAATATTTAATAAAAAGGAAAATATATTTTGTAACGTTTTGCTAATGACACTGAAGTATGTTCATCATGTATGATTCGTGTTAACTGTAGCAGCATTTCAGGCGGCTTGTAAGTATGATGAATAATATATGATGTAACGCTCGCTGTATCCTGCATCAATAAACGAGATGCCCGGTCCGGATGCTGTTTTCGTGTTTATTAAGATTAGTTTAAAAATATTATAATCGTTTCAGGGTGATTAAAGTATAAATGATTCCCCTGAAATATGCTTTTCATATAATGTTTCAAAGCAAAAACTACTTATGGAAATGTTACCAATTACTTCTTACCGTCTCAACCAAGTAAAAGGAAATTTAGAAATCAAGAACAAAGATTTGTGCCTTAAAACAGAGTAACCAAAAAAAACAACAGTGAAGTGAACTGCGTTTGGCTTCATAGGGGCAAGGGCAAGGTATTAGGAAAACAGAAAGACTAATCATTTATTTGCTATGCAGCTGGAACTCTTCAATTCGTCCTTAAATCAGGTGAACTCTAAGTTGACCCGAACAAGCAATGATATCTCCAAACTTTACAGCACTGTGACAAAGGTAAAAGTTTACTCGATTGTTGCAAATGTGAAACAATATCAGTGCAAGATTATTGGTGCCTTGAAAAGTTGTGAACATCGTTTCAGCTCCACAGGAACGAACACATTTCTGAAGGGTCAGAGCATGCTATTGAAACTCTGTTATCTTGTTTACAGCTGGAAAATTACAACTCGTCCCTTAACGAGGTGAAGTCCAAGTTAGATAGATCACGAATTGATCTATCAGAGCTTAACAGCACCGTAACCAAGGTAAAATTGAGTTCACACACATATGAAGACTTCGTATGACTAGACAAGTTCATCCTAACTACGTTCCTGTTCAAATGCTGTGAATACAATTATCACTTAACGTGGAAATCTTTATTCGTCCTATAACCAGGTAAAGTCTACATTAGACAGAAGAAGTAAGGATGTAACAGACCTGAAAAGTACTGTGAAGAAGGTAAACATTTATGTAATGGTTGTGCCTGTGACATAGCTAGAAGTTAGAATTTTATTTGCCCGTTTGGTCTGCTTGCAGTACTTTGGTAATGCTCTGGCAGATAAAGTTATTTAAGTTTGTTTTTAAATCCTAAATTTATAGCGATTGTAAAAGTTAGCGTTTCTATCTATTTTTCTCGCCTTGGGTTTTTGGTTTTTATCGTTTATAATTGTCCACTGTTTGGACATTAGTCATTTTGTGAATTTGAATTTTGTATTTAGTAATTCTCAGTTTTTCCCTCTGCATTCACTTGCGCACAAATTGACGTACATACTAAAAAACATTTCGTTTCGTCTGATCACCAGAATACATCCGACTAATCCAACATTTTACGCTCACGATCTTTTTGATACTTATATCTCCCGGCAAGTTAAGCAACATTTTCCTTTAAATATATGTTAATAAAGGTTCCATTTTAATTTTGGATACCGCTCTTCCTGCTTTAGGTGAAGTCTAAGTCAGATAGAACCAGCGATGATGTCTCGGTACTCAACTGTACAGTGACAAAGGTGAACATCGTCATCGAATAAGATCATCAGTGACACGCTTGGATGCTCCTGGTGTGCCACTCTTTTTTCTAACTATATCTTTACATTATATGTTATGTATTACTGAACACATGTACGACTACAGTGAGCCTATTTGTTAAAAATTAGCAGGGACGTTATCGAGCCACCGATAATGTGGCATCCATAGGGTTAATCGTTAGCCATAAAACGGCCAAAAATTAATTAATGTCACTACCATTCGACTCCACGAAGCAAGTTCGTTTTCCTTCCATAGAGAGTCATAAAGATTAAAAGTAAAAGTCTCAAGCTGGTTTTTTCCGCTGTCTTTTAATTCTTTTCGACGGAAATAATCGAAGAACAAATAGCAACGTAAATGGGAGCTATTGCGTGATAACTCTCCCGCGATTTTTTACCACGTGGCGCAAGGTGACCAATAAAGTCGCGCGAAAATTTCTGGGTGTGTTATCATGTTTTTTAACATTACAACCCATATTAAAATATGAATAAAAAAATGTGATCATTATGATGGGGATCCTATTATATTTTTTTTCCTTCAGCTGGACAAAGCTATTCAAAGTAACTTAAGCGAGTCTTGCCAGAATGTGACCTGGAACTCAGCGTTCGAGGACTGCAAATTAAAATGCTGCTGTGCAGCCAATTCTTGCGAAGAAACTCGTAAGTATTCTTGAAATTCACAACTGGTCTTTAATATCATTATATCAAGGAGTGTGCATGTACAGCGATGCTCAAAAAATGTTTTTACTTTGCAAGTGAGATGTTTAGCTAGTAGGAACTGGTCGTATTTATCTCCTGTAGGGCAAAAAAGAAAGGGGGTGAGAGGATTTTGGTTGTGAAACCATAAAATTTACCTGATCCTTATGAGGTAAAGTCTGTAGCCTATTTGCCCACCCATTCGGAGCTTATTCCGGTTTTCATGTAACATGAAGCGACTAGGAGTATTACCACTCTCCCCTGGGTGGGATACCAGTCTATCGCAAGGTTACTCCCCCCCGTACCCATTAATAATCCCGGGTGGAGAGAGGCACTGAGAGAGTTGTGTCTTGCCCATGAACACAACAAGATAACCCGCCACCACATCTCAGGCCACTGAAATCCCCCCCCCTCCCCCCCTTCCTGCTTAGACTCTGTAATATTCTTGTTATGACCCTCTACCCCTCCATCGTTGGAAGTTGATTTGCAGTCAATTTTCTATAGCCCCCTTTATACTCTGTTGACGACGACTGATTCCCCCCCTCCGTTACCCCTTGAAAACAATTTGATGCCCCCAAATTCCCCCCCTCCCCCCACAGGCGATCAATAACGACTGGTGCCCTCCCTGTTGATGTTTGAATTGAATTTTGCCTTTTTTTTCCTTTGTATATGTTTTATTGTAAGTTTGAGGACAAAAACTTTCTTGAGAGATAAACTAATTTTTTAGTACGATAGTGTATTATCATTGCTCCCACACTTAAGTCACTTTCGGTATGGATCATGAGTTTTTCGCTGCTAGTCTTCTTCAGCGTAGTCTGGCAAGAAACCTCTCCTGGGTCAAATGGGAGGGAAGTTGAACAATCTAATTCTTACTCTCTGGTTTCTTTTTCAAATTGATGCCCCAGCCGCTGAAAGTTGTAAGGAGCTGTACAACACAAATGGGTAAGTTCTTTCCATCCATCAGAACGCATTTTACAATAAATTAAAAATTAGAGAATGTGTTTTGCTGGTATCCCAAGCTGCCTTGGGTTCGACTGTCGCTGCAGGTTATAGAGACTCCGAATCGATACTTTACATGAACCTCTTCTCTCAAGAATTGATTATATTCGTTGTTTGTTATTTTCCTCACTTTTCAGATCTGATGTCAACAAGGCTTACCCTCTGAAGCTGGGGAAAAAGATCCTTCCAGTTTATTGTCACATGACAACACTTGATGGATGTGGGGGTGGTGGTTGGACCCTGGTGATGAAGATGGATGGTTCAAAGGTAAACATGAAACGATGCTCATAAAAATGCTCGAAAAGACAGTTTCCTCTCTTCTTTAAATTATTAAAATGGTTCATAAAAATTCTTCTTCAAAAGTGTTCATTCGAATTTCGCAAATCTTAATCTATCATTTTTGCAAAAAAAAGTCAAAAGATTTTTAAATCAATTGAGTTCACGTGTTCTATTCCTGTTCAACGTAGACCGAAAAGTAGTGATTGTACTTTAAAAGATATAAATCACAGGCTTCAATGAAACAAAAACTTGTACAGTAGACTCAAGATAATTACAACCTCCAAGTGGAATTAGAGAGGTTCGGGTTGAGGGCCGAGATTTTGGAGGTAGTAATTGGGATTAAAACGGGAAAGGTGTTTACTGTGTTTCTATTCATGCATTTGAATTTCATTGTGGTACAAAGATGTTGAACAGAAATAATACGATTTGATTTGTTTTATTAATTAGGACACCTTTCATTACAATAAGTTAATTTGGACCAACACGCTAGGATACAACCCTTCTGCTGGCTCGATTGGGTTTGACGGGAATGAGACAATGTTACCAACATACTGGGAAACGAAATTCAGCAGGATCTGTCTCGGTATGAAAAGCGGCAAAAAAGTCAACTTCATCGCCATCAACAGGCCAGCTTCCTCCCTGTATTCTCTGATCGCTGATGGGAAATACCGCCAAACCTCACTGGGCAGAGACAAATGGAAGTCACTGCTTCCTTCAAATGCGTCACTACAATCAAACTGCAACCGGGAAGGATTTAACGCATTGTGTGCAGGTTCTGGCGCCATACAACCCAGGGCTCGAATCGGTTTCCTTGCTAACGAACAGTATCACTGCAACAGCTGTGATTCCAGGATCGGTTTTGGTACTGGAGGTCATCCTGACTACTCGAACTCGTGTGGAAATGTGGCAGTGCACCAATGGGGAGCCGATAATGGGGATAAAAACATCAAAACTATGGGCTACATTCTTGTTCAATAATGAAGAAGTAATAGTCCCTATTTGGCTCCAGAAGGAGCGAACAGTTTTTTATCGAAAGCAAAGCCTAAGAAAGACTGTGATTCTTAAGTAATGTCTAAGAATAAATTAATGAGCAAATGTTTTGTCTTGAATGGATGTTTGTGTACTTATCATCCCTAAAATGTTTTATGTAGCGCGAAAAACAAAACGCTTCCAGAGTCTACCATCAAAGCCATTAACAGCGTAGAATTTTGACCATTATAGAATTGTTTGGTCCGATTTTTTGATGCTCATGAAATAAATGTTCAGTGAAGATTGCTTTCATATTAACTGCTATCATTGAGCAGATATCTGGTACCACTAACCGTAAAGTAAGCCTTTCAAGTGGACAATTTATAGTGAGCGAACCATAACTCTGGCCTCTAAAATAAAGCTACCTCAAACTTAACAACTATATACCACTTTCCCCTCCTACCTTTGTAGTTTTTACGAACAATTGGCTTCTTACGAGATGACTGGAATTTTCATGTCGGTATTATTGCCATCCTAAGCTAACAGCACATTTTAGGTTCTGCAACATCGGATTTCATATTTTGCTAATCAAGGTTAAATAATGATCGATGATACGAATGGAAACTAATCCTGATTTTGTTTATCGCCCATCAGCTACCAAGACAAAAAAAATTACAGGAACTACTTGAAGACGACACTTAAGACGCAAAATCGCTGAATTGAAATCGTTACAGCACATTGTTTTCTTTATGAACTTAATATCATCTGATGTGAAATTTTCTGCTTAAGAAACCAGTTTTCAGCTGAATAATGCACCTTGGTTTATAAGATACTGCACAGTAAAGCTAGTTACAAGAAAGCTGATCCTTTCGACAGGTTGAATATGAGTCGACCTCTGATTGTGCCCAGCGGATCATTAGATTGAGTCTAACGATCATATTTAACAATTAACCACCGATGTGGAGGTGAACTGTGATGGATATTTACCTCACCGCAACTTTCACCGACACACAAGTGAATAATTTAGTATGTAACACTCAGATACCAAAAACTTAGCTTATATTCTTCAATATCCCGAGAAAATTTAACTCTTGACGCGCGAGGTAAATAATACTTGAACTGTACTCACAGGATTTGTTAAGACTTCTTCAAAACAAATATTTGGTTTCGTAAAAAGGGTTGTGCTTGTTAATCGTAGTAAAGTACAGTAATAGTAAGGTATTATCACTTGTCTCACGATTTGGTCACTTTCACGGTTTGAATCGCGAAGTTTCGACTGCATACTGTTACTTTTCACCAGGCGATAAGGTCGACAGGTTTCGGGTCTTCTTCTATAGCAGGATGCTCCGCTGTGATTGACGCGTTTCGATCCTTGATGTTATTGAGTTGTTCCCTCAGCGGTCCGCTGTCGTACGGCTCTCCAGTTGTTGTGTTTTTAGATCGTGGGCGTCCACAATTCAGGAATTTCTATTCCACTGTCCTTGTTGGTCTTGTTAGGAACAGTGGAATAGAAATTCCTGAAGCGTGAATGCCCACGATTACACGTCCTGCTCGCTATGAAGACCCAAAACCAGTCGACCTTATCGCCTAATGAAGACTAGCAGTATGCAGTCGAAACGTCGCAATTCACATCATAAGTGACCATGTCGCGAGACAAACGATAATTCTTAAATATTAAAAATTACATGATTTAAAATAATATAAAACTTGTATAACATTCTTTAAATTACCACAGTTTGTGTCTTCATGGTCAATTAAACCCTTAACTCCCGAGATGTGATTGTTAATTCACCCCCTAGCTGCCACTCATTTTCTTGTAAATTAGTTACGATAATTTAATGTTAGATCAAGAAAACAACTTTAACCTGGTAAGTCTACAGGACAATGTAAGGATAATGTAAAGATATATTACATGTTTATCACTTGTAGGAGTTAAAGCGTTTAGCTACTGAAGGAAAATTCATTCAAATTTCAGTTCAAAACCTATCGTAATTTCTGACTTAGAATTGTTATAGCATGTGACTTTTAAGTCACTCAATTTTAAGACTTCTCCGAGCACTTTATTCATTTTCAAAAACTTTTGAAGTCTTAAATAAGTTCTGAAAAATCCACTTTACAGCATGAAATTCTTTAGATGATTTTTCGAACATGAGAAGGATTTTTGACTCTGTCAGTTTCTAGCTGGGATTATTGTAATTATGAGTCTGAATTGATCTGCTGACATGCCACTGTGGTAACAAAATTTAAGGGAGAGGATATTCCCTTCAGTACCATCATTGCGAACATAAGGACTCTATTTCATATTTAGCGATTCTGATCTGAAAAAAAGTGTATTTTAGATCACAACAACAGGATTAACAGAAATTTTGCCTAAAACGATAAGGAATAAAACAGAAGGGGAAAAATTGTGAAGAATGCCGAATAACCATAGAAATAAATTATTGCATTGAACTTCTTATATTAACTTTAGCCCAAGAAAAAACTCTCGCAAGAAGTTTTCTTGAAAAAAATTTCCTGCCTGTGAAATTGAAGACATTAACAATACAAAACAAAGCTTGCTGTAGCTTTAAAATTTCTTCCAACTCAAAATATATTTCCCAATGGTCCTTACCCAAGGATCATACAAGAAACACATCGTGACATAAGTCGAGGTTACATGGTGGTAAAATACAGTAGCAATGAAGAATGGACGTTTTTCTAACGATTTAGTCACTTCCAATGTAGATCTCAACGTCATTTTGGCAAAAAAACGACTGCACCAACGACAAAAAAGTGACAAAACAAAAGAAAAACTTTATGATATTTCCAAACTGTCATTTGTGGACAAAATTTGGTAACATTTCGAACCTTCTATCGCGGAAAAACGAACAGGAAATCACCAAAATTTAGTGTACTTTGAACAAAGAAACAACGTGGGCTAATTTATCATTATCACTATCGCACGCTTCTAAAGTAACTTAGCACTGATCTCAAATGTTGTGCCCGGCGGGAATAGAACTAGCAGGACACTCCTACAGCGACATTATTCACCGTCGTGATCACTTGAGTACCCAAAAGTTTTATCGGCAAATTTCAGTGCTACCTTGGAGGCCATACTCGCTATCTGCTTGGTCGAAAAAGAGAATTCGCTGTTCGTGCACTTAAAAAGAATATGCCTTAAGTGAATTTTTCCGCCTGACGTAATGTGCATAACAATTAGTTAACTTTAACTAACTTTCCATTAACAGTAACCTTCACATTGACCAGCCCCGACTAGAACCAAAAGTTAATTTGCCAGGAATTAATTTTTATCGACGACTTCTCGCTTCAAAACGTCCGCAAGAGCTCGCCGCATCGCCAGTTTCTTTTCTCCATCTTTGTCGCTCTTTGCAGCCGGTGAAGGGACCTGCTCTCCTGCTGTGACCTGACGTGCTGCTCGGGAAGATGTCGGCCGGGCCTTCGGCTGTTGTTCGGTGTACTTCGTCAAGTTTTTCTCGCGTTCTTGCCTCTTCAGGTCCATGAGCTTGTCTCGCTGTTGTTTAAGATAAGCAGCTCGTCTTTTCATCTCTTCTTCGCTTACCTCCTTTGACTGTTAACACAAAGAGGTACGTTTGATGAAAATTGAGAAGTGACTTAGATTACAACAGTAAATTTAGAAGGTTCCGTGCTGGCACGACAGGAACGCTGTTGTTTCTTCACAAAGGAGGTTTGAGGTGCGTGACAGTAATCACCGTGTGTGTCTGTTCTGCCTCAGCGATGGTGTGACAATGGTCACCCTACAGAGCTAAACACGCAGCAGTATTTGAGAAGTTCGCATTTTTGTTGGCGTGACACTCTACAAAAAACTACTGAGGAGGTAACAGACACAGAACGCTCTTAGCCTATGTGTCGCAAAACCCAAACCCACTGAAAGAAGTAACCAGTGAAACAGAGCAAAGCTAACCATCGTAAGTAACTATTTCTCCATGAGAAGGTAAACGGTGTTGGAAAGAAATTGCTTAAATCACACTAAACTGCGAAAACCACCACACAGAAAACAATTATGAGCTAGTGAAAATTAGGTGAGACTTTCTAATTGAAACATTTTACATTCAATAACTATGTTGGTAAAATGATTTGAAATTCCCTATAAATCTATCTACTTGACGCCATGTTTGATATCGCGTGATGCGGTTGAACAAATAACCTAACTTACGGCAGCTGTCTTTTGATGTAAATTAACTGCCTTGAGCGTGGATGCCCGAAACGCAATTTGGGAATGACGCGAGATTTATCGACCAATCACAGGGTAAAGAGAACCAAATTTTGGAGTCCCTTTGACACCAACGAAAATTAGTGGAAGCCACATCTAAATTAAGCACCTGATAAAATCTTGGACCCAGGGCGAAACGAAGACAAAGGGCGATTTCGGATTGACGCACAAATTTACTTAGCGGGCTTCCATAACGTTGGAGTACTTTCTCGCGTGATAAGCGATTATCACGCGTGCGCGCAAACACTTGACAAGTTTACCTGCGTTGGCGTGACACTGGCATTGTTAGCAGCGTCCTCCTTGGCGCTTTTTAACCATCCTTCTGCTGCATTAACTGGTGTATCTGCTTTCTTTGTCTTTACTGACAGGGGCGGTAACCCAGAAGCTTGACTTTTAGGCTGAGTGGGTGACTTAGATTTCACAGGGGAGGGTTTAGGTGCTGTCTTACTCGCAGCAGGAGAGGCTTTAGTCGCCGCTTTACTTTCTGCAGGGGAGGGCTTGGGAGCAGGTTTGGCCTCAGCAGAGGTGGGCTGAGGAGAACCTTCTGATGTTGATTTTTTCACTTCGTCCCGCAATTTCTCCACCTCGGCTGTCTGCATCTTTTGTGCCTCCAATGATATCTGAAGTGCTTTTTCTAGCTCATCTTGCTCTCTTTTGGCTATTTCGGTTAGCCTTAAAAAAATCAAAGAATTAAAATTAGCAGAAAAACAAGACGTTTCGATATCACCTTAGCTTACAAGCAGGCCTTCATTCTATGTACTGCAGGACGCACCTTACTCCGCCTCCGGGAATATTTGAGACAAGTTAGGGACTGGCACTAATATTCAGTTCCAGACCCCTTACAGACCTCTCGCGGGTTCGCGTAGCTCAAGGCCTTAAAATTTCCCGCGGGCAAATAAACGCCCGGGCCAAAGCGCTCATCATAAAGGCCTTACCCAAAGGCTACTATTACTTTGAAATAATTTTCTAGCGAAAAAAAATTGCTTCGATCTTTTCAGAAATTTGAATGGTAAATTTAAAGAATATAGAGAATTGCACATAAATGAAGAAGATAAAGCTGAGAACCGCTAAAATGGCTAAAAATCCCAAATCTTGTTGCAGTAAGAACGTCAAAAGAGTGAGACAGTTCCACTAAATGGTTGTTAAACGTTTCCCTCAAAATGTCATTGAATATCCAAGGAGGATGTAGAAGTTTCACCCTTTGGAGAAATTATGATATAACTTTCCATTAAAATATCACCCTTGAAACAAACATGAAGGTCACAAGAACAGAGGAAATGATCCCTCAGCAAAGAAGCTCTTGATTGTTAAACAAACTCTCCTTGACAGTACCTTGGTGTACAGTAGAAAGAATATACAGAGAGTAATTAGACTGTTAAAGGTTAAACGATTCACTTTAGAACAAAGAGTGAGTGTTGATGACCTAATACCCAAAAAATATCCACAATTAAGAGAGAAGAGCATTTTTAAAACCTATTTGTCACTTGGAGCCTTCTTTTCCAGGTTTTTCCAGTGTTTGCGAAGATAAACATGTTCTAGGGGTGTAGAAGATAAAGGCCCAGAAGATGAAAAAAAAAAAAAAACCAAATGTTATAGAGCATACAGGTAAGCAAGGAAGTAGTCAGCTGATGGAGTTGGGCTGCAGAAATTGAAAGGCATAGACAGCCACTTTTAACTTTTACAAGTGGAAAGGAAAGGAAAGGAAGCACACCCCTTTTTGGGTTAACAGAAGAAATATGTAATTGTGAAAAATCACATTATTGAAATAGAAATTGTGTAACAAATTTGCTAACCCAATGGGATAAGATGATGTACGCCAGTTGTGAAAGATCATATGAATGATTAAGAAAAATTGTGCTGCAGCATATCAAAGTCAATGTTGTCCACAACGTCACATACCTGTTTAGAACAGTATATGGAGAATATCCTTACTCATGTTAGGGTCTAAAGAGGTAATTTAGTGTTATCAACTGAGTTGGTAACGTAAATTGACCACCATAAAGAGTTTTAAAGCTGTCATTTCAAGTATTAGCCCTTCGTCTGAGTGAATGACAAAGGACTAATGCCAGAAACATCAGCTATGAAACTTTTTATGCAGGCCAATTTACAGTGTCAACTCAGTTGATAATACTAAATTCCCCTGTTATATTCTCCCACCAATGCAGCACCACAGTTTCTTTAGAACCTTACCCCCTTATTTATTAGGGCGTAAAGGGTTGAATACTCAAAGTCACTTCATTATGGAAACCAACACTAGTTCCACTGGTGTGCAGTTCTTGATGCAAGGGCAAGATAAAAAATATTGATGGCAGTGGAAAATAGATCAATTACTTTCTGAAGTTCAAATCAGCAAGAAACACTGACAGTATCATTCAGTGACTCATGTGATATCATTTGGAACAACAGTGCAGTAACTCCACAATTGCTATAGAAATTAAAGGATCTTGCATGGGCAACACCAGAATTAAAATAAAAAAAAAAATTTTTAACACAACAGAGCAACTCCAACTATATTGCTTTCAATTGTTTTCAATCACATCATCTTGGACCTTCTTCATCAACTACACTTTCTAGTGTTGACAAAAACAAAGATCCTCTAATGGAATAATGAAAATAGACTCAGATGATAAGAGAGAAGATTAAAAAGAATAAATTTCAAAATAAACAATTAGATTAGTCCTATTAGATGTGACAGCTCTTCAGAGAAATGCAGTTATTTTACAGTATGCGACTTATTTAGAAAAATGTCTCAGTTTAGTCAATTAATTTCAGTGAGAAACCTGGCACTTGAATAGTCTTTTTTTATTTCACCATTATTAAAAGCAGGTTTTGCTGAAACTTCTTTTGCCGAATCATACACTCCTAGTCAGATAAACATTTTAACTCTCTGCAAGATAAAATATTGTGGAGGCGCAGTGGCCTCATGGTTAGTGCGCTTGACTCTGGATCAGGTGGTCCAGGTTCGAGCCCTGGCCAGGGTCATTTTGTTGTGTTCTTAGGCAAGACACTTTGTTCTCACAGTGCTTCTCTTCACACAGGTGTACAAATGGGTACCAGAAAATGTACTGGGGGTAACCCTGCGATGTACTAGCATCCTATCCAGGGGGGAGTAGCAATACACCTAACTACTTCATGCTAAGAAAACTGGAGTCAAGCACCAGCCCCATGGGCCACTTGGGCCTGTATAAAGGCTAAGATAAAATATTGGAAACAAATAATGTAAACAACTGCTACCTTTTACTTTCTTCTGTAGATTCTGCCAAAGTCCTTTCAAATTCTTGCTCTGTTTTAGCTTTGGCATCTTTTTGTTTAGACTCAAACTCTTCCTTAGATCTCCTCAAAACCTCCTGCATGATAGCATCTTCATCTGCGCCTGGAGGTTGAGGAACAGAACTGGATGGAGCCATAGGAACTGAATTGGGTGGAGCCACAGAAACAGGCATCGGCATTTGATTTTGCATAGGTATTGGCATGGGCATTTGGACATTATGAACTTGCTGGAGAAGCTGCAGGGCCTGTAGTTGAAGCTCAATATTTTTCTGAATCATCAGTCGCTTGAATACCTCATAGTCTTCAGCAGCCCACATGTGATCAAAGACATCCTGTTGAAATGGATACAGAAGGAAAGTTTTAGACTTAACAGTTGAATACCTGTTGGCAATAAAAGTTTAAGAGGCAGAAGTCAGAACAGCACAGAATTCAGTATTTACAAGTAAAATATGCAATTCTCATGACAAGAAGGAACATTCCTTAACCCTCTGACTCATAAGAGCTATTAGCATCTATTTTTCCTAACAATATCACCCCTCGATCACACACACCACCTAAAGAAGCTCTTGATTGTTACACAACTTCTTCTTTTTAACTCCTTAGGAAATGTATAAGGGAAGGTATGGAGAAAATGTATACTGATGCTATGGTGTAAAGCTTAAGGGTTATTACCTAGAAAAAAGATGGAATGCTGTGGGCTAGTGTAACTGTGATCAGCACACAAAATTGCTTAAGTCTAGATGTTTGTATGACTCAGGATGTGGCAAATCTTTTTGATCTGATTTACTGACCCTGTTTATAGAATTGAACTGTGGACTGCTTCTTCCTTCCTGACAAGCTTTCATGAACTGTTCTTCTGATATTCCTACATCTTTTATAAAGCTTGATAACAAAGTGTCCACCTTTCAAGATAATAATAACAATAACAGTAATAATATTGCTGAGGGTACCCATCACTACAGATGTAAAAAATAAATAAATAATAAATAAGCTAATAAATAAATAGCACCAAACACAATGTCTTATGAAACAATTTCTGGTGCCAAATTTTAATACAACATCGATGGGTTAAAATCAATTTTCTTTCATGTTACACACAGGATGAATTTCAAATGAACAAGTCCTACCTGACAGATGCTTCAAGAAAATTGCATTTAAATAAAACCTTAGTATACAACTGGGTTTAAAAGAAAGCTATAAAAATGGGCAATAAAAATCATTGTATGTAACTTCTTGAGTTGCTATTGGAATAGGATGCGAATGTGACTGGAATTAAATTTTTTTAAAATGGGAGTTTTTCTCTGTTTGAGTTTAACCTACTCAAGAATCTTGAAGGATACATAGTTCTCAAATGTGTTCAAAATAAGCAATGAAAAAATAAAGGGTGCCTCAGGACTAAACTTGGCAAGTAGTGAATGTAAAATGTGGTCACAGGTACACAGACTTATTACAGGTACTGAGAACTTGAGACAGGGGCACTCTTGTTTGTCAAAATATCTCAAGGAAATTATCAATATTCATTAGAGTTGAAAACGAATAAATCATTAGTGGATACATATAAATATACATATATATATATAGTGTAAAATTTTGACTTAATACGTAAAACAGTGCTCAATACATAGGAATAGAGTGATGTATATATCGTGGGAGGAAAAAGACAATATATATAATATATATATATATTGAGATAGGGAAAAAACAAAGAGACAACACTTTCATCCCTACAAGCCTGTTTGGTGATTACTCACTCATCAGGAGATTTTAAAATTTTTTTCCCTATCTCAATATATATGGCGCTCTACTTCTACGTATCGAGCACTGTACTACGGAAAAATCGAAACTCAGACTTCCTATATATGTATGTATATATATAAATTTCTCATTGGTTTTACTGGAGTTCATGAAAATCATAAAGAGGCAATATTTGATAAAGTACATGTAAACTTGACTATGAAAAATTAAAAAACCCGTCAGTAAAAATTCAAAACTAAGCAAAATAACCAACGACGTACCGAACAAATTATCTCAGCAAGTGCATGTCTGTGTGATACATTTATTATTAAATGTTTTGACAATCATTTGAGTTATGACTACCAGAGTTGCTTTTTGAACTCAAATACCATTCTTGACCTATGGTTTGAGTCATTGAGCCAGTTGGTGCCTTGTCGTTTTGTTTGACTATGACAGGGCGACAGCTGGGAAACAACAATTGATCCATTTCTAAGGTAAGCTTTCACAGGCTTTGAAAACCTTTCCGGTGTAGAACACGTACAAACTAAAAATCGGTCCCACTAAGACGAAACACTCTATCATATCTACAGAAACGGAGGCGAGGGGATGAAAATGATTTGATCACAACCTCTCATTTTCCGGTAGGTTGCAAGAGCAACAACTCATTACGTTCAAGTACTTTCCCAGTGAAGGCAAACACGAGAGAGATATGAGCGCCTAACATTTACAAAAGTAAAGCTTGGAAAATATAAGTAAGCTAACGTAGAGAGTGGATTGTCATTTCTTGTCATTTCTTACCATTTCCTTGTACTTTTTGTGTATTTCCTGATATGCTTCGTGGTTTTCGCCGTCAGGATCAAATACTTGAAAAGATGGAAAACAAAAATTTAATTTCTCTTGAGGAAATATGAATAAGCGTCACGAGCACTAGACTTCGATAGTAGAAAAAAAAAACAACTACAAAGGAGAACTGTTCTTACCAAGCGAATTTTGTTCTATGAAAGTACGCACTGGATAATTCCATATTGGTGAAGTTAAAAAGCCGCCAACGGCATCGAAAATGAACTCCCCTTCGACAGCAGCCATCTTCTTGAGACTTAGTTCCGCAGTTGACCTCAGCTGCACTTCCTGTACCTTGGAAACTGCCTCGCTGTGGCGAGATCATAATCTACCTTTTAGGGAGGGGATAGGAAGAATTTAATTACTCTTAAGATTGTCAAGTACCATTAAAAACCGATTTTTTTTTCAGGGACAAAATTTTGAGAATTAACATCATACTGATAAAATATTACTGCAATCTTATTCAGCCAATATTTATTGCCAATGAACATAACGTATCTAGAAGTTTTCAAATTACACTCTCCCCTACTTAAAAAATTTTTGTCATATTATTTCAGTGATTGCCACTCTCCCCTGGTTACATGTAGTTGACATGGCGATTGTTGAAGGCAAAGCCGTTGTTTGCGTGAAGTTCTAGCTAATTTTTGACCTTAGAATGTTGAAGAGAAGATCTGAGTCAACGGAAATAACACCCCTCGTTAACAGTGCCGTTGAGAAACTTCAAGAACTCGGTAATCAGTGAGAAATATTGTCAAAAAGACAACAACCATTAAGTTGCATAGTTAGAAAATTTGCCATTTACGTTGTAGGGCACCATGTTAGGACTAGAAGAGAAGGCGGGGAACCTGTGGATACTTCTGGAGTGGACGTGGTCGTTAAAGCCCTCAAAGATCTGGTAGATTGAAATTAAAGATATATTAGCGACTCACTTTTTTTATCCTGGGCCTTTAAAGTTATCTAGCTGCCTGATACCTGAGCAGATACATATAAAGTAAATCATTAGGTACCACAAGGGATTGTTCAAATCATGAGGATTTTCTTGGCCAAAAAAGTTTCAGTAGAGAGCATTTATTATTCAAATGATGTTTTTATCTTTTGAATTATGCTTCAGAACAGCTCAAAATGTAGCTGCTTGACAATTAGATCTTCCTGTCAAATTTATATCCTTCTTTGCGACTCACATTTTATTAAGTTATAGCTTGAAAATTTTCGTTATTTCATTGCAATTTCTTAGCTGATGATATTCCATTTCTCATCATTAGTAACTGATTGACACGTAAATCACAATTTAAGGGAATAAAATGATATTGTGACCTGCAGTGATCTGTGATGTACAATTAAAGGAACAATTTCCATACGTGAGCTGCAATAAAAGCTATTTATAAGAGAGTTTCTTTTCTGCCATCCCTATAACTGCAGCTTACTTAAAAAAAAATTGTTTCTTTCTGTGCACTTGAAAATGAATTGTGTCATACAAATGTGGAAACCAGGAAGAGGTAATTTTTGATTGATTCAAGGGGTCATGCACTTGTTTATAAAGGCCCAGATTTCCAAATACTAGTGGAGCTCTTGTAGAATCTCCTCACCCTTTGTTGGAAGCTGTGTGTAAAAACCTATTAGGAAAAGAAAACAACTCACTTTTTCATATGATCATATGATTCTTCATCTATCTCCCTCTGATTGTAAGAAAAATGGTTGTGCCCTCTGCATGTGACTGTTTGCAAATTTATATTTTCTCATTTTGCAAACTTGACAATAATTTGATTAAATTCTCATGTTTACAGCTAATGGTAAAGCTTTATATCATATTTGTAGATTGAATTAACCTTCAAATCATAACATTTAAAAAAAGTAATTTTTGTAATGACAGTGACTTAATTCTTGTTTATTACACCTATGTATGTCATTACAGGAAGAAGAAAGATTGAAACTCCATGAACTGCTTGAAACAGAAACAATTACAGCCAGTGTTCTCCGTTACAAACTTAAATACTTTCCAAGCGATATCAAATCAGAGATACAAGGTATGATAGGAATTTTGTGACTTTCCTTGGGCATTGCATGGTCAATTAGGCAATAGACTGCACTTTGCATTGGTCATTTGGTTAGATATAACATTGTCTGGATATTAATAATTACATGTATGTACTTTTTCTGTTTAGGTGCTGTATATTCAGCTAGACAGTCAAATGAAGCAGAAATAATGAGACTAAAGGTACTTTTAATTATTTCAATTTTTAAATTTTCAGATTAGTTGATTATAAACTCCATTTCTCCTCAATATGTCTTCCTCCTGTGTAATTACCTCTCTTAACTAGTCTTTTCTACATGGTTGATTTGAGTTGCAAGCTATAAGGCCTCTTAACAGGCAGGCACTGGCTGTTCCAAAGTTTAAAAAATGCTATCCATTAGATAAATCTCTATCTGGTGGATATCAAAGTACACATCATTACTACTTTTCTGCTGGATAGCGGTTTATCTGTTGGATATAGTTTTATCTACTCTTTGAACAACAAAACCTAGGAAGTTATCCTAATATCGAAAGTTTGAGGCAAGCAAGATGGTTTGCATGCTCTTTACCTTTGATAAGTTTATCTGGTTTCCTGGATTGAAAGGGGCCTTCTCTTTGCCAGCTTAAATGCAGGCTTTTTTGGGCACTATTTGAAAACAAAAAGAAATAAAAATAAATTTAATAAAATCTTAGAATTATTTTTACTGTTATCTATTATCTTTTATGAAGGTTGGTAACCTGCATGATAAATATGTTTTTTTATCATGATGATATATTTTATTTCATTACATGTCTAACATGCATAGTTGTCTCTATCCATTTTAGACTCAGCTGAACACTATCATCACAAACATCAAGTCCCTTCAGGACAGACACGAAGAACTTGCAAAGGAAAATGCTAAACTGGAGTAAGCATTGTTACTCCCTTTAAAACATAACAGTTCTATGTGATATTAATCCTTTGGCTTCCAAGAGTGATCAGCATGTTATTTCTCCTTACAATATCACCCCTGCATCACACATTGAGGTCACAAGAAAAAGGAAATGATCACCAACAAAGGAAGCTCTTCTCTTGTTTGTCAAACAAATCTCCCTTGTCAGCACCTTGTATAGAGGACAGTTTGGAGAATATGTACTCTGATGTTAGGGTGTAAACTAAAAACCTGAAATAAGTCAGTATCATGGTACAGCCTCTTTTAATTTTAATATGAAATCCAGATGTAAACAACATTTAAAACTTGGAATGAAGTTTATGTTCAAAGTTGAACAGATGCTCATGATATAAATAATCAATATTTGTTTACCAATTCTATAATAATTGAAATCATAAGTATATACTTAAAATCTAAAATATTATTAATATGAAATGAAATGCATAGCAGGGATTTATACTTTCTAGGCCAGAGAGGAATGACATGCAAACTGGACATGATGAAATCATCGCACTTCTTAATCAGAAGATGGCTGATAAAGCAAGGTAACAAGTCACTGATTGTGGATTCAGAGTGAGAAGGTGGTGTATCTGTACAGTGCATATTACAGTGCTAAGAGATATTTAGTTCTAAGGCTTGGGGAGAGAGGGCATGACTCTCTTATTTTTCACCTGGAGCCAAACATCTTCAGTCCAGCCCTCCAACTCATTCATTAAGTACTGTCTAACAGGGTATGGTTATCAAAAAACTGAGGTGATTTTCTTGTCATGGAGATGTAACCTATTTTGATGTTATAAGCCCAGAGTGTAGTGTGACTACAAAGTTATTGACTTGATTTCTTTTTGCATCTATAGTAAACAAATTACTCTTAATGAAACACGTGATAAACTGAGGGAAACATACAAAAGGGTAAGATACTAGATTGTGGTACATGTAACTATCATCCTCTGATATTAAATTAGTTGGGACCCCTGAATTAACCAGACACACTGTTCTCTTGCCCCTCTTGCCCTTTGAAGTTTTTCAACTACCAGTTTTCTCAGAGGCCAGGGGTTAGAGTGGCAGAGAATATGCCAAGACTGTCCCAATAAATATGTCCATATGCATAGGACACTGTGAGCTCTCAATGCTTATTCCTGATGTTTTGAGACTTTGTTGTGTCTTTCATTGAGTTTTTCAACAATTTCAATTCAGACACTTGTTATCTCTCCTGCCCATCCCATGAACACATTGGCAATCAACAAATTTAGAAGGGGGGTAGGAATTGTGGGAAAATAATATCATAACATTGTTCTGGAGAAGTATCGAAACCAATTATGTCTTGAGTGTGGCTATAATTTCCTAAGTACAGTAAATGGTTTGAATAGGGAGAACATAGTTTATTATGTAGTTGGATCATTAAGATGTCAGAGTACTCTCAAGAAGGATTATTCTGATAATGACTGAAATAATAATGATTAAAGCCAAGATCAGAGATGACTTTCACTAAAATTGTCAAAAAATCAGCCAGGTACTGACAACAGTTCTCCTCAGGACTATTTTCACCATGATGATCAGATTTCATGGGCAAATATTTCCTTGTATAACAACTGATATACACTACAATGTTTAAAATCCATAATTCAGTTACTGGTATGTAAGAGTTCAGGTAAGAATTGCACAACATATTACACTGACCACTGTAGCTAAGTGATGGCGATTGTTTTTAAATTAAATTGTTTTCTCCTGTATAAAGATAATTGACCTAGAAGATTCAATTGTTCAGTTGAAAGAAGATTTGGTTCATGAACGAGAGGAAGCACGACTGGAAAAAGAAAAGCTTAAACAGTCAGTGGTGAGTACTTTGAAAATTAAATGGACATTTTATCCTTTTTTACCTGAAATTATGACTCAGTCTGTCAATCTGATTACTACTTTGCATTTAAGCTATATAATTTTTAAAACCCTCTGCTAGAGGCCTTTTATCTGACATGTTATGTATAACTGACCAGTAAATGACAAATACATGAAAGTTAGTCATACAATTACCATTTTTTCACATGGTGAATTGATTGATTTATGCAGATCTGATGGTTATGTTGAATATTTATAATAATTGTTCATGGGCTCATCATTGATGATCAAATTTCTCTGCAGGCTGACACTCAGAAAAAAGCAGAGGAGCAACGCAAGACAAATATTGAAAAGAGAAAGTAAAAACCTTTACTTCACTTTTTATCAAATTTTTTGGATATGAAAAAAATATATTTGAATTGTATCAGATAGTTCAAGTTTCTACTGTGTCACGTCACAATTCATTCAAAATTTGATCAAGTTATTTAATAATGCCAATCCCATAATTCACAGTGAGGGTGTATTTAACATAGTAACTCAGCTCTTCATTAGATAAACTAAGTTTGTATAATTATTTTTCTGGACTAATTCTTTGTTATTGTTTTATTCTGTGATTTTAACCATGAAATCCTTTTAGTTTGGATTTCTCCATGAGTACTGTTTTTTTTTCAGGGAAATTGACAAATTGCAGGAGGAGTTGGTGGACAGTGAATCAGTTTTAGACTCTAAGAGAAAGGTGCGTTACTTCAACTTCCAAAGTTTGAGATGAGTTTTTTTCTGACTAACCAAGCTGCTGTTACACTGTTGTTGTTTTTTTATACCTTGATCCTTTCCCATGAAACAGCATTTATTTTCTTAAGGATATACTCCCAGTTGTTTTGTGTTTCTTAGGGGTTGGAAAGGAGAAAAGAAAGATTTTTGGTGCAAAGATCTCTAGGTTCTATGTAACTGTGTGTGTTATCACTTGAAATGTCTTTTTCTAGAACATTAGGAAGTTTGAAACATCACGTAACAGGCTGGAGGCTCAAGAGGTACAACTAAACAGACAACTTCAGAAGGAAATCAAAGATAATTCCGTATTGACGCAAGAAGGGTGAGTCAGACAAAGTGAAAAGAAAGTGTATGTCATGTAATAGTCTCTGTTAGATCAGACATGATTTCATTTTGGTGGGGATTCCTTGGTGTTAATCTGTGATTTTTTTGTCTGCCATAGTCTTCGATACAAAGCACTCTGGGATAAATTTTCAGTTACATAAGAGCCCAAAAGAGATTGTTAAACAAATTTTTAGCACCTCTAAAATAATATAAAATTGTCATCTTTCACACTGTGGAACAACAATAAAAAATAACTACATAGAACAGTGCATAAAATGAAAGGGAGTAGATGAAAGGTAATGAGAGGTTTTCAGTCACGATGCATTTAGTTCTCTGACTTTTAAAGACACATTTGAGTCTTCATAATCTGTCTTCTACTGCATGATCAAATGTTCTACTTTTTTCTTTTCCTTAGGATGAAAATTGTCAAAGAACACAATGAAATGGCTACACGGTTGGATGAGAGAAAGAAATCATTGCAAGTTCAACTAGAAATGGTGTGAATCCTCAAATTGCGGAATTATAGGGCAAAACGAACCAAAGCTATTTTTATCTCTTGTGTAGCACTACATATATCACCTCTCCATGAACAACGTGAATGTGCAAGACAGAGAGGAATTTGATTTAAGATTGCTAACCACAATAGATAATTTAAGGCTAATGGAAAATGAACCGAGGAAAGGCTGTAAAACCAGAGGAAAAAAAACAGCTGTAAAACCGGAGAAAACGGTTAAACCCATGCTGAACATGCTGTTTTGCTAAATTTATTACCTCACAGGTACTAAATCAACTGAAAGAGGCAGAAGAACAAGATAAACAGCTGACATTTGAAAAGAAATCACTTGAAAAAGGTGACATCTGCAGCAGATTTTTTTTAGCTACTGTGGGGAGAAAATGTCTTTAAGTAAATATCATTTTTAAAAAAAATGGAAGGCGAATTTCATTAGAGGACAGTTGTGCTAATTATGTGTTTCATTTATACCTTGAAAGTTTTTCATTCTCTATACAGTTTTTTCTTTCCAAAGAGTGTTTCAACTATTGAATTTTAAATTGAAAGAACTGAAAGTTTCTTGATTGTAACTTTTTTTCCCCTGTAGAATATAAAATTGCCATGGAACTTCAGGAACAAGACGCTGAGGTGATACGACATCATGAAAGAGTGTAAGAGGCATTTGAGTTTTATATGATGATTGGACTTTTACATTTTGAATAGTTAAGCAGTTTAATCTTTGCACAAACTTGATTTGACAGACGTTTCGTTGTAGGCGTGAGTGTGAAACTCGGGGTTTTCACCTTGAGACACAAAATCACGTACATGAGTGCAAGTTTCTCAAATGCAGTCTTCTGTAATTATGTTTAAAATCAGTTTTGTTTCTGTTTGATTGTACAGCCTTGCCAGAGGCAAGGAATCGTTACATAACCAAAATCAGCAATGTGCCAGGGTTAGAGCAGAGAACATGGAGTTAGAGGAAGAAATGAACCAGTTGGAGGAAAGCCACAAGTAAGGAATAATTTAATGGTTAATAACCCTTGAAAACCCAACGTCAGAATGTATATTCTCCATACTGTTCTCTATTCATTTCCTTTGGTACTGACGAGGAGAATTTGTACATCAATCTAGTCAAGAGCTTCTTGAATTGGCGATCATTTCCTTTATTCTCATTACCTTAATGTTTGATTCAAGGGTGATACTGTAAGGAGAAATTGTAGGAGCCAGTCAGTTTCAGGAGTTAAAGGGTTATTACTAATTTCTGTGTTTGGTTGCCTCATGAGATGTTCAGTCTATGAATCGAAGCAGTTATGAAGGGGCTTAAAAACAAGCGTTTTACTGGTGCTTACTGCAGCCGCAAGTCAGTGGCTCTTTTTCCTGGAGTTTGCGACAGAACCGATGCCTGTATCGTTTGGTTGAAAAAAAAAAGAATCCTTAAAAAAATCAAGTCACTAGATTGGATGATGTCTAAGTGCGCCATAAGCAGCTACTCTGTTCTCCCGTTCGTTTGTTCGTTCACGTCTTAAAAACACTTGCATGTTCGACCTGATACTGACATTATGAGCCAAGTGACGCAAATGCGAATGAATAAGTTTTTGTTTTAATTCCTCAGTTGAAGCTAGATGATTCGCAAAACTAAAATCAGCTGTTGATTCTGTCTCCCCAGAGCAACTGTAGATGTATACAACAAGGAAATCGAAACGTCCAAGAGTGCTTTAACAGTGGAGAGAAAAGACAGGTAAGAACCAAAGAAAGATGTAATTAGCACATTTTGCCTTGACAGGTGCGTGCACTTGTCAGGGAAAACTTTTGTTAATGCGGCTTCAACTCCCGCTCTTGTCAGCTAATTTGCTTTCATTTGCAATTTTTGCATATCGACCTCACTAAATATTCTAATGAATGATGATGTAACACGTTGTATCAATTTTTCCTCGGGCAGAATCTTGCTTTTATAGTTGTTTTTAATTCCCTCGGATCTTTGGTTCTAGAGCTGGATCCGCTAAATTATCCAGGTATGGCTATTTTCATCGTGTGCAGGGATTCATACATTAAATCAATGTCGTTTTTGACTGCAGGCAAGTTTTACAGAAGAAAAGAGACAATGTCACCAAGGAGTCGAACGAGTTCAAAGGCGAATATGGACGCTATATGGCTACAATGTCCAAGAAGGTCACTGAAGGCAAAGCGGAACATACCAGGTTAACAGAGCGTGTGAGTATAATGCAGTCTGAAATTTATAGTTACAAAGTTAAAAATCCAGTACTTCATTGGTTGTGCTTTTCCTTGCCTTGTGATTGGTTCTGAAAACGCGCGGCAACCCCTCGACCAATCAGGTTGCAAATTTATGTAAAACTCGTAATGACTTGGTCAGCGGCTTTCCCAGCGCTTGAGTTGACTAGGTTTTATTTTCTACTTAATGTGTATGTATTTTTTCCTACTGCAGGGGACTCAACTGCAAAAAGACTTGAAGAAGGACGAAGCGGACATTATCAGTAAACAGAAACAGCTCAAGAAAGCAAAACACGATTACACTTCACTTCAAAAGCAGCTCAAGACTCAGCTTAAAGCTCTTCAAGTAAGCTGGTCTAACGTGTTCAGTTCTGTTGTTGCTTAATAGAGTTCATTTAGTGGATCCAATGAATGAGGGCGAAATTTAGGATTTTTATCAATCTAGTAGAAAACTATACAACACTCTTCGTTAAGAGATTTTTCCGTACTTCCGCTCTTGCGTGCTGTTTGAAACTTCTTCCACGCACTGCTTCAAATTTTAACATCAATTTTATTTGATTACAGGAAAGTATTGATAAGTTGGAGAAAGACAGGGACAAGAAAAAAGATATAATTCAGGACAAAACCGTAAGAATGATATCTCGCGTTTACTGCTATGATTCTCTTTAACGAATGCGCTTTTCCAAGAAAAATTGATTTTCACCGTATGTTAGCAAAGAAGAGGACTCAAGTTGAAAAACACTCGCTGAGGTACAATTTCCTGCTAAGGGTCCTTGTCAGTTTAACTACATGAATCATCGCCGTCCGTTTTAGTTTGCTCTAGCATGAAGGTTACTCCGTGGATCACTCGTCGATGATTTGCGTTCTTACCTTTGCAGCCAATCTTCAAAGATCTCGAGGTTCAGTTTAAAGAAAGGACACACGAGTTTGACACGACAAAGAAGAACATAGTCGGTAAGTAACCTCATAACAAAAAGTAATTTTCAGTTGAATGTCGAAAATAATCTATGATTGTATTGGTTCTCCTTTCATCTGCCTTTTCATTGGTCTAGAAATTTTGCGCAAACCTCTCGACCAATCAGATGTAAAGCTTAAATCAATCGCGACTTTGTCGTTTGCGTTTTCCCGCGCCTCAAGCATATCTCTCGTCTTCGCTTCGATTACTGATTGGCTCCTTGTGATATTTTTATTTGGACGGTGATTGGCCGTTGAGATCACTTCGGTTTTGGTTTTGACACACTCAATCGAAAAGCGCTCTAGTATGCGCAAGTTGTCAAACTGCTAGCCAGTTTTTCTAAAATTATGGTAGGAACTCACCGAAACTGGGGAGCAAATTTTTTTCTGTGAATTAAGTAAAGACTGATATTCAGTGCAGAACACAGGGCAATCATCGAAAATGTGATTTGAGATAGTGCTTGTAAAGGTCTTCATGATTATATTAGAAGGTATTACAATGAAGAGACAGGGTGTTGCTACTCCTATACGGAGACGGAGATGACCTTTTTTCTGTCAAAATTAGATTTCCTCAGTGGTAAAACGCTTAAGGCAATGTTGGACTAAACATTTAATCCATGTAGTTTATTTAAGAGGAGAACTGTCACACACATTACAAACACGCCGATTGGTTCCAAAGCTTACAACGCTGACGATATGAAAGCGTGATAAACATTCTTTTTTTCTTCCCATCTCTTGATATCACAGACCTAAAAAACAAAAAAGCTAGTCTGGAGACATCTGTTCAAAGGGCTCAAAGAGACGTGGACAAGTTAGCAGAACCACAGACTCGTTTACACGGGAAGCTGAGGGAGAGACGGGTAGAGGCCTTGGAACAACTCAAGAACCAATCAGAGGACGTGAAGAAGATTGAAACAGAAATCTTTTCATCCGGTCAGCGGCTTGGGGCAGTACTCAAAGAGAACCACAGGTATAATAACAAACCCACCTTAGGGGCAAACAAGTGGGAGAGGGGGGGAGAATAACTGTATCCCCTCATTTACCTTTAACCCCAAGTATCTCCCACCCAGCCCCTGCTTAGCAACCCTGCCCTCTTGATCTTCTTTAGTATCTTTTGTCAAAAACTAAAGTGGAAAACAGTTCTCGGTTCCGCTGAACCTTTGCCGTTGTTCTCGACTTCTAGCGTTGTAAGCAAGATTTAAATTTCAATTACTGTTTCGAAGAAGTGTGTGCATGTCGGATAATAGTTAACGCTTTTATAATGCTTTTCTTTTGCATATCATGAACAAGATTTAAGCAGGTATGTTAAATGCAGCAATTTTGTTAAATCATTTATCTAGCCTTTAGCCACCTTCCTACATCAATTTATCCCATTCGGGGTCCTGTATTTCCATGAGTTTGAAGAAGATTATTGAGATACCAAGCAGAGTTACTGCTTAAATACGGCAAGATTGACCCTTTACACCCTAATATCAAAATGCATATTCTCAATTTAACAAATAGATTCCAAGTTGCCGTGCGTCTGTTCAGTAACAGATCACAGATGACGTCAAAATGTGGTAAGAATATCAAGGCAACTTGGAATCTATTTGTTTTATATAATAAAGAATTAAAAAAGTGTCAATGATGACGTCATCTTGTGAGGAGAAGTTGGGTACTAGTTACTCTTAAGGGCGAGAAGTTCAATGAAGCGAAAAACTGACTTTTCTACGGAGAGCTTTTGCTGTGATTTTTGAATAATTAGTTAATAATTCTACTCGTTCTCCAGGCCATCAGACAGCTTGAAGCAGAAATTGAAATCACACGGAAGGCAATGATCGCAAACTCTGGAACAAGAGAGATATTGCAAAAACAGCTTTTGGAATACAGGGGTACGTTTTCTAAAGCTGTTTTCATATGCTTCTGTCTTTCCTTTAAACCTTAAACTTTTGGGTTTATAAAATAGAATTCTAACAGTTGCTGTCGTATTTAGCTCAAACCTGTGTGGTTGCATGGGCTGTAAGTCTGTGTGAGGACATTTTTGTGTGGAATAAAATCTGGGCGAAATAAAATTAGAGTACTTCTGAAATAACGTGGAAAAGTGAACAGTATCTGATTGTGCTGCCCCTCGATAACAATGATATAATTTAGAGTTCTTATTTTCAGGTACGCTACACGAGCGCTGGAGAGAGGACTTCAACCTTGATAAAGTAAGTGCTAAAAATCTTGATGGACAGAGGCAAGTATCTCTTGACATTGCATCAGTGTTCAACTTTTTTTTTACCTTTTCTTGATTAAAACAGATTTATGCTGAACGAGATTCTCTGATGTTGGAGGACATTGAAAGACTTCAAGAGGAAACCAGCGTGAGAGAAGAAAGGTAAAAAGACTGTCAGAAGGGAAACTAGATAGAAAATACTTGACGGCTGAATAATATGGAAGTTTCTCTGTAAGCTAAAGAAGGCCAACTGAGTCTTGTAATTGTGGCACTAATAATCTTGGTGTCTCATGCTTTATGCAGGATTGATGAAATCCATCAACAACTCGAAGAGCAGCTGTCGGTCTTGTCTCACTTCATTGATGGAGTGGCAAACTTAAGACCTAAAGGTTCGTCTGGCGTACTTGTTATGGCGCTTTTTGTTTGACTCTTGAAAAAAAAAAAAAGAGAAGTTATCACAACAATCATCCAGAACACTGAAAATAGAAAATCACTAGGCGTCATTGAGAATTAAAAGTAAAAGCTTGTAAAGAGACGGGTTCAAGCGCGGGAAAACGCGAATGACCACAATATCCAACGCCTTGAGAGGATGTTTACTCCCCGCCCCTTATAGAATTTTTGTTGTTTGTTATATCCTACGAGTATTTTTATTGAAGTTTTTTCATAAGCTCACTAATATGGAACCACATTTTCATGCAGCCCTTTTCCCCAGCTCCTATTCGGACTTATGTAATCTCTCGTCCATTCTTTTACAGACACTGCGCAATCAGAGCGTAAATCAGAAGGTACGAATGCACTTACATCCCTTAAGTTTTATCCCCACTCATAGGCTGGTTTGAAAGGATCCTTGCTCAATTTATGATTTAGTTTTGTAGCCGTTTTTTAGCTTGTAACTTTTGCTGCAGTGATCTATACAACACTTATGTTTTGAGCTTGAGGTTTCTATGATGAGATTGTAGCCTGAATCAACACTGAATCACGCACAAAAATAGAGAGCGAGTAATCTAATTAACTATTCGTTCAAATTTGAAAAAAGACAGGCTTGTGTTTCATTTTGTTTTTTTTACGACCGCACTCTTCGAGGCTATTCTCACTATTCTTTATCTATCATGGAATAAATAGCGAGTAACGTATTCCTAACCGATCAGATTTCAGAATTTTTAACAGAATTCTGGTGAGTAAAGTGGAAATTCTAACAGCGTGCAGTTGTGAACAAAATTAAATAAGAATATGGGCTTGTGTTATAGCTGTTTTGAAGACCATTTAATTCATACCAAAACAACTAGGTTATTCGCTCTCGATTTCAATGGCTCTAAGCCCTCCTTAATTATCACGCGATAATGTAATCGTTGAATAGCATCCACCTTCTACTGTGTTATTTCTTATTAATATCAATATGTTAGGCAAAACATTACTTAAGTGCTTGTGGATTCGAATTGATCTTGTCGTGTGTATAATAGCTCACGAGTGAGTGAAGCGACCAAGGGAAATTATTATCATCCCTCTAAGATTAAATTCGTATTCAAGCGACGTCATTTAATATCCGCCCTATGTCTGTTGTTCCATGGTCTCCTCCTGGTCAAATTTGGGGGGTATCGATGGTTACTGATACGAAACAATTTTGGTATTTAGGCGGGAAAAAGATAAAACCAGGAAAACCGCTCCACGGATCTCCGCCACTGTCACCGAAGCCCCCACCCAAATCACCGACACGGCGAAAATCTACCAGTGACGTCAGTGCACCTGTTGAAAGCGATTTATAAAGCAGAGGAGATGCCTTGATGTGTGTGTCGAGATAGCATTTTATTTTGCTGTCATTAGGGGGGTTATTTATCCTGAAAGCTTTTGTAAATAAAGGTATCTATTAAATATGGAAAGATGATGTTATTCATTGAATAACAAGGGCATACTGGGAGAAAAGAGAACTCCGAGTGTTCCCAATAGGGGTGGAACCTACGATGACTCAAGTTGCACGAGTTGTTGCTTTGGACGAGATTTCCTTAGAATCAAACATTTGTAACTCTTTCCCTCGTCCCCCTCCCCCTTCCTTTTTTTATGTCAGTCCCTATTCAAAGAGAATGCCGACAACAAGACAAATTCAAAATATTTACAGGTATGGAAAAAGTTTTTCGGTAGATACGTTTGTGGAAACCATTTTCTAGTAGAACTTTAATATCGATTTATCGACACACAGAAAATGAAAAACCAGTCATAACAGCTTCGAGACAAAATAATCATACTTCTGCATTTTAAAGTGAAGTTCTCGATCAAGCTTTTTCCCCACGGATCCGTAGCGCCAGCTGCATATCTCGAGGCGTAATAGTAACCCTACGGGCATGGAGAGCACATAGGTTCATATCATCAAACAAACTAATGATGTATGACTCTGCCGCTTCTTGGAGCGCTAGCAAAGCTGTAGGTTGAAACCGCAAATATGGGGCAAAATTGTGCGAAATCTCACGGACAAGGCGTTGGAAGGAGATTTTCCCTATCAACAAATTCGTATTTCTTTGGAATTTTCTGATTTCTTTCAACACTAGGGCTCCTGGACAGTACCTCAATCTTTTCTTTACGGGACGAGTGGTGATCAGGAGGGGTGTAATTTTCACAGGAGATATCGGAAATGTCGTGATTTCTTCATCCTCTGCTCCTTCGCGATTGAAAGGTAGTGTCTGATTTGGAAAAAATCGTTGATTTCCCACTCTGCAACCGCAGATCGTTTGCTTTATTCTAACCATGTCTTCAAAACACGTCCAAGACTTTTGATGTCTGCGTCTTTCCACCTATTTAGACAAAAAACAGAGGAGAAAATTATTATTGCTCAAAGCAAATGGAGGGTAGGAGTATAGTACGTGAACTTTACAGATAATTTTGCGGTACCTCAAATCAGTTCATTGTTAGTAGCAGTCATTTTTAGTAGTAGTAACAGGGGGAGTTTGTTGATAGCGTTAACCTCAAAACTCCATTTTCGTATTTATTCGTATCATTTGTAGATACACCATTTTCAAAAACGTTGCAATTTTAAAATGTGTATCAAATATATAAACCTTTGCTTTTCCCAACAAAAACGACTGTATAAATTTGAATAAATATGTATGTGTGCATGTAAAAAAGTTGGCAGTAGTATTTTGTGTTGTGAGGCAAATCACTCCTTTCAGCCCACAAAGAGGTTTTCAGTCCCTAGAGCGCGAAGAAACGTCTGAATAAAGTAAAGCCTTAAATTAGCTTCAAAAATACAGAAGTATTAATTAGTCTTTTAACTCCAACCTCAACAAGACCCATTAATGGTTACGAACTAATCATAAACTGTACTTACGAAGTTCACGCCAGATACTTTGTGGCCAATATTTAATGAAAATATTTCAGGAAGTTAGCTTCGATTATCGCTTAGCTAGGTCGGCGACGGGCGGCGGCAACGCGCAAAATGGCGTGAAAATATATTAAAGTTCATACGGCAACCAGGTGGACAATCAGACATGGTTTGAAAATATGCCCCAAAGTTCGAAAAGGTTTTTGAACAACTTTAACGTTGTGGCGGTTTGCTTCCTGACGCCTATTAACACCTCGTCAGAAAAAAAGGCCGCTAATTAGTGATCATATGAAGGACCTCTTGTTGCAGCGTTTAGATCACCCCTGATGAAGGCACTAGACAGGGGTGTCGAAACGTTGGGTCTATGAATTGTAACTTCTTCGGTTACATTCATTAAATCTGTAAACCAGAGTAGCATCAAACCATTTCTGATTGTCCACCTGGTTGCCGTGTGAACGTTAATATATTTTATTTGCGAGAAAAGTATGGTCAAACTGTTGTTACAAGGGTCAACCGGCTCGCGAACATCAGAGTCCGCATTGCTAAGTATCGCTGTCATTTGTATCTCAATCACCGTTGTAAAGAAAACTATGTGCTTCCATCGAGTTTGAGATTTCGACCTCCTTTACGGAGTGCTAAAGGATACAAGCTCCTAGTCCGTACTGGGTTTTCTTTTCTTAAGCTACGAATAGATGAATGTCACAGTTCCATACTACGTTTGCGAACGTTATTCTCTCGTTCACTCAGTGAACTCTCTGCTTTGATTAATAACTCCGAAACTTCCCGGGCCGAGGAGTTCTGCAGTTCGAAAGAACTGCAGACGTTTACCAAACAGAGAGAGAAACACGACAGAAAATTCCGTCATTTGCTCAGTAAGAGGTCTCCTGTTAATTCAGGCTCATCTCTGAAAGATAAATGGGTCATGAACCTTTCCTCCAAGGAGTTATCTGCGCTCGATTAAGCGCAATTTTTCATTAAAAAACGACGATTTTTTGAAGGTTTGAATAAAGACTTAAAAAAAAAATTCAACTTCTTGAAAACAAAGCAAATAGTCCCAAAGGTAATCTATTGTTTGCGCTATTGTTTTCTTCTAACAAAGGACTGTATGCATAATGAAGTATGGGGCTGTGCGGAAACTTTGCCTTTAAATTCAGTAGAGCCGTCGATCCAATTCACCCTTGAGCGTGAAAAGGATAGACACTTGCCCTTTCTTGATTTAAATGTGTCCAGAGGGGTTTAGCGTAATTTAGAGACAAGTGTTTACCGTAAACCTACCCGCACCGACAAATACCTCGCTTTCAATTCTCACCACCCTATTTGCCATAAAAAGTCTGTAGCCAAAACTTTACTTAGGAGTGCTGACTGTCTACCATCTTCACTCGATTCGAAGGCTGAGGAGAGAAAATATGTTTCTAATGTCCTAAGGGCAGATGGCTATACAAAAACCTTTCTCTGTAACTGCCAAAAACCAGTTACAACTAGTAACGCTCTTGGTGAAAGGGAACCAGCGACTAGTTTTGCTGTTATTCCTTACATTCAGGGTGTTACGGAACCCATCAAGAGAATTTGAATAGCCAACGCGAAAGTTCCTCAAAAACCTTTTCGGACTTTGGGGTATATTTTCGCCAAACCTAAGGATCTCGTCACGAAAGAACAACGAACCGACGCCATTTATTCTATTCCTTGCAATGACTGTGATAACGAAGACATCGGACAGGCCAAACGTCAGTGTGGTCCACGTTTAAAAGAGTATCAAAAAGCGGTTTTCTTTTGCAAAAAGGAAAATTCAGCTTTAGCGGAGCACACATGCCTAACTAACCATACAATTGGGTGGGATAATTCTAAAATTATCACCACTAATCGGTGTTACCACCAGCGCCTTTGTTTGGAGGCTTGGCATATTACTCCGCCCACGCTCCTTAAAATAGTGACGATGGCGGTTTGCTTCTTGACGCCTATTTACACCTCGTCAGAAAAAAAAGGCCGCTAATTAGTGATCATATAAAAGGACTTCTTGTTGCAGCGTTTAGATCACCCCTGATGAAGGCACTAGACAGGAGTGTCGAAACGTTGGGTCTATGAATCGTAACTTCTTCGGTTACATTCATTAAATCTGTAAACCAGAGTGGCATCAAACCATGTCTGGCGGGAAAATGATTTATCATCACTTCCGGTCACGTGACAAGTTGCTAAGTGCTCCGTAGATCTGTCACGCACGAGTAAAACTTTCCGGTTCTCTACGACAAAATGGAGCAAATTTTTCTTGTTCAGCTCCTGTTTTTATCGAGCCTTATTATTTCTTTAGCGGCGGTAGATATCACCCTAAAGAACGATGATTTAATCCACTCGCCGTTCTCTGAGGAATTGGGAAACGACGCGAATCTGGATGGGCCAAAAGTTTTTACGAAGGAGGAGCTGTCGGTATACGACGGAGAGAATGTAAGTAATATTCTATACTTTAAAGTCGGTTAATTTGGATACATTTGATCCCCACGATCTCCTAGTTATTTGCCTGTTGTCATCTTCAAAGGTGTACAGTGTAGAGGTTATTGGAATCCCTAAAAAGATTACGTGACATATCTAATCTCAAGTTGGACTGCCAACGACGAGTGACATGATCTATGCCATGTTTAATTTTCTATTGTTCAATTTTGCTTCGTCATCTTTTTCGCTTCCAGCCTGATCTTCCCATCTACGTAGCGATCAAAGGGATTGTATTCGATGTCTCAGAATCGAAAAGTAAGACTTGGATCGTATTTTCTTACTGTTTGTCATCTTTCCATTTGCCACTTGTCAGTTGATGAGTAAAGATGCCGCAATTATTTTTCTTTCTCCTCTGTGAGTAGAAGCTTATGGACCCGGAGGATCCTACAACAAGTTCACTGGCAAGGATGCATCAAGAGCTGTAGCCAAATGGTCTATGGCAGAAGAGGATCTCAATGATAATTTGGTGAGGCCTGCATGACGTCATACGAACCTATATTAAATTTAATATTTCCTGAAATAATCAAGCGAGCAGAGTGGCGCAGAGGAAGCGTGCTGGGCCCATAACCCAGAGGTCCGAGGATCAAAACCTCGCTCTGCTAGAGTATTTTTTTCTTTTCCAATCTTCTCCAATTTTTTTTTTAATTCCTTTTTTTTTTATCCTTTATTTTTCGCATTTCTTTATTTTTATTTTTATCATCCAGGAGGATCTATCGGAAGCTGAACTCAACCGCCTAGATACAGTCTTCAAGAAGCTGTACTTGGAAAAGTATCCCAAGGTTGGTATTGTCGAGGGACACGAGCCTTACCATGAAGACAACCTCACTATAAGAAAGAATAAAAACATAGAACTTTGAGTGGTAAATGTCCAATTTTCATAGGATAAGAAATCTGTTGGAGAAGTTTTGCTTTAAGAGTGATCGCACAGATACACCGAACAAGTCGGTTCGTAACGCCCTAGATAGCATTTGATCACAGTTAAGAGGCAAGTCATTCCTAATTCAAGATCGATGCCTCAATTTGTAGGTTGTTTGAAAACTTCTCATTCAAGCTTGTGTGTGAAGGTAAATGCTTTTTCCAGAAGCCTGTGTCAACCTGTGAAGACAAAGCTTCTTCATCTTATTTCGTCTCCATTTACTTACATTGTAAGGACAGAAGATTTGCGGTGAAAACTCGCAAGTCTTGCATTTTTTTTCTTGTTTTCTCGAAATCGAATGAGTAGAATTTAAAAAAGATACATGTAAAAACTGGTTAAGATAGGATTAATTGCAGTGTATTTCTAGGGGTGTGGAGTATTTTTTTAAGGATGCGTGTGTTAAGATAGTATTAATTGCAGTGTATTTCTAAGGGTGTGAAGTATTTTTGTAAAGATGCCTGTTTCCAAGAAAGTAAAATTAAAAATAAAAGCAAGGACAAAGAACACTGACATCTTTAATCTATTTGTTGTTTACTGCCGTATTGATGACTGCACCATCGACAATTTTTAAAATCTTTTTACATGCATCAGTGACAAACTGCTGTGCCTCATGTGCCACTTTCTTGTTCTTACCACATTTTTTAAGTCATCTGTGATCTATTGCTGACACAGACACATAGAAACATGGACTATATCAATTAGGAGTAAACTAGTTACCTTAGGACACCTTCAGCTTGATGATTGTCTTGAAAAGCTCTATTAAGGAAATGATTATACAGAATTTGGCAGTGTTTTTATTCACAAGCCGACCAGTTCACCAGAGTAAAACCTTACTTTCATTTGTTTACTAGCTCAAATTTGTTTCTGAGTAAACCACAACCAATAATGCCTAAGAAGAAAATTAATAATTAATTATCATGGCTTGCAAGAACATTGGAAAAATGATAAACCTCATCACTATCGTACAACAGTTTGGTCGTGGCAATTTACATAGCCACCTTAATTAGATCTCGCCCAGAAATAGCACTTGATGCAGCTTGTTAAAAAAAATGCAGACTTCTCACCAGTTTTCAACACTTAACCTTTGTTTCCCATACTTAACCCCTTAAACTCTGATGAATGACCAAGAAAACTTCTCCTGGCTTGCAATATCAATGCAATATCACCACAAGCAGACAAGAAAGTGAGAATGAAGAAAAATATCAATTAGGGGATTATTAGTTGATTCGCTACCAAATTCTCTGTACTGATATTGGGACAATTGTATGCAGAAAGTGAGGAGAATTACTAATGAAATCTTAGGGGGAAAAGGGTTTAAAATAACTGAAGATTCTGTACAACCCTCCTATCCAACAAACATTGCAGTCAAAAGGCATCTTTCTCAACCACAGATAACTTTATTTTGCCTTGGAGTAAACAACAACCACCAAGTCCTGGTCACAAAACAAATAATTTATTATGATCTATCTTTAATTAAGCATGGCTTGCCAAAACATTGAAAAAGTGATAAACCTCATCACCATCATACACAGCTATTTCTGTGTTGCATTCTGTACAAGCCACAGGGTGATAACATTCTGACAAGGAACTGTCAGCTGAGGTTGCACTGTCTTTAGTGAGTTGAACAAGTTTTCCCTTCTGAGCTTTCTTTCGCTTCTTCCCTGGTTTTTGTTGTTGAGATGGCTCATATCTTAGAATTTCATCTTTAACAACTTTACAGTTCATAACAAACATAGCTCTGTATTGGTTTTTGTACATGTCATGTCTGCAAGGAAGAAAAGATACCAAAACGCAAGTTTTTCTCTAAACCTGCTCTTTGTAAAAGCAACTGGAAGATTCCCTAATTTTAGGGACAATACTACGAAAGTTCTCCAAAGTTACTGAATTTTTTTAAAAAAATGTCTACTTTGCTAGTACAATTCATATTTGTTTGTTTTTTTTTTAACATGCACCAGAAATGAAAAAAAAACATCTTTTTAACAATGAAACCAACAAAGTGATGATGCAAAGGTTGCTCTTTGAAAATAGAGTGCAATTTACCTGTCCAAAATGAAAAAATTCAGAACCATACTTCAAAATTTTGATGCAGTTATTTACTTCTCTATTCTCCAATAAAACAGAATTTTCATCAACTTAAGAGGTTTAGTGCAGTTTGGAAGACAAGTCTCTCTGATAATAGTGTACAAGTTATTGTTACTGCAGTGCAAGAAAATAAATATGTGCAATTTACCAGACTCAAAACCCATTTCAAAAATTTTGCAATTTGCACACTAAGAATGGATAAATTGTCTTTCATGCAACTGAAAACTCTGCCACTTACCTCTGACAGTCAATGCATAGTGTTGTCATACATGCTGGACAAGACAGTATAGCATCACTTGAAGGAACTTTTTCCACATTCTGTTTGGACTTTTTAGTTTTCTTTTTACTTGCTGAAGATTCCTCTTGGTTTTCCTCTTGGTTTTCCTCTGTACTTCTGACTGTGTTTATTCTTTGCTGTACTAAATTTCAAGTTGTTGAAAGAAAATGTTTCATGGTTATACATTATGGTATCCAAGTGGTTCCTTCTTTTAACAGTAGTGTAAGTCTTAAAAAGCCCTCATAAAATGTTTGCCAGGAGTCTATATACAATACATACCCATGGCAAGGACTATCAATGTGATTCTACCACAGTAGTAAGGTCTGTATTATGCGATGCAGTAGCAGGAGAAGAGTACTAAGTAACCCTTTCATTCCCAAGATCTCATTAGTGACTATTTTTACTGTTTGCCATGGATCTCTTATGAAGTTAGTACTGAGAATTTGGTGCTAAATGAAATAATTACTCCTTAACCCTTTAACTCCCAAGATCTCATTAGAAATTCTCCTCACTGTCTGTCATACAATTCATATAATGTTAGTTTGGAGAATTTGGAACCGGATCAACCAATAATCCCCTAATTGATATTTTTCTTTATTCTCATTACTTGTATGCTTGATATTGTACTGATAGTGTAAGGAGAAATTCTGTCTAGATCACTAGTGGGACTCAAAGGGTTAATTGATATCTTCTTGATTCTCATCACCCGTTTGCTTAATATAGTACTAATATTGTAAAGAGAAATTCCTACTTGGTCATTCATGGGAGTGAAAAGGGTAACAAGAGGATTTACTACATTGGGTGAATATGGGCTCTGCTACTGAATTTGACAAGAAAAAATGGCTTCACAAGCCATCAAAATTTAGAGGGATAATTCTTTGTAATAGTAGGAATTCACTGATCTCTGATATGTATATCATGGAAAAGAGGGAGGAGGGCTCAAAGGTTGCTGGTTAAATAGAGAATTTAAGGTACAATTTGAACCAGCAAGCTGTCAAGTAGTTTATTATAAAATAACCCCTTACACCCTAACATCAGTATGCAATTTCCCCATACTGTTCTCTACAAATTGCCTATGTTACTTATGAGAAGAATTTATCTCACAGTTAGGAGTTTCTTGGGTTCATGATTATTTCCTTTATTGAAAATGAAGTTGACTTGATATCTGGCATGGGATACTGCTATGTTAACAATTCGTCAAAATTAAGACGTTTTTAGTTATCATACTTCTCTGTCTGTGGTCCTGTCTTTGTCTAATCACCCATTGTTCATCTTCATCATCCATGTCTGGATCGTACAACAATTCATCATTGGTTAACATTTTCCTCCTTTCCTTGGATTTTGAAGGCTGTCCACCAACTCGGTGTTCATCGTCTGAACCTGAACTGAAGTAGTCTTCGGCATACATGGTATTGTTGTCTTCAGCAGCATCACCATCTTGAGTGTTGTTATTGCTTGAAGTTGCATCATTTACACTTTTCCCTACAGTAATGTTTGTATTCTGATTACCTTGATCCTCTGAAAAGGAAAACATCATTTAAGATAATATTACTTTTTAACAACTGTAGTACATTAAAAAAAAATTCACTGTTGATATTAAAGATATCACAAGTCAAGACTGCAACAATAAATCAAGAACAAAGTTTTCCAGTCAAAGGAAGTATGTCTTCATTGTGATATGTATCATTCCTTGAAAATTTAAGTCAATCAAATACACCATTTTCAGACTGTGATCTTCTGCCACCATATACCCTTTATTTTTTTTCTTTTTGTTTGTTGTTATTATTTTTCTCTTGAGGTGTTGCCCTCTCTGGCAAAGGACAGTTGCTCTTTTCAAAATGAAGCTATCCCCTGATGTTTTACAAAACTACTCATAATACATGTGAAGTGACGGTAGAATTTTCCACAAAAGCGATAAAGGAATTAAAAAGATAAATGTGTAACCTCTCCATATCCCTACATTTTTCAGCAAAAAGGTAATGTGAACACTCAAACTTGATCTAACACCAGATTCTCCTATATAATTCATAAAGAAGCGTGTTGTAGCTGATAGAGATAGTAAACAATTAGATCTTGGGAGTTAAAGGGTTAAATAAACTGTTTACCATGATCTCCCTCATAACTTTTTATCACACTTTCCAGCTCAAGATCCATTTCCTTCTCAAACTCATCCTCACTGCTGCTTCCTGTTTCTTGCTTTTGATCTTTTAATAATCCCTCTGTGACAAACTCGTCATCAGAGCTGACAGCAAAGAAAAAAAAAACTTCATTCAAAAAGCGATTAGGGTTATCTTTAAATCAGAGGAGCTGTTTTTGAATTGTGATCAAAGACAGAAAAGAAATATTTTTTAACTGATTCTAACATTTATGTCTGGCTAAAAAAATATGTCTCAGAATGCTAGAAATATGTCTAAGAAGTTTCGAATTTCAATATTTTTTCTGGACAAACAGATACGTGCCCCCAGACTCCTCTGAAGGCCCGTTGCTTTGTGATATGCCATATTTACTAGGCAAGCTATGCAAGCATAAATCAGTTCAGCGACCAACTCTCCTCAGATCATACATCCGTTGCATTGTCTTATAATCCTAATCGATAAGATTTAGTACGAGTACTAAACGCTTGCCACAATAGCAAAATACTGGCGACGAGATAATTAGCCAGAATATGACCCTTTGAGAATAGCAACTCAAAAGGCTGCTTGATCCGAATGCAAGGAGGGCATTCATAACTAGTTCTTCACGGTCAGAAAATGTAATGTCTTTGCTGGCTTATATTTCTCAGGACTAAGGGTAAAGATGATTGAATGTAATAGTGCGAAACAAACAAAAAAAGAAGGAAGAATTTTGCATTGAAACAAAAGAGGGTTGAGAGCAGGTGACAGGCATTCAGGAAATTTCTAGATCACATGCTAAACCACACACTGACAGAGATATTACAACTGCAATTCAGAAATAAATTCTCCATATAGATTAAGAGTATGGATAAAATATCTCTCAAAACAAACTATATGCACTGCTGCACTAACTGCAGCTGAAGGCTTCATATTATATGATTTTTCAGTCAAATCTTCTGTGTAAATTTTCTCTCTTGGTGCAAACTTTTCTTTCCTGCTTAACGATTTACATCAGCAGAAACTGTCAGAAATGATTGACAAAGGTTCTGTATCCATTTTCATTATTTCAGCTATTGTAAAGCTGCCAGTTTAATCTATTCCTTTTAAAGATGAAAAAAATGCAACTCGCAAAAATAACCACAGAAGCTGAAGGCGCATCAAAATTTTGTGTCATAGGGAGTGTTTGCTACCAAGAAACGGATAAATTTTAAACCAAACGACAGATGGATAAGCCATGTAAATCCTTGTCATTCCTTCTTAACCAGGAAATCGTCACTAAGGGTCGCATGGCGTTTCATTTTACGTCATTCGCACATTTTTTGGAAACAAAATGCGACTGTATACAACCATTTTTACAGAGCAGAATCCAGACGGTGACAATACCGGCATATATCCTGAGCATTGACGCACGTCTGTGTTAAAATTTGTAAGTTTTTGGCCGAAACACACGGAAACCAGGCGATCGCGTAAAGACTGTCTCTATTACATGTATCCCGAAAAGCATTTCATCGAGGTCCGAAGGAGTATTTGCAAAGCTGAGATTAACTGAAGTACCTCTCGTTTCCGCCATCGTCTGAGCTGCTATAACCTCCAATATTGTAAGGATCTTCTTCATCCAACATAATTTTCTTGGGAAAATTCATGATTTTCTTCGCTTAAGCGGAGGTTACTCGCCACATTTAATATCTCGTCTTCGATCTCGACACAGTGGAGACTGGGGCGAACACGTACTTGATCTATATCAGTTTTCTCGTACTACTTATCAATAGAAATCTTCATTTACAGGTACTGAGAATCTATTATTCATCGGTCCAGTGTTAAATAAACGACCTCGAAGTAATTGTTGGGAGGGTGCGAAAATGGCGTCGATTTCTGCGAAGACCACGTGCATTGGCTGGGAAGATTTCCTTGCTCTTCATCGACCACAACTACTCTCAATCGGTTTACCGGAACACTTATGGGAAAGACTTTACAAAAAGCTAGCGCCTATTCCAAGTTGTGACGCCACAGAGGCATTTGAGCTGCACAAAGACGAACAATTTGTCTCTTTGGGTCGTTGGTCTCTACACGCCAGACGGGCTTTGCAAAAACTTGGCGACGTGTTTCTCATCGAGCATGCTTGGTCCAGCGATGGCAATGCGGCTGCGAAGAAATCTTTGGAAAAATCTCCGAAACTTTTGACAAGGGTGAAGGAAATGCTTGGGCACAAAGAAAACAACCCTGACGACGAGGCGGCCGGGGAAGCTCTATTAGACAGCTCTCTGGTTCTGTCGCAAATCGGTGGAATTAACGAAGAAAAAGCTAAAGAAGCGCTTGAGGCTACCGACGGTGATCTAATTGAAGCTTTGTGTCAAATCACGGACGATTCTTATGAAACTAAAAAATCGTCGAAATCTAACAGGTCAAAAATTATGACCTTCGAGGAATTCAAAACTGGCTTTCTTCACGGCGTTGGAATGGAGAAAGCAAAATTACTTTCGGAGGAATACATTGAAAAGATGTATTCCCGATACAAAAGGGAGAAAGAGGAGTACCCTGAGTCGATGGGCTTTGGTTATGGCACGACCTCTTCGTACAGTTGGTCGGAGGAAGAAGAGGGCGCTATGACCGTGCTAGTGTCTATTCCAGTAACGGTAAAAAAGCGGGATGTTGTGAGCAAATTGACTACGAAGCGGTGGACTCTTGGCCTGAAAGGATCTGCCCCTATCATCGATGGCGAGTTTTATGGCAATGTCTGCCCGGATGAGTCTTTTTGGACATTTGATTCACCTGGAGTTTTGGTCATGACGCTTCAAAAACCAGAGAACGAAGAATCGGAGTTGTGGCCAGTAAGTTTTCTCGATTTGATCTTGAGTAAATAGCGTATTTTCTCTCGAAGCAAGCGTGACAAAATCGTCGTTCTAAAATTCTTAGGGTGACACTCGCTTCGATCGTGTCAAAGATGTAAGGTATTTATTAACTAATTACAATGAAATCCGTAAAGTCGTACAAATTTGATGGAGTACACTTTACCTATTACGGCCAATATTAACGCAAACAGAAAATTTACTGTTTTCGTTCTAAGTGGCTTTGCCATCAAGAGTCAAGTGCGTAAACGTATTCTTTATAATCGATCCAATATTTGCATTTTTCAATAAAATTTGTTACATCATTCTGAACATTTTCCTGGGAAGTTTGGTTCGCTTTTCAATTGTTAGGCGATTTTGAAGTGACCGTATTTCAGTAGTATTCTGTCATGTTGAATCTTTTGTATTTGAGAGATACCGATTGACAAGTTTAGGTTGCCGAATTATTATTGCTCTTTGAATACTTTTGTAGAAATTCCACCCGTGCACTCATATCAATACAAACATCTTAAAATACAGTTAAATAAATATCTCAGTGTGTACTCAGGAGATTTTTTTTTTCCGTCACAATCGGAGCCACACCTGTAGTTGGCAATTTTCGGTGTGTACAGATGCTGACAATCTAATTAAAAATGTCTCTTTGAGAAGCCTCCGGCGAAAGTAACAAAATCTGCTTCATAGTGAAGCTAATGAAAGATCTTGCTACCTGTAGTGGTTGAGTGATCATGTTACATCATAGAATTTGATATATTGCCAACCCTCCACATTCCATTTGCGTGGAACTGTGATAAAAGCCACTATTGTGGCCATTTTGGAATAAATTTGGCTGAGAAATGAGAACGGTTAATGTGTTTTGCTGAAAACACCCTACAGCATATGTTATTGTGAAGTGAAAGTCCATTTATTAAAGAGACAAAAGCCCAAAAGCAATAAAGAAGGATTTTTGCTTTTTTTTTTTCTAAATCATTCAACTGTGGCAATAACAATTCAATGATAGGGTATAACTTAAACTTGAAATTTGTTTTAATCATTTAGATCCAGACATCTGATCGGTAGTTGTCTTCTCTGTCTCTTACTTCTATGTATTTCTTTGTACAGAATTATGTTAGGGTTTTATCTGTGTTTTAACAGTGTTTGGAGAATATATTGGTTAATCTTGTCTTGAATAGGAAATATTGATAATGTCGATATACATGTACTTAAAAGGTTTCATGTCACTGAAGTTATTAATTACTTGTCAGAGAGAAAGTGGAGAAGACAATGGCAATACTCCTGTGCTTTGAAGGTTTCAGTTGAAAAAAAAAATCTTGAGAATGATGTTGCAAATCAAGTGCTCTCAAGGTTTCAGGAAACTAGACTAATTTAACCAACAGAATTATCTGCTAAATCTTGTATGCTCAGTATTTCTCCTTTCAAAACTTCTGCCTTGAACTTGTTTGGTTTCTCTTCCCAATTTCAGGTTTTGATCAAAGGAGAAAAACATTTAACAGAAAAAGAGATTTCTGATCAAGCAAGAGAGAAGGATCAAAGAAGTGACTTTGAACTAAGTAGTGTCTTAAACAATATGTGGTATTACAACCAGACCTATCAGGTAATGACGCCAGAGGGTGATAAACGCAAACCTGTTTGGTACATCATGGATAAATTTGGATCTGCTATTGTTCATAATACTCAACCTAATGTTAAATGTTCACCTTTTGCTTTTTCTGCAACTGGAGTCTTCTACTCCCTTCTTTGGCCTATAAGGGATTTAGACAAAGGAGAAATGTGTACTAGGAATTTTTGTCCTGCCCTGAGTGGAACAGAAACAAATCTGCAAAGAGAAGGTCGACTTTTGGCTTTCAGTCCTTCCTTGCCTGAGAGTGTTCCAACAGCGTTTGTGGTTGAACTTTCAAAGTTTCCACTAGCAGCCAAAGAAAACAATATTGTGATCAATGTAAGCTCTTTAGAAACACCTGCAGCAAGTCAGAACTGTCTTCAATTGAAGGGCAAAAAACTGAATCTGAAATTCTTTATGGAGACAAATGGAAAGGAGAAAAGGCCAGTTCTGAGAGATTTAGGCTGTACCCTTGTAGAATCTATGTCAGAAGCTGAAGCGGTTTGGCTTGAGAAATGGAATACTTTGGGCAAGAAGGTTGGCTCTGAGGCAAGAGTTAACCGACTTGCTGGAGAAGAACACCTACTTCATCGCCAACTGCTTTCTAAGCAAGTTCAACAGGTTTGGGGCAATGTACCTTGGTTCCCAGTTTCTTATGACCTGTCACAGCAGTTGCCAGCTTTGTGTGCTGATCACTACACCCATGGCATAGCCAGTTACTGGATTTTAAGAGCAGCAGATCCAAGCACTCTCAGTATCCCACCCATTGTGACCAGTGATCTACGCAGAGTCATCAGGTGTACAGAGATGGGACAGTTGGTAGCTTCTCCATGTAAGTACTCACATGTTTTCAAATATCTGTCATTATTTCATGAACAAGCACAAAATCTACCATCTATTCTATCTTATTTACACTGTGATGAACCTAACAATGGCCAAGCTTCTCACTGTTTCTGTGGCTCAGTGGTAGAGCAAGGAAGGAAGGTCAGACTTTCAATTTCTCAGAGCAACTCGCAATTTTTTCTTGGTCCCAGGACTGTTGCAAAATGAATAAAGTCATCTTTCTTATGGTCTCCCAATTAATCCAACAGCGTTTTAATTTATCAAGCGTTGGATGTTGTCCTTGAGTAGCATAGTGTTATAAAGTCAGACGCGTAAATCAAGTGAGGCCAGGTATGTAACGATAATTTAGTTTTCCGAGCTTTTGCGGATCTACGGCATCATGATGCTGGCCTCACTTGATTTACATGTCTAAGTGTTTTAATTGTCATCAGCTTAAAGTGTAATCAGGTTTCTCCAGAGGAAAGTCTCTTGCTTAGGAACACAACACAGGGACTCTACCCAACTTGAACACAAACTGCAGTGACTGCTGCAGAATCCAGTTTGCTGTAATCACTAACACAACATTTTTGTTATCCTTTGTTTATTTTTTTAATCTTTATATAAATTAAAAACTTAGATAGTTTCTTAATCGCTGGTTGTGAAACAGTTTTTGCCCCAGTCAGATCTATATAATCATTTCTCATGAGCAATATTCTATCAACAATACTGGGCTTGATTGTGTCAATAGTTGTTTATTTTTTTTTCCATTTCAGATTGCTTTGAGACAGTTTTTTACAAGAAGAGGCGTTTCTGTCTCCAGTATTCAGTCACAGTGAAATCATTGACACCTCTGCAACTCTTGATACACAACACACCTCATGTTGAGGTGGCTGAGAAAGAGCATAACCCAAACGTTTTTTTTGATGAGTTTGAATCTTCAGATCTTGTATGTAGTTGCACTGAGCCAAAGAAGAATGGGACATTAAACCTCAAAGTGACTCATGAGGAGTTCTTAAAACACTTAGGCTCTAATTACTTGACAAAGAAGCAGATCACTTGGGATGCAATCCAGTCCGTGATTCACGAGAGCATTGCAAAGCTGTTTTATGCTGTGGCACCAAGTCTTTCAGCCTTTCAAGGACGCAGTGGAAGAGAACTCTGTGCTGTGTACGGTGTAGATGTACTACTGAAAGACACTTTCGAGCCTCTGATCATTGGCATCGATCCTACGCCAAAGTTTGATAGCCAAAAATGTTTTGCTGATGTACTGTTCACGGCATATGGACAGAATGGGGAGTGTTCAGAGAGTTCAAACATCAGCCAGATTTCAGTGAGAGAAGGCTGAAGTTTTTTTCCAGAGATGCAGTTTTTCAAAGTTTTTAAGGTATTGACACATGTAATTATGATCTTGATTAGTGTGTACATGTAAGTAAATAACAGCAGTAAATGATCAGGAATTATGTACATAGTATCTTAGATGTTGTACACAGGCAAGGATTTTTTTGTTTTACATTTAGGAAAAGTATTTTGCTGTACTATAGACTTCTCATGAATGATGCAATTTAGATATGATCGGTCTCAAGAGACTTAGATAAGTAATGCCATGATTACACAGCGATGAAGCTGAAGGAAACAACCTGATTTGATTGTGTGATTTTTTGGTGAAAAAATTATAAGAAAGATGTTCATCTAGACAATTACTTACAATGTTGGTAGATAACTTTTGCATGAGTAACCCTTTATCTTTATAAAAGTGAAACTTGCCATTGATAAGACATCACAGAAGTATGAAAATTTCTTATCCACTGCACTGATTTTTTAGTTGTAAAATAGTTTGTAGTTTTCTGGTTTGATTTTAGAACATTTTGTGTCAATGTTATCATCTGATGGAGAGCTACTACATAGGAGGTAAATTGCTGAGATCATTCTTGTACAAGTTGCAGGTATGAATGATGCACTATACCACTCCTAGACAGCTGTTTGAACTTTTCTCTGGAAATTCCATCTTGGAAATCTCTAACATCCCAATGTGGATCAAAATCTGCAGATAACCTCAGTTCTTTTTAAGTTAGGTACTATACAAAATATGAAACTCACATCGGAACAGATTCACCAGCTGATTCATGTATATGGACATTCAAGTCGTCAAAAAGCTTGATACAGCATTTTAACTGCATTTTATCCATGAAGCTCTCACACCAAATACCATACTTACCAGTTACTGCTTTTAACCCTCTACACCCCAACATCAGTATCCATTTCTTCTTTACTCTTCCCTGTACAAGTCTTTTGCTACTGACATACCTGTTATTTTCATTATCTTCACCCTTTAACCCGTTAATCCCCATGAGTGACCAAGAATCGTGTCCCATGAGACAGAATTCTCCTAACAATATTAATACAATATCAAATAGACAAGTGATGAGAATAAAGAAAAATATCAATGAGGGGATTACTAGTTGATTCAATACCAAATTCTCCAAACTAACAGACAGTAAGGAGAATGGCTGATGAGATCTTGGGAGTTAAAGAGTTACCTCCTATAAGTGACCAAGACAAAATTTCTCCTTTCAATACCAATACAATATCGACCAGATAAGTGATGAGAAGAAGGAAAAATATCAATTTGGGGATAACTAGTTGATCTATTACTTAATTCTCTGAACTAACATTAAAAGAATTCTATGGTTGACAGTAAGGAGAATTACAAGTTTGATCTGGGCGTCAAAGGGTTAGTGAATGACTCAGCAGTATTGCTGTAAGGAGAAATTACATGCTGGTCCTTCATAAGGTTTAAAGGATTAATACCCTTGATTTGTAAGCTTAAGTTATTCCAGAAAAAAAGAGATCAAGCGTATTTGTGGGCCCTTCCCTTGGTAATTGTTGGAAAGTTTAACCTTTTCACTCCCAAGATGTCATGAATAATTCTCCCTATTGTCTGTCATAGAGTTTGCATGATGTTAACTTGGAGAATTTGGTATTGGATTAACTGATAATCCCCTAATTTATTTTTTTCTTTATTCTACCACTTGTCTGCTTGATATTGTGTTGATACTGTTAGGAGAAATTAAATCTTGGTCACTCATGGCAATTAAAGGGTTAAAGACAGTCCAGTTCTTTTTCTTCATATACATTTGAATTGAAATTTTTAAGTACTAGGTTGTTTTCAATTGTTACATATTCTCTTACTTGTAAAAAACTTTTTGCCATAAAAAGATTAATGCCCATTCATAATTCATTCATGTTGTAGGATATATTTACATTGTGTGATTACTCACAATTGTACACCAATTAAAATGGTTGGTGCCATGTATAGGGTAATCGTCTAATTTATGATTCAATATATTTGATATATTTACTATGCATTTTTCACCCACACTTCAGCATCAAGGCGTACATACAGTAATTTTATAATATATGTTTGAAAGAAGAACTTTATTTTATGTTGAGTGCATATTTACAAAGGTGTGATACAAATTGATGAGATTGTTAGGCTGTTATTGCAATTGAAAAATTTAGTCCAATAGTAATCTGATTTGTTAGAAAGTTTGGTGTAAAAATGTGATGAGCTTTGTTATGTTGAGCTGGTGACCATCTCAATTTTTTTTACGATTTCAAAGACCTTGATTAAAAGTATGCTTAGATGTACAGTAATTGTGTGGCGTTATTGCAAGAGTTAATTTTGTGCGCAATGAAAACAGAGTAGTAACAAAATTGGAGGTTAATGTCCATAAGAGCATGGTTGTTATTGATAATTTTGGCCACTGATGATTTGAGTTCTTTTGCTGTCTTTTCATTCCTTTTTGTTGTGGCAAATTAAGCAGTCTTCCTGCCTCATTACATCATTACAAGCAGTGTTTCTCAGATGGGATTATTTCAGAATGCTAACAACTGACTAAGTGTATCCCTTACAGAAATTGAGTGGAATGTAACACAATGCATGAGATATATTTGGGAAGGGGGTTGTGGGGGGCAGGATGTCAGAAGAGCAAGCAAAACAAACAAAAAAATGTGCTAGCTTGTTTCTTGTGTTCTTTGGCACCCCTGTTTTCAAATTGAACACCTGCAAAAGAAACAATTTCTGTAAAAGATAAATGGCTGCTTGTAGATTTGGCATTTGCCATCCAAGAGGTAAACCCTCCCCAGTTTGATTGGAAAAGTGTTGCTTGGACTTTACAGTTAATGTATATTAATGTCTTAGATTCTTTCTGCTCAGATGAACCTAAGTTAGCCTTAAAAGTAATATTTAAGTGAATTACTCTTTGTTACTCAGAGTGCATTTGTAAGAACTGTAATTTTTAAGTTCTGTTTGTGAGGGAAAATTGATTAACTTGTAATCATTTTCCCAAGGAGATGCAACTGTTATTGCCTCTCCACAATGTGAGGTAGCAATTCATTTTTGTTTTGGTAGTAGGCTTAAAATTAAATGTTTAAAACTAAGGTGAAGGTGTGGTTTAATAGTAGCATCCACAATTAATCTAATTTGTAATTTGTGGGGTGTTAAAATGTGTTGAATTGTTGAATTGGCCTTCATTGGAGCTGCTACTTAAAATTTCATTTTAATTTGAAATAATACATTTTTAGTAGAGTCTTCAGCGGATGTTGGAGGAATGTTTTTTGGACTTTTTTGAGAATCTAAGCATTTTGTGACAAGGGCTTTCATGTCCTAAATTCCTGTGTCATGTAAGACACAGGAAGGAATCTATTATCTGAAATCGCCTTGAAAGTATTGGTGTGCATACCAAGTATCATTATGTCATTATGAAAAGAACCATATTTATAAGTGTCGAAATCATCTTTGCTGTCCCTGGTTATTTTCATAGATGACCATATGGCAGGAACAGTTTAAAAGTGTACTGCAGATTTCACGATAAATAGTGATACATGAATGATAGGAAAGCTTTTTAATGTATTGGTAGCAGTTCCATGAAGGGTATCAGCATTAAAACTGGTCAGATGTCTCCCCTTTATTTGAATTTGAATCTGTTAGCCATCGCCATAATTTAATTTAGGACAACTTTTGAAGAAGCCAGTACACAAATTTTGTCTTGGGGCCAGGTTGCACTTGAGTGAATTCAAATATTTTCCAATTTTTCACAAACCAAAAATTGGCACAATTTTCACTCTTTCCAAAGTTTGGTAGCAATCGTGTCGAACTAATATCCTTTGACCAAAACTTTACTGATTGATTCATATGTCCATCACAAAGTCATCTCTTTCTAGAAAGAGATTCAAACAGGGGGTCACCCTTTTCACTTAGCAAACAAAGAAAGCTTTAGTGCAACCTGGGCCTTATTTCACACTTTTTAATAAGGCATTATTTGAAATAGCAAAACTCAAGAGAACCGAGCTTTTATTTTATATGTATTCATTTGCTTTTGTCTTTCTCAGTGTTATTGAATTTCAAAATTTGATATGGTCAATGGTGATGCAACAGATTGAATATTTAAATAATCTGGTCAATAACTGACTTACATGGGTGTGTTAGACCTAGTTGTACTGTATCAGCTAAGTGTTACAAATAATTAAATGTAATATATTATATAACCAGTTGATTGTTCTGCTAAACTTAGCAGTGTTAAGTGTGGTAATTGCTACCTTCACGTCCTTACCACTTGTACTACTCTGACGGTTGGCATGTGAATAAAAATACTGATGTATTTGTCAATGTCACATTTGACTGAGTGTTTATATGTAGAGAATATTACTCGGACATGGGTGGAATACAAATTTTATATATGAGTTTTGATGATGTTGCTCACAAGTGGGATAAGCAAACAAATGGCAGATATTATTGACACTTGAAAATAAAGTCTTATCCATTAACCCTTTTACTCCAAAGATCTGATTCTTAATTCTCCCCTTTAGCTGCAACACTTTTCCCAGTTACTTAACTATGAGAATTTGGTGTTAAATCTAGATAACATCTTCTACCCGATAAGTGCAAGTATTCTTATTACCAGTTTGCTGGATAATGTATGGAAATTTTTAGGGAGAATTTATATGGTAATCATGGCATGATAGGCTACATATTAACCCAAGTCATGGTAGTTCAACGTGTGAACAAAGTCCGTGAAGTTATCTGAATTTTTTTGCTAGTTAAGCATTTTACATCAACTGAATTCAGCTGTGATGATGTTTTAGTAACAATAAAAAATGCTAAGCTGATGTACTGCCTCTTCACACATGGAAGAGTTAAGAATTATCTCCACTGAAGGGGATGAAGATATCGAGCTTCACTTGATCTCTACAGTTGATGGTCAACATGTACAATAATGTCATGCAGCTATCAGCTTCCCATCAGCAGTATGCTGCAACAGTCATTAGCAAGCTCTTGTTCATCACTTTATGCAGTTATAATTTCTTGGTCTGGATTTCAATAGATTCGTATGATAATTTGCTCGCATTAGTAGTCTGTCAACTAGCAATGGAAAATCAACCTTTTCTTCCTTTGCTCCACCTTTAGTCCCTACCAGCTGACTAATTCTTTAGTTCTGCACAAGCCAGAATCACCAAATACCAAAAGGCTCCTCCCATCTCAAATCTGTCACCCACTCGTTAAAAAGGCTTTGCTAGAGCTCAGCCTAGGTACACAAACTTAGCCAAGTTTCAGTTCATATTTGACACAATCGGCACAGGAGACACATCTCCATCAAAATCTAGTGGACTCATATCACTTAAAGCAGGCATTAAGAGGTCCTCTGATTAGCTTGATGTGTGAAATAAAAACTATTTATATCAACCCTTTCAACCTTCAGAAATGATGGGTAGGTAAATTCTCAATTCAGTTTTCAAACAAGCATAAGTGATTAAGTCAAACAAGTAAAGAAAACTGTCATCAAGAGGACAATGGACAGCAACTTAACTCATGTATTCTCAGGACTGGTCAATAAAGCCTCACAAAAATTGGGTAATTACCTAGGAGAATTTATCTAGCTTTCATTTCTTATCAAAGCCATATCTTGGCAAGGTCCTATCATGGTAACCCTCCAGTTGTCTCAAATGCAGGTAAGTTTGTCTGGTGTCATTTTAACTTCCTTTTTGTTCAATTTTAAAAGAGTCATATTTCTGAATAATTCTCCAAAACAATGGTTGGAAATTCTTGTCATAGGTTGCCACTTTATTGAAAGACCAAGCCATTTAAAGTGCAAGAAAACCTTGAGATTGGAATTGTGAACTTTTTTGGACAAATAACAGACCAACATGACAACATATGGCACTCAATTTTCCTCAAATGAAGAAGTAGAAGTGTAATTTTTTTTTCTATAGTTTTTTTTACAACTTTCATAAACTACTCTTAGGCTGGTACATTACAAAAAAACTAATGATCAGACAAGTAGTTTGAGGAGGAAATGACTTACATCAAATGTTCAGGGCCCAGTTGTTTGAAGGTTGATTAGTGCTAACCCAGGTTTGAATTTTAAATCTGGGCCCCATTATTCAAAGGCCAAACAGCACTAACACGAGGTTAAATTTTAATCCAGTCTCTTATTCCTTTGTTCAAAAGCCTTTCATTGTGATCATTTCTCTTTTCTTTTTAAAGCATCCAATTATCAGATTGTAAACAGAAAGAATTATAGTAAATTTTCTTTAAGATCTAAAATCAGATTACACACTAACCCTGGGTTACTTTAATCCAACTTTGAACAACCGAGCCCTGCCTCTAAAATGATAAACTCCACAAAATACACAATGTCGAGCTTTGCAAAACTTTGTTAAAGCAATTTTAAAAACCTAAGACTCCCATTAGAGACTTCCTCTTACATTATCAGTACTTTGTCAAGCAAACAGATCTCAAGAAGAGTTCACACATAAAACATTATTGACATCATTTTCTCTCTAGATCTAGAGAAACTCAAGTGCTTCAATACATGTTGATTGACATCTTAATGCAACTCAAATGATCCAAAAAATCCAAAAAGTTTGCAGAAAATGTTCTGTTTAGGGTGTGTAAATCAGTACAATGCATCTTCGCCAAAAATAAAACTGGATCAACTGGGTACAATTACAACACATTTTTAACACATCAGTGCTACTTTAACAATACTACTGTCATTTTTATCTTCTCTGATTGTGAAAAACATTCCCTGCATGAGTCTGTAGAGTCGCCTAAAAGACCCTTACTGCAACCAAACAATTTTTATTCCATAATCACGTCAACTCTGGATGAAACTTTTTTGCACCCAGATACAGAAAAAAACTGGTGGCTTTCTGGGAAATAATCCATCTGGTTAGCAATTTCTGTAATAAAGGGCTCTTTTGCATCATACCCTTTCTTGACAAGTTCTCGTCTGATACATTGCTTTACATGTGTTCTCTCCAAAGGCAGGAATGGAACAAGGTAATCAATAACTTCCGATTTCAGCAGGTCTGCAAACCAGATATTTGGTATCCTCTTTGCAATGTCATGAAAAATGACTTCCAGTTCACTTAGCATGAGAGATTCTCTCAGTTTTCCATCAAGGATATGCCTTAATACATGCTGATTAATAGCCTCACCACCCGAATTAGACAGAAACATGAAGATCACATTCTGATGACCACTTTCTACTTTCTTGCCTTGGTAATCTAAAAGAACAGCTTTGATTGTATCCATCATGCCAATGTGAATTTTGTCCATTTCATCAAATATAAACAAACCTCCCTTCCGACAATGTGAGACATTTCCTCTGATCCACTTGAACAACTGTTGATTGTACATTTCTACTTCTGATTCATGGGGAAAGTGAAGTGGAATGATGAACTTGTGCACAAATGGGCTATTGGTTTTGCGCTTGAAAAAATGTTCTGTGATGATATTGCTGACAAAGTTCTTCCCAATTCCAGTCCACCCATGAAATGCTAATACAAGTGGCTTCCTAATGTTTTTGGAGTTGAAGTGATTCTTGAGTGCTGCAGTGACAATTTTCTGAGCAATATGTTGACCAAACAATTCAGACTTAAGTGCTGACCCAATTCCAGAAATGTTGTTGGTGAACTCACTATCCAGACAAAAACCATGAGGGTTAGTGTGCAGATATACTGAGAGTGACAGTGCACATAAAAAGAAAACCATACTCATCTTTACAAATCCCTGCAAGGAATGTCTCTTTCTCTGAGGAGCTGGATCAGATAAAAGTGACTCTTCTGAAGATTCCTTGTCACTTTTTAACTGGCATTTTGTGCCAGAATCACTATCTTCATCATCACTAAAGGAGAATACTCGCTTCTTCATGGACGCTTGTTTAGACAGGCGGATAGCTGTGATGACTTGTATTTTGCACACATACATCTCCAGCTTTCTCAGCAATGTCATCATGTTCTGAATTCCTGTTTGTATAACTTGCTTCACCATCAGACAGCTCATCATTGACTGTTAGATCAATGAATTCCATCACTTTTGGTGCAAATGTTGAAAAGAGTTCATTGCTACTCTGGGTAGCAACTGGAGTATTTGTTCTTTTACATCTTTCCCACCAATCATGGTCAAATTCCTCCTTTGGGATGCCTTTCTCATCAGCACAACTAAATAGTTTCACAGAATGAGTCCTTAAATTAAGTAACACCTCCTCTGCTGAGCTGTCAACTAAAGGCGATTTTGTTTGCGAGTCCAATTCCAAATTCAAGACCCGGCCAAAACTGGTGTGACTAGCCTTACCGGTTTGACTGGCTCTACCAGTCACCTTATGTCTATCAAACAGTCCATCAAAGGGTGTACTAAACGTCGGGCAAGACATTTGTTTGGAGAGAGGGCTAAATAAGCGTTTCTTCGAAGGACTTTTGTTTGCTTCCTTCGCTTCTCGAATATATTTTGCGGCAATATTTCCTGTCAAATCCATATCTTTTAGACCAATGGCGCGTGAACGCTTTCCGATCACAAGTGAATTCGATCGGCGAACATATTCGCCCGCCCATTCTGTCCGTTCCTTTCCCTCGTGATGACCTTTGTTTCCTCGAGATTGTAAAACAAGACTTTTCGAGGTTGAAGGGTTTGAGAATGAAGAATTTTCAGCCCACGGAAGAGGCGAATCGAATGAACTTAACCCAGAGCTGCAGTCAGAACTAATAGAGGTCATATTTGATTCGTAGTTCTCTTCATCGGAATCGAAGCACGGGTCTGGCTTGCTTTCTTGACTTTGTGGGCTCCATTCTTCACTCTTTTTTCCTCGATACTTTGAACAATTAGTGGGGGGAAAGCTTACATTGAAAGGAGATCTCTCAGACATTTTGAAGTTCAAATCGAGACTGAGAGTACCGAAATTCAAAGAGAGCCTGAGAAGAAGTGAACGTTGTGATTGGTCCAGAAGTCTCGATATTTTACTTCATTCCCAGGCTCTCTCTCTCTCTCTTCCACCATTAGGGGAACTAGGGACTAGGAAGTGATGAGAAGTTTATCTTACAGCGATATAAAGAAGAACTTGACAAGTCTTATGGAAGGATAAAGTTTTATTTGTGTTCTGTAGATCGTTTGACAATCCTATGTATGCTGTGCTGAGATGAAGAAGAATTAGAGATGCCCGTTTTTGTAGACAAACTCCTATCCCTCGGATGATCGCTTGTCTGCATGCAGTGATGGGAATAAAAATGATAGTAGTACACTTGACATTATCAGATTTGCAAAATGTAGAAGTGGATGATGACGATGAAAGGCTGATAAGTTGCCCTATACTGATGCCGTTCATTCTATCCAACAAAAAAATATTGAGGAACATGCTGATCACTGTTCCATTTGGCTTTTAGATAACACCAGTGAACAATAATGTGACATTCCCAGTGTTACAACCACATCTGGCGATGTAATTTGGTATTATCAACTGAGTTGATAACGTAAATTGGCCACCGTTAAGAGTTTTAAGCAAAAAGAGCCATGCTCTATTATTGACAGTTGGGTGTAAACTTAAAGTATTGTTTACAGAGTTGTTGATGATTGCAAAGGGAAATTTTTTAAGAATGGGAAGACTGCTTACTCTACAGTGGCTCTGAATGCAGGCGACTTTAAAACATGTGGGAAAGCCACTGGGATGTCAATTCTTTAAGATGGACCTGCACCCAACTTTTTGGCCAGAAATAGTATCCTATCTGATTGTTGCACCACTTTCCCCATCAGAAAACCAAGACCCCTTTGCTTAGGACAGCTGCTTAGAGAGTAAGTTATAATAATCTATGATCTGCACCAATTCTTTATGCTTAATCTAAATTGTTAATGTTATTCCCATTTAACACCTTCATAGCAAGGAGATGAATCCATAATAGTTAGTTATTTCTTAACTTTTTAATCTATACCCACCAAACAAGTTGTCAATCTATAAAATACAATGATCATGGCGATTTTAATTCAAAGTTTTAGCAAAGGAGTTAGATCTCTGATAATATGCTCAGGACTGACTATTTTTTCGCTGAAGTCCATACAAAACCTGTCTACAATAAAAGATTTCATTCCCAACTGCATTGCTGGCTTGTAATCTAAGTCCACGTTATCTCCAACATGTAGGGCTTCTTCAGCTTTAACGCCAAAATGATTCAGAGCAAGCTCGAAAATTTTAGGAGATGGTTTGTAAACTCCAGCACTAAACGAGCACGCTATGAAGTCGAAATAGTCATTTAAGCTCAGACGTTCGAGAATTTCACCAAGTCGTTCGTCAAAGTTAGATACAACGGCAAGATGGTAGTTCTGATTTTTTAAATGCTCCAACACAGAATGAGTTTCAGCGTAAACTTGCCAGTATTTCGATGTTGAAAATTCACGATACAAAACAGAGGAAATCCTGGCTAAATTTGCTTCATCGTGGTATCCAGCTGAACGAAATGTTTGTGTTACCACTCCATACCACCATTTTTCGGCAGTTTTATTTTCGTTCGCACCAAAGTTTGGCAGGGTTTTGTAGAATTCTCGAAAGGAGTATTTGAAGGAATCGTTCAAAGGTTTAGGATTTATCTCGACACCAAAACGAGAGGCCACATTGCTGTACAGTTCTCCAGGCGAGCCTCGAACATGAAATAGCGTATTACAAGCGTCAAACGTAATTAATCTTAACATCAGACTGCTAATCTGAAACAAACACACTAAACCCACTTGTTCGCCATCTTGTGTCTCCTCACTCGGAAAAGACTGGGACCAATATTAAGGGTAGGGACGGGGATGGACAGGATCAGGTATGAGAAATTATCAATAGTTAAAGGGGGAGGGGTGGGGAAATTGGTTACTCAGATTTCTCGAGTCTAGAATGGGCCACTGTTAAACAAACTGTTGCCAGAAAAGGTGAGATGGAGACATTTCTTTGATGTAGATGACATTTCTGTTATAGTGCAGCCACTGTAGTGTACTGATTGCTATAGCAACAAGTACTTGTATCAACTCGAGTTAAACTACTGTATTACTCTTTACTGAATGATGTAAAATCACTGTTAGACAATTGTACTATGCTAATAGAGAGTGCATCATTGAATGAAGGCAAAATACAGAGGGCAATGGAAGAGCTGAGTGTCACTTGACTAAGTCACTAGATGAAAACACAACAGCCACTCTCAGTTTGGGAAAATTTGAGTAGCAGTAGGGTGGTCAAGTAAACAGCAATGCCACAAGAGGAGTAGGAAAAAGCAAATAAGCTTTATTCCTTGTTCTCCAGTCCTAGCTTACAGCCACTAACTTCCCTTCACCCACCCAACAGCTGCATAAGTCTCCTCAACAGTCATTCTACAGAATGTCACAGAAGGATTAGCCACAAGACAATGTGTGTGGTCATATTGTGCAGTGAGACTGCAGCTGCATAGGCTTACAAATCCTTACCCTCCCATCCCAAAAATAACAACAACAACAAAAACCACTTTACAACGTTCTTTTCATTTTATCGTCAAAGGTATGATACAAACATGAGGTGCATCACAAAAAAGTCAAATGGTTGAAACACTGAGTATAGTCAAACATTGAGAAGGGGCTAATGTCATCACACAGTTCACTCTCTCAGAACTAGTCAGATAAATATATTATGATGTGATATAAATGATAAACATACTGAAAAAAATAGCATTGTTTCAAGTAAAAACCTGCCAAATGCATCTTCTTCCACAATTGCATATGACTGTAAAAATCCCCTTCTCATCCTTTATCTACTGTGTCTTTTCTCACTTTATCTACAAACACATCTACAGGGTTAGGTTAATAATGGCATTCAGTGGTGACCTACTGCCTATGAGGTGATAAATTTATAATGGTATGAATATAAGAGATGGTCACTAGCTTTCTTCGTACTGATCTTTGTTTTTCAGCAAGTACGTAGCCAGGTATTCAATAGGATTGGGTGGTCTGAAACACAAACAAAAATAAAATGCAATCACATCAATCAATTATTCCTCCTCCATGGAAAAATTTATATCAATAAATACCTCTGAGATACAACAAGCTCTATTACTAGTCACAACATTTCCGTCTATTTAAAAACTCTTTAGGTTCCCTCCCCACATCCTACCAAGGTTAATTAGTATGCAAAGCAAAAGAAGGCACAGGTTCTGCTTTTCCTTTTCCTTTTCACTCCCAAGATCTGATTGTTAATTCTCCTCCCTAGCTGCTACACATTTCCCAGTAAACTAATTACAAGAATTTGGTATTAGATCAAGAAAACAACTTCTCACTACCTGTTTGCAGAAGGATGTATGGATATTGCTGGGAGAAGTTACATGTTAATCACCCCTGAGTTACAGGGTTAACCACTTATCAATGCACACTCTTTCAATGATTAGTGTTCCCTTCTCCAAGAGGCATGCTTAAGGAAAGGGTGTACTATTAATTTTATCCTTTGTTCATGAAATTATAAAAAGGGTAAAGAAAACCATTGTTGGAATGTAAAATCTCGAATTTTAATTCTTTTTCTATCAAGCAAGGCTCTTCAAAGAGGTTTGAAAAATCAGAACCTGGTAAAGGAAGAGCGTATTACATTACAGAACACAAAGCATTCTGATGAAAGAATATCCTTACCTTTCCTTGGACAGGGTAGAGAGACCTTGAAGAAGGATAGGCACAACTGTCTGGTCTAAATAGGCTCTGGTTGGTAATGACTGTAGCTCTACTTTTGGTTTTGTTGGTTTTTCAGCAGCCTCCTTCTCTTTCTCCACCATTTTCTGTGAACAAAATAAAAACTATTTACCAATTGACACATACAGCTGCTAAAGACAATGTCCTCTTCCAAAATCAGATATGGGAGGAAAGACATGGAGGGAGTAGGTGGGTGATAAAAGGGTCATGAAGGGTAAATTAGGTAAAGTAGGCAGGGAAGAGCACTGTGAGGGCAAAGTGGCAATCATTCCCAAAAACAAAACAGAATTACTGGCCAGGGCCAAAAGACCAGAGGTCTTCCTTGCTCACTAGTAACAGCAACAAGGTTTCTTCAACAGATAATGCAAGAAAATAGGGGAAAGTTACAGAAGACTTAGTTCCAAGCAGAAGCTGTACCACTAATTTTCTCTGTTTTGTGCCACTAACTAATGTAGATGAACCAATTTCAGTTTACCTGAACATTTTCTGTTAGACCAATTTCAGCATGGGGAGAAGTTTCCTGGGGAACCTAATAGGACCAAAGAACTTCACATTAATTTCATAAGAAGTGGCTTGCTTGCAGCATGGAATCATCAAGTCATGGACACACATGGGATGTTGCTAAGTACAAAACAAGCATTAGAGTCACATGAAGTGCTAGTCAATTTTGACTCTGGCTTCTTGAGTGCTTAGCAAACCCCCCAAGTGCATCAATAACTTGATGGTTGCACACTGAAGGCTAACCATTGCTTTAATATCATTGGATCTTTCAAAGATCTTTCATTTTGTATGGGAAAAAAAGCAAAACAAAGTGAGATCAGTATGCAACCCACAGGCGAATGAATTGAGCTTATTAGCCAATCAGAGCATGTACTTTTGTTAAGCTATGTTATAAACTTGTATTGATGGGTTCTTATTTATGATCCATTGGAAGACAGGCACATAGATGATGTTGCCATCAACTCTTTACACCCTAACATCAGTATCTATGTTGTGGTTCAATTTTATCCTTGGTTCAAATTTTCTTTTTCTTTGTTTCAAACTCATTATCACACATTACAATTAACAATTGGTTCATACGTCAGCGTGCATTCATCGAGATATGAAGCACGCGGGAAGTTTGGAGAGCACAAAAGATAAGTAAGGGTTGCTCGAGGCATAGCTGAGAGCAACTCTAGCTTCTTGAGTGCTCTCCAAACTTCCCAAGTGCTTCATATCTTGATGAACATACAGCTGATGCATGAACTGATTGTTTTATAACATTTTCAATTTTTTTTTCTCTACGGATTTGTTTGCTGACGTCATGAGCATTCACAATAGGAATATGAAGCACGCTCACGCAATTGAATTTGATTAGACAAATTTACTAGCTATGTTATAATACCCAATAACAAAAGAAGATAAAATTTGAACCAAGGATAAAATTGAACCACAATATCTATATTCTTTATACTCTTCTTTGTACAATTCCTTTAGTGCTGACAAGGAGAACTTGACCAACAATCAAGAGCTGCTTTAGAAAGTGATCATTTCCTTTATTCTCAAGACATTTATATGTGATTCAGACCTGATATTGTAAGGAGAACTTAGATGCTAGTCGCTTTCAGGGGTAAAAGCGTCAAAACATAGTAGGTTGCATAGGTTGCATTCAGTGATAGCCAACAACAAAGGGGGGGGGGTGCAAAGGCGTTTTCGTGAGTCTTTGATCAAAATTAGATTTTATTGTGATAACCTTTCCAACACAATCGATCAAAGTTTCTTATTTTGTTTGCGTTCACAAAGTGAACAGAATCAAGGAAACTATAATTAATACCATAACATTGTGAGCGTTTTTCATGCTTGTCGCATCAAAATATCATGAATGAAATGTAGATGAAACTACCTTTTGTGGAAGGGGCGGTGAAAGTCGTGAAAATAATTGCATATATTTGCTTTTCAACAGAAGAAGATAAAAATCTAATGAGTGAAACGTCAAAATTATGTCTGTGCATGTCATCAAATTATTTGGCGCTATCTCACCTCAGGTTGTCCGTGATTGTTCTCTTCTGGAAGAACCAACGGAACTTGTTCTTGAGGAGCTACTATAAGATTAAAACCAAACAGTTCAGTACATTAGTGGGCTGCTAAAAGGAAAAGATTATTTAATTTGTCGGAGAACCTTCTGTCGCAGTGCCGTCCGCCATGTTTGACTCTCTCGTTACCAAGAAATGCTCGCAGTATCTTATGGGATACTATCGATTGTTTGAAGGTACTCACTAGGGTAGCTAGGGGATATTTGCGATTTTAATGGTCAAGGTCTGAAGAAAAGTTATACGACTATGGATTCTTATAACCTAAAAGAAAAAATAAGGATTTTGTATCCTCAAAAATAACAAATGTTTCACTCTGTTTTTCTATCTTTGCCTTTCAAAAGTTCTTTGATACAGTTTGTACTGGAGTAGCGTAAATTCCTTGATTAGGGCTTTAGAAAGAGATAAATTATTTCTTTCGTTTATTCTTAAAATCGAAATTTTTCTCTAGCGGTTAAGTCACAAACAAGGTTTTTTTGTTGTTGTTGTTTTTATTTTTTTGTTTTTGTTTTTTTGTATTGCTTCGACCTTAGTGGGGTGCAGAAGGGGATATTTTTGTCATGGTTTCGCCAGTCACGTGACGAAAAGAGGACACTTGGCTCAGATCAGCACCAACCATGATGGTAAGAAATTGTGAAAAACAGCTGTTTAATTGCGGAACTCTTCACCAGTGCATAATAAATTACTTTGATATTTGTTCAACATTCTCTACAGGATGCGTCGGATAGCGCAGACATGCTGGAAGATGAAAAAGTGAGTTGTGGAGTGATCTTTAATCTCGTACCTCAATGTGGCACTTTTGGGAATCGAAAATAGGAATCTGCTTCTGTCTTGATCTTTAGAGTTACTGTTTCAATTTCTTTACAGACGCGGACTCAGTCGGTGGATTTGAACACAGACACATCCCTGGTGGTGGATATTTCAGACGCACTAAGTGAAAGAGAGCGTGTTAAGTTTACAGTTCATACGAAGGTAACAAAACTGAGTTTTCGTTTGGTGACAAATTGATCGCCTTTGTTCGCTGTTTAACGGCATTTAATCTTATTGTTTTCCAGACCACGCTGCCTGTTTTCAAGGAGAGTGACTTTTCCGTGGTCAGGGAACACGAAGAGTTTGTTTGGTTGCATGACCGATACGTCGAAAATGAGGAATATGCGGGAATCATTGTATGTAATTAAGCTTCTACGTACTAGAATAGTCTTAATAGCAGCTAACATCGAATAGAGATTAATATTATCAATGCTTTGTCAAGAATGAAAGTCTCATCGTGCTCTGCGCTTTCTTGTTTTATTTTCATTTTGATTATAAACATCAGGTTTGATTCAGGATCGCAAATTTTCTTCATTCACGTTACATTACTTCATGCTCATTAGACCTACCCCTCCCCTCTTTCCCTGGCCAACCTTTGCCAACAATATTGAAAGTGCTTATGAGCTAATTTACACATTATTGGGTTAAATGAAAAGGTAAAGAGGAGTTAGTTGGTTGGGAATGCTGTGGTTACAAATTTATTTGATGTTTGCATTTTCAGAATGTGACAGGAGCAGGAGTGTTAATTTATTAAGTTTTTCCTCTTTTTCAAACATTTTTTTTTTCTGTTAGTCTTTGTATATATTTATGTCTTAAAAATTCAACATGGAGCCGTAAAAGTTATTCCACAGTAATTAAGATCAGGTGAAAATGTAAGCAAAGTAGTGCCAGTTAGCAACAAGACGCAGAAATTCATTTATTGATGAGAAGACATTTATTTTTGCCGGTGTTTCTGTCATTACAGCCATAAGGTAAAATGTAGGAACTCCTAATTGCTTTGAAAAAAAAAACAAAAAATGGGAAAAACTAACCAAGGGCTCAGTCATTGAAAACATGACCTGCTGTCCAAAGGTAACAAGATTTCATTCACTTACACAATTGTTTCAGCTACAATTTTTTCCTCTTAGATTCCCCCAGCTCCTCCTAAACCAGATTTTGATGTTTCTCGTGAAAAGCTGCAGAAACTTGGTGAAGGTAAATGCAAGCTATTGGTTACTTTTTTCCTTATCTGTTTTTTTTTTTGTTATTACATTGGTGTATAATTTTTTAGGGCAGTGTGTAGAGAAATGTACTTGAACTGGTTTAGCTGCATTTGCTGGTAAAATGTTCTTGAATAAATTGTGTTATTCATTTAAGGTGAAAATACTATGACAAAGGAGGAGTTTCAAAAAATGAAACAAGAACTTGAAGCGTAAGTTTAAGTGCAATAGTGTTGGTATAAGAACATGAACAGTGCGGAGATAAAGCTGGGTTTAGGTTTAAAATGGGAGGGTACTGCAAGATAATATGTGGGCTAAAAAGGTAACTTGAGGTTTACTTCATTTCGAATTTGAAAAAGTTGGTCAATTATTAACTTGCCTGAATGCTGGATCTGGTATGCAGCTCCTGCCTTCTGGTGAAACCCTGGATAAAGACAATTTTCTCCCATCAAGTTAATATCTTTTTTTTCTCGGAACTGACAATAGGGTCCCACATGTAACTCAAGTTTCAGAATAATTGTTAAAACTGTATAAAATCTTAAGATATATTTGGAAAAGCTGAAAAGGGGTTTGGATCGAAAAAATTGAAGATCATTGAATTTGATGACACTTCTTTATGGTTAAGGTGAAAAATGTTGGCCACGCCTTCATCAAACTTCACAGGCTAGCTGTGAGAAATCGAACCAAAAAATGAATAACGTGTAACAAAAATTACCTTTTAAAAGTTATTTCTTTAATAGTTATGTCTTGTTGGCATTTTAGAGAATATCTTGCCACTTTCAAGAAAACTGTAGCCATGCACGAAGTATTCCTGACTCGCTTAGCTGCTCATCCTACTCTGAGAAAAGACAGCAACTTTAATGTGTTTCTGGAATTTAAAGGAGAGGTACACTGTATACATTTGACTTAAATAGGAGATCTAGGGAGACAGTGAGAAGTTAGATATCTTAACATTTCTGTTCTCAAAGATTAATCTGAGATCTGTCACAAAAACTCTGTCAACAATTTTACCCCCATCAGTGATCAATGAACAGATTCTCCTCTCAATTTTAGGACACTGATAAGCAGACAGTTAATGGGAATACAACAGTTTGTCTGGTCTCTATCTAACTTAAGATTCTCAAGGGTAGCTTACAAAGAAATACACAGTTGTCAGTTAGAAGAATGTAATCTCAAATCTGGGGATTGAACAGATTAAGACCCCGTAATTTTTCTGTAAGTGGTAATAATTGTTTTTTTTTTTTTATCCTCATCCCAGCTAAATGTAAGAGGCAAAAACAAAAAGGAAAAACTTGGAGGACTCTTCAAAGGTCTGGCCAAAGGCGTTGATGAAGTCCTTTTGTCATCACAAAAGGTGGATAAAACTGATCACAGGAAATCGTTTGACTAAATTGTGATAACTTAATATGACTTACAAGAGAGGTCTTTGTTTTGAACCTAGTATTTGTAAATAGTGTTTACCAAATACTATTCATGTCCAAGCAGAGGAAGAGACAAAACCTTAGTATTGGTGAAAGTGATGGAATTTTATTGAGTTGTAAAGCAGAGAGGAAAATATCTACAATTAGTCACCTCCACTCCGGGAATAATTGTTGATTATTGAATGAAATGGCAATACAACAGAAAAAAATGTAAGCACATCTAGTCTGAGGAAGTGTACCATATGTTATTACATTTTTGATGTTGTTTTACTGGATTATATGTTGGTTAAGAAGTTCTCTTTAGATCTACAACATTTTATCCTTCTTCATTTTATTCCTGTCACTTTTTCAATCATTTAAACTTTTCCTTCTTCTACTTTAGGATGTAGATGAGTTTTTTGAGGGTGAGAAGAAATTTTTAGTGGAATATAACATGAAGTAAGCTTGGTTATCTACTTTGATTAGCACTGCTGAACATGCTTAAAAAAAGTACAAATTTTGAGACCTCTAGTCCATCACATCCTTATTTGCAACTGACTATTAGAAGTGACCTTGGTTTTCTTTGCTTTTTTGTTTCTACAGCCTTTGATTGGTCTTAAAAAAAGTATTCTGCCACCATCTCAATCCATGTGATTAATTTGGTTCTGGTTTATACAACACTTAATCCAAAAGCTCTTTACGATAGAATACGGTTTGGGGCAACCACGACTAGGGTCATGTGACTGTACTTGTGAAAAGTTCTACATGCATAGAAGGAGTCTGTTTGCTTATGCTCAGCAAATATTTTGATTTTATTAGGTGGCAGCACTTCAGATGAAATATTCCATAAATGTTTTAGTCAAGAGAAAAGTACTTCTGTCCAGCCATGTACAGTGACTAGATTTCAAGTAGAAAAAAATGGCTATTTTTTTTTTACTCTAATTTATTTCTTTTGTAATATAATTTTCCAGGTTAAAGGATTCTACTCGTCAAGCAGACCGTATGACAAAAACTCACAAGAATGTGGCTGACTCCTTCATAAGGATTTCTAGCTGTATTTCCCAGATGGGAACCAGTGAATACATGGAAATAGATCGCTTTCTGAACAAGGTACTTATTATCCTAACAGGATTGTAATCAAGCTTGTGCTCTTTGTGGAGATGAGGCTCAATGCATAAAACTTGATGAGAATCCTAATGTGTTTTGTTCTATTTTTCTTAAGTGTTATCCAAATTTTAAATGATGTTTACATTTCTTGGATTGAAAATGTACAATATTTAAATGAACGCCATTACAGACTTTCAGATTAGTAAAGTTGATCAACATAATCAACATCATGGAAATTTTTCCCAAATGGATTGCCAAAACCCAACCAACCAACCAAGTCAAAATGAGACATGGTTTGATGCTACTCTGGTTTACAGATTTAATGAATGTAACCGAAGAAGTTACTATTCATAGACCCAACATTTCGACACTCCTGTCTAGTGCCTTCATCAGGAGTGATCTAAAGGCTGCAACAAGAGGTCCTTCTATATGATCACTAATTAGGGGCCTTTTTTTCTGACGAGGTGTAAATAGGCATCAGGAAGCAAACCGCCATTGTCATGATTTAAAGGAGCATCGGCGGAGTTAATATGCCAAGCCTCCAATCAAAGGCACTGGTGGTAATGCCAATTAGTGGTGATAATTTTAGAATTATCCCACCCAATTGTATGGTTATGGTTGTATGCCCTCCACTAGGGCATGTGTTTGGAACATGATTATGATGTGAGCAACCAGAAACAATTCTTACCCATCTGATTTTTCGTCAGGTGTCTGAATACTTTGAAAAAGCTCGCAAGTTGGAAGGCCGTGTTGCTTCTGACCAAGATCTTAAAACATCTGACTTGCTCAGATATTATGTGCGAGACACAGACGCTGCCAAGAACTTGCTCTACCGCAGGGCAAGATGTTTAGCTGATTATGAAAATGCTAACAAAGCTTTGGACAAAGCAAGGGTGAAGGGTAAAGAAATTGCTGCTGTAAGTAATCATGAAATTATTAGATGTAAATAATGTTAAGGTGTGATAACTACCTTTCTCTTATCTTTACTCTTGTTTCCAAATTTGCTGGTTATCAAGCTTACATAAAAATTGGAAAATTATCAGTGTGTACAGTTTTTTCTAATATTATGCTACCTGTGGTTGTGAGTTCAGAACTTTCATTTTTCCGTTTGCAGAGTAGCAGGGAGCAGGGATAAGATTGTGGTGAGAGGGCTTGCCTCCCACAGCCATGGTCTGGGTTTGATTCCTGGACTTGGCATCACATGGGGGTTGAGTTTGTTATTGGTTCTTGTCCTTGCTCTGACACTTTTTCTGCAGTCATCTGGTTTTCCTCCCCCCACAAAACCCTGTATTCCAAATTTAATTGGCCTGAAAACAGTGGACATAAAGAGCAACCTATATTATAATTTGCTATTGATAGCAAACTGGAGGCAGTTACAACTAGCATCTTGATAAAAAGCAGCTAGATTTGAGAAATCTTAAGAGGAACATGTGTAAATTTGTCCCCTTCTTGAAATAAGGTATTGTCTTTTTTCCTTTCTGTTTCAGGCTGAAACTGCCCAACAAACTGCAAGTGAAAAATTTGAACACATTTCAGAAGTAGCCAAGCAAGGTAACTACTTTCAATCTTGATATACATTTCCTAAAATTATTCTTGCAAAGCAGATTTCAAGGAAAATAAAACTAGGAAAAGGGCCATCACAGAGAAGTTAAAACAACTAGGATGCCCTTCCTCGTGCACTTGTTTTTGTCGCCTAACCCTCTGATCCCAAAGGGTGACTAGAATATAGTTTCTACTCATTGTATCACCATTTGAATTAAACATTGAGGTCGTAAGAATAAAGGAAATGATCATAAATTAGAAAAGTTCTTGATTGCTAAACAAATTCTCCTTGTCAGCACCTTTGGAAATGTATGTAGAACAGTATGGAGAATATGCATACTGATGTAAGGGTTAATCTAAAAAAAGTAGGACCTGATGTGACCAGTACAGGTCATGCAGCTTTTTTTCTTCGTCCAATTAAGTACCAGATACAATGGGTTTGTTAACTTGTATTTTTAACTACATGTTTTGCTTTCTCGTTAGAACTGACAGACTTCAAGACAAGAAGGGTTCAACAATTCAGAAAGAATATGGTTAGTAGGCATTTAAAATAATGCTTTTATTTCCAATACAATTGCACTGGGACTAGGTCTTGTTGATTGAGCACCAATAGATTTGATCACTTAATCTTCAACTCCCAAGATCTGATCGTTAATTCTCACCTCTATCTGCTTCGTATTTTCTTGTAAATTAGCACCAAGAATTTGATGTTAGATCAAGATAACAACTTATACCTGATCAGCTTGAGTATTCTCATTACCTGTTTATTGAATACAGTATGGATTTTGATGGGAGAAGTTACCATTTAATCACTTCTGAGAGTTAAAGGGTTGATGCATCAATTGAAATACTAACCATAAGGTAAAAATCAGAAGCTTACTGTGAGCTTATCTTAGTCAGAAAGGTTCTTGGGCTGACCATTGTGGTGGTATGTGGTGGATGGGATATCAATAAACTCTCATGATAAAGTCATGCATGAATTGTACAGTGAATCAAAGTAGAAAGACAGTCTAATATGCCTCCTCTACTGCCTGTGCTAAAGCTGCTCAAGTAACAACAATGCAGTGAGTAAGGATAAAAGTAATTTTAGAGTGAAAAAAGCTTGCTCTACTGTTCACCACTTATCATTTCAAAATTTTCATCCTCGTCTAGACTGAACGAGCAGAACTGGAACTCAAACATGCTAAGGTACTTTTAACTGAGTGATTTCAAACTTCTGCAGTCATATAAAGACATTCCTTTTCAGTTGCTGTGTCAGACTTTTGTTTCTAGGGTCACTGTTGATCAAAATAAAAAGAATCTCATTATAGAAGAAGTGCAATATTCCATCCACCAAGTTGACAAATTAGTACTTAGGACCAAAGAAAGAAAAGGTGGTGATAAATTTAGATGGGAATCCATTGCCAATTTCCTGTGATTGATAATCAGTTTTTTGCAGTCCCTGTGGGATTCACCATTTACACTGAGTTCTATGGTGAAGCCTTTATTATAACTGTTTCACTCTAGGTACACACATATTTGAGGTTCTTTTCTAGTTTGGCAGGCAATAATGATGAATTGCACTGGGTTATGATAAAGGAATGATTCCCTTTGCATTACTGAATTGCTGTCAGTGTGCCTCTCTTTTTTCTTTAGTGAGTGCACCTTTAAAGATTTCCCCCTATTTTTCCAACACAGCTAGCCACAGTGACTCTATTTAAAGCTCTGACCTCAGATGATATCAGATCATAACTCTGAGTAAGGAAACAACTGAAACCATCTCTTTTTTTTTTTTTTTTTTTTTTTTTTATTCCTCAGGCCCATATGAATCTCCTGAAGACAACATTAGCACAACTAAAGGAATTGTAGTCAAGTGCAGTCCAACGTCGAGATAATTCTAGGAACACTGTGATAATTTCTTTTTGTACTGATATAGATTTGTGTCAAACTTCAATTAGACTCTTCCTTTCTTTTAGACTGAGAAGTATAGTTTTGAACAAGTAGCAAACGTCCAAGATAAATGTAATTTTAAAAGTTGAGTAATAGTCAATGAATATGTTAAAGTTTCCCTCAGTTTTATTAATTTCCTGTTCATTTCTTGAACTGTTGCAGTTAAGGGCCCTGTCATATAATACAGCGGTCAAACATCGGGCATGCGCGAAGGGATCATTTTTGGCCGCTTCAATTTCCGCACCAATTTCCCGCACAAAATGTTCTAAAGAAAACAAACAGCTGCTTTCTCGAAAATTAAGCGAAAGAAAATTGAAGTGTTCATAGAAATCTGTAAAAGGAATCAAAAGTAGGAAAAAAAACTCGAGACTTCGCGAACACAAAGCTTATTCAAGTTCGGGTATCCTGTTAATTTTACCAGTCTTTTTTTTAGCTTTACCAAAAAAGTTATACGCTTTTAAAACACCGTGGCTTACTGGCTTGTGTGGTTATTTGTAATTCGTGTGAGAGAACATAGTTTTGACAGCCTGACAGCACGCCGCCTAGTCATTACAACGTTCGCACAGTGCAGACGTGTGACCGCTGTGTTCTCTCATATACACCCTCTCACAAGACTGGTTAGTGACAAACTTTGTCCATTTGGGGAATTTTAACCCGGTGGCCGAAAAAAGGGTAATTCTTTCCAACCCATCTTGCCATACTTAGTTGGTCAAGTTGAACCTTTTTTTCCCTTTTGGTTCACGCGCTTTTTAAGGAAAGAGAAATTGAATGACTTGCAGGCTAGGGAGATTTTATCTTAGCTATCAAAACTGCTAGCTGTTGGCTCAAACTAACGAGTTTTATCTGCTAGCTAAGCTTGAATTTTCACACGAGAAAATTTGTGGCGCAGTCACAGGGTGCTAGTCTATCAGACAGCAATTTTTGAAGGCGGTCACTCAGCGCTATCCCATTTATTTAAGGCTGTCATTATAGGAAATCAGAAAGGGCTGGAAGGTTATTGCTTGTTTTGGGTTAAACTGACCTACCAGTCACGAATTACCTTTGATTATAAAAAGACAGTGTTGCTTCTACGTGTGTGTTTGTTGTAGATGGTCCTTGAAATACGTCATAGAGGACGACACAACGAGATATCTAGTTTGAAGGAGCCATTGAAATGATTTGTATCCTAGACGGAATTAAGATGGAAACCTTCTATATTTCTTCATCTTTGAGACTGGTCCTGGCGTACACGAAATTGTTGGTAAATTAGTGTTTATTAGTAAATGCAGAATTTAGCTCCACCACATCGACCCTTTTTATATTACTCTTTCTAGTAGCGCCGAAAATTGCTCCCCGGCAACTTTTATTTTAATCGCCAACCCCTCCTCTCAGAATGCAATAGTGTCTACTCAGTGTAACACAATGCCCAGGCTATAAGGTTGTGCAACCTCCCCCGTAGAGGTTTCTCAGTCAGTTTTCTTACATGATCAGCCGCCATCTTGAAAGCTAACGGAGAAACTCCCCAGGACGAGATTGCGCTGTGTGACAGTCTTGGTCACGCAATTCCTGGGGTTTGTCACAGTCCTTGGTACAAACTCTACCGGCATCGATGTGTTACAAGAATCCTTATAAAGTCTTACAAGAGCGTTAATATTTCAGAAAAGGATGCCGAATAAGTCACGAGAAAAATTTAAACCAAAATATCTCTTAGAGACTTAATTATTTTTATATTTTTTTCATGCCGTTCCGTATTCACATTGACAAAGACAACCTGAACAAGACAAGATAAACATCCCTTTGTAAACCTTCCAAATCCCTTCTGACCCAGCGGGTCACCGAAGCTATTTACAGACTTAAGCATATTAATTAAATTAACAAGATGTTTGCAAGTACTTTGTGTCTCATTGAACTAAAAATACAGTTAAGGTCACTAGTTTGCCGCTAAAATTTCAAAAATTGCGCCACTAGAGCTTAGCAGACAGAGTGTTCTCTTATTTATAGGCCAACGTAAACATGGTTCATAATTTATTTCCTTTAAGAACTCTACAAAGTTTAGTTTACCAACGTAAGCACAGTGCGTGATACAATACGTGACGACTTACGGAGTTGTCTTCAAGTGTTTATACAAAGCCCATTGTGTGGCCTTTGTTCTGTCTAGTAGTGTTCATCACTAAAATATTAATCAAAGATACATTTTTAAGAATTATTTTTTCCTTTTAATCGGAGTAACCCTTAGTTTTAGGCCAGCGACTTCTTCGAGCGTCGACGGAACGGGAAACTCTCCGGCGTAAGATTTCGGTGTGTAATTTGCGATTATCATTCTTGACTTACTCAAACGAAGTCTCGCGTTCAAGTGATGCGGATCGCTGGAATATCGAAGAGACATTTCTCCTACGATGCAGAGCCGTGTCTCCATTTTGGACCCTACAACCATGCAGAGATCACTGGAAGGCACAACAATCACAGCGTCACCGTTTTCTACATCCAACCGCGCTATGAAACGCGGGAGTAAGAGAACAGATGCTGATATCGATCCTAAATTATCAATGTAGTGAATACCTGTCTTGCTTTGCATCCAGAGATTTTCCCCGAGACTGTCCAGCTTTTGTTCCAAATTTTTTAGCGCCACCTCCTGCAGAACACTCTCTGAGGTGGTCCAAGCTTCTAAATGGCTCGTCAAGATGAAGTTAAGTGAATCAGTGCGGTGACTGTCGTTAACAATCGCTAGCGTGTAGCCAAGTTTTGTACCCGGAATGTTCTTCAATGGCGTGAATAAGACACCCGCTTTACTTTTGGGATCAATTTTGACGAGTAAATCCTTCGTGGCGTCGACCCAAGAGCGCGCTTTAATCACAGGGAAGATTTTGTCGCGGACGCTGGTGAAATCTTCAATTTGTTCGCGGTTAACGTTGAGTGTACTTGATTTTTTGAGCGGTTCTCCGCCGACAGCTCCCTCGCTCTCCGAACCCGTGATAGCCGCTCCATTAGACACCTCTGATTTTTTCACGGAAAATGTAAAAGACTGATCGGACATCGCCGATTTAGCAACTCTAGCCTCCTGCGAAGACGACACCTTGGTCGTAAACCTCATTCTTAAATCGCGCGCGAGCAAAATCAAACACAACTGGTAAGTAATCTCAAGGGAAATGACAGTAAATCTTGACTCGAGTGCTCTGTGTAAATGCAGATAAAATCGGATATAAACAGCCTATGTCCAAATTCAATGATCCTATTAGATGACGCGATACATTCGCGAGATGATTGGCCGATTGATGCCCTCAGGAATGTACGTTAGACCTCGCCTTGAGGTTAAAATACCAGAAATAACAACCAATAAAATAATGGATTTGGTAATATTTCCTTTAATGTCTTAATTCCTGTTAATTGGTCAGATCCTTTTCAAGCCAAAGGCAATGTTTAGATTGCTTGTGTTCTCTCTCACTAGATCGCTCGGGGGTTCGGGGACAGGATAAAGCAAGTCTGAACGGTAATATTTTTTTATATGACCTTTACGACCGTGTTTGATTACTCAAATTTGAAGTTTATCTGTTTTTGACAAATAATCATGAAAAACTTGAATGATCATTGTTGATTGACCACGATAAAAGATCAAGGATGCTTATCAAAGGCCATTGCGTTGTTATGGTAAAGAATGGCGACTTTTTTAACAGGAACTGAGTAGAATGTAGAAATCAGAACCCGACAGTGAACGCGGAAGTATAGATGGAAGAATATAAAATATTATGAAATAAAAACACCGACAGATGTACTGAAAACATGTTGATTAGTCACGAACGAAGGTCAAGGATGTTTTTGAAGGGCCATTGCATTGCTATGGCAACGAACGACCATTTTTACGAGGAACTATATTAAGGGATGGGCAACCGGCGGACACGGAAAATATAGATAAAAATTGCAAACATTGCGAGTAAAAAAGACCTTGACAGAAACTCGTTAGAATTAATTGTTTGATGATTTAAAATTACAATTTAAATTGTGCATTGATAATTGCGCAATACAAGTCAATGAATAGTTACTAAATAATTACTAACAACTGCAACCTTTTTTTTTTCATTTCCTGCAAGGTAACGTTATAGCAAAGTGTTTACTGGTGTTCAGAAATTTAATTGTTTGTCTGTATGTCTACGAGACCAAAGAGCAGTATCTGCAGAACTGCTGCGCTCCCACCCCTCCCCTGAATCAACATGAACCCTGACTTTGTGTATGTTTACATTTACGACACGTTTACGTATTTATCACAGTATCTATCCCATAACTGAGTCAATATACGAAATCATTGCCAAATATCAAGCTAATGATGATCAGTGCTGTCGTAACACTAGTTTGAAGTACACTATGACCTTTTACTCACTAACCTCAATTTACACATCACATTAAGCCAATATACGAAGTCAGTGCCAAAATATCAAGCTAATGATGATCCGTGCATTGTATTTTATTCATCTATTGTGATATTTCTATTTTTTTTTTACCTTTCAAAAGGGCAAACTGAGTAACTTAACTTTCATTTTTTACCATCCACCGTAAGCCGTTCAGCGACCATCCATCAGCGTTTTACAGTCTCCTCTCCACAACAAGTCAGTATTTCTGACGATGCCGGTGTATCGCCCTCTGCCAAATTAGCTTTCCGCTTGGTGTGGTGGGCTTCGACAGAAGACTCTTGCATAATATGTTATGAACTGCCTAAGAGGGGTTTTACCAGAATAAGGTAATTGATAACAACTATTTGCGTTAATCCGTGAGTGATTTGTGACTTAAAAACCACTGATATATACATGGCCACACCAACGTGCTCGGTCTTGAAATTTGTTGCTGTCACATTTAAATCTGACTCTGCCGATAAGATAAACCTTGACGTCGAATGAAGTGCTCATCTTAGCGCGTCAGTCAGTCGTTGGTCAATCGAATGATACAACTCGGCGCTGGGGCTTTCCCAGAATATCTTTTATTGGCCGAAAGGGCAGCTCGTCCGATAACTGTTAACTGAAAACCGAAAAGTGTCTGATGATTACACCCACGTGCTCAACTTGAATATATAACCTCGATCTCGAGCGAACATTGCAGCTGAGGTCATCGTGCTCCCTTTAAAATTTATTTGGGGGTCCTATTTTTCGTTTATTAACTGAAAAATTACAGAAGATAGCGAAGAAAATGTTTCGTAAATTTTTGCTCCAAGTTGACTGAAAGTGGCTGAGCGACTTTTTACTCTGGCGTCCTCGGGTGTTCTGTAATTCATTTTGGAGACCGAAATTCAAGATTTTAACCAATGGAAAAAACAAAATAATTCTGCTGGGTCGAAGAAGTATGATGCCGAAGTTCCACGCATCAAACCATAAAAACGAGCTATTTTCTGCGTGGGCTGATATTGGAGCAACATGTGGTTTTTATTTTCCCTTTTGAGATATCAATGAGTAATCAATGAGTAATGGTGATCTGTGCTGTCGTAACTGATCTCGCGACAAACAATCATCACTCTGGTTTGTTTTACATCATGACCTATTCACTAACCTCAATTCACCAATCATATTAAGCGAATATTCGTAGGCCGTGGTTGTTTTATGACGTCAATGGGCGGTTGGCCAATCGAATGATACAACTCGGTGCTGGGGCTTTCCCAGAATGTCTTCCATCAAGGAAATGGCAGCCCGTTCAATAACTGTTAACTGCAAACCAAAAAAAAAAAGTGTCTGATGACTATACCCAAGTGTTCGACTTGCATATAAAACCTCGATCTTCAGATTTGTTGCTGTCGCATTTAAATCTGACTCTGCCGATGAACACAAACCTTGGCGTCGAATGACGTGCTCATCTTATTTTAAAGCTCTCCCTCAAATCGAACAGTTGCCACACTTGAATCAGTCTTGTGAGTGGAGCGCAGTTTTTTTTTTATTTTCGGCGGAACAATTATAGACCAAAGAAGTTTGCTTGTTGGCCACCTCTCTATTCGGACGCTTTTGAAAACATTGACGAAGCTCGAACACCTTACCTAGTCATGATTGCTGAGACCATCAGTTCGGCTTGCTTCGTTTTATTGGTGGTTGTTTTCTGCTGTATGATCAAGATCTACACCATGGTAAAAAATATCCGACCCTCACTGAATGAAAGAGTACGTGTGGTGTGCACCAGAGATAATGAAAGAGCCTTACCAGTAGAGAGGGAACCTACAGTTTATTTTCCTCGAGCTGAGAGAGGTGCAGGACAACATGGTACCTGTAATAATACAATATACAGCGGATCACAAGCGATACGACGACAGCCGCAAATGCATGATGAGCGTCTTGGGTGACAAAGTAAGCAAAAAATGTCCCGTATGTTTCAGTACAACTCGAAAATTATTTTTTTTTTGTCCTTACTGCCTTCAACCATTCAAGCTGTATATTATCATTTGTTGTCTTTGTTGACTTGATGTGATACTACGTTCACCATTTTCACGGAAGTTTTCGTCTCGAATTCATCACAGGCAATTGAAGAGTACTGGACTAGAAACGAATTCCCGAGTTAAGCTTTTTTCATAAATTGTTGGCTATTTAACAATTATTCACCGAAGTGGAGGTGGCAAGTGGTGAACATTTACCGAGCCGTGAAGCAGCGTGGAAAATAGAAGATTTTAACTCATTATTCTTATAACGATCACACGATATTTTCGGGCGCAAATCGCGCGTGAAATGCTCGAGAGTGAACAGCAAAGGTATTCGAAGTTTGAGGAGTCAATCAGAGCGTGCCTCCAACGCTATTCACTGCTAACTGAACATTCATTTCTTTTTAATAGCTTTTTACATATTAATCAGGTTCCTACGATGAGCTGACTGGCTTGACATGGAAAGCGAATGCCACTGTATGGATAGTCTATAAGAACTTTTTTAAATGCAATGGGGCTTTGTTCTTTTTCAATTCAAGGTCACATTGTGGTTATATAGTCTACTTTGAAAACTGTAAATTTTAAAAGCCAATCATATATTTGTAATAAAAAAAATTTTGTGTCAAAATGAATAAATTGCTAAGCAAGTAGTAACTTATCGCCGAGGTTTCAGCAATCAGTTTTGTTTACGTTCTGAGCTTATCGATAGAATTATAGAAATTTCGAAAATCGAAAGAACTTGAATGTAAACTTACCTGTCGCTTAGTACAAGCCTCTATGACGCAAAGAAGTCCATCTCTATTGCACGACACTTATGTTAGCGAACTTGACTTGGGCTGCTTGATTTATGGAATGCAATATCACAATTAATGGAATTTAAAATTTAGCTTGAAATCTCACACAAAGTGGTGAAAGCGAATCGATACGAAAATTTCAACCGAATTAGATGTTCTCCTTGAACTGTAACTTGTAAGACTGATGATCTTTGGCACCAAATGAAACCAGGAGAAAGTGAAAAGCTGCCACAAACAAAGTTTGTTCAGTTGTGACGCAAGCAGATTTCATTGCAGGCCGCCGCTAAAATTATAACAAACACGGGTACCCTTGAATGACTTTTGCATTCAGCTACGCATAAATGAACTATTATTAAACTGAAACGCTGCTTTTAGTGGTAAAAAACACCCACGCAACAAAATGCAATTGTGACGATTATCTTCCGGGATGATAAAATGGCTGAGTGAGTTTTTACTCTGGCGTCCTCGGGTGTTCTGTAATTCATTTGGGAGACCGAAGTTCAAGATTTTAACCAGTGGTAAAAAACAAAATAATTCTGCTCGGTCGAAGAAGTATGATGCCGAAGTTTCCACGTATCACGTATCCTTCTTCAACAGCTCTGACCAAACGCTCTCCAACGGCACATGTGTTTCTCGCATTTTTTAAGTGCTAGTGTTTGAGACCGATTATGGCCGTGAAATTGTTGTCTTTAGTGTTCTGCGTTACACAACGCTACTATTGTAAGGACATTTCCTATGTATATTCAATTGCGTTATAAATCTACTTTCCTAAGTAAAAGAAAATTAACTAATTGCGAGTGTTGTATGGAAAATCTGCTATCTTGATTATATAATAAAGGACAGTTGAGTTAGAGCGATGAAAGGATTCACTTGACCGATGCCGGAATAACTCTACGATGCGCACGGCGACACCCCTGATCAAAGGCGGCCTAAGCTCCAGCTGTGAGACGATCATCTTGCGAAATAAGAGTTATGATGCATGACGTAGTCAGTTGTTTTCTCTATCTTGAAAATATCTGCAATGTAAGCTAATTCATCGTGGCAAATCGAATTATGTATAACTCCCGCTGGGTCTCTCCCAGAACAAAGGTAATCTAAACTGAAAACAAGCCTCATCAGGAAAACCACGGCTGAACAGGCGCGGCAGACCGTGCCTCGATCTTGCAATCTAATCTGCAGGGCGCTAGAGCAAACTTGTTGCGTTGAATATTTTATTTTGTCCATGTCTGTCACGTGGGGCTCTAGTATTTCAGGAAACGCTAAACCTTAATGAAATCGATAGAAAAAATCTCGCGACATCCCGAATCCGTTCACGCAAAATATTTATTTTAAAATTCAAAATAAAAAAAACTCGAGATAAAAGGGTTGAAATACATTTACCACACCTCCCTAGAATCACTTACGATAACGCTTGACATAGCACTAGTTAATCCAAGATTGACACACGTGTTTGATTTGACATATGATAACGAGCTTCCTGTACACAAAGATGGCCGGTAAAAGTTGTGAAATCCGGACGTGACGTCGCATGCAAACCAAGAATTCCTAAGTTCAGCTAGACTAGAATAAATCTTTATTTCGCAGAGGAGCAATTGCTGAAGAAACCTGCTTCCCCGTACACAAACATGGTCGGTAAAAATTGTAAAATCCGGACGTCACGTCGCGTGCAAACCAAGAATCCATAAGTTCAGCTAGACTACTGTAAATCCTTATTTCGCAGAAGAGCAATTACTGACCAAACCTGCTTGCATGTTGCCCTATTTCTATTTACACGCCTGGAATAGTATCGAAGCTGGAGCTTATTCCCCAGTCATGATAACCGAAATGCTCTGTTTTGCTTGCGTCGTCCTATTGGTTGTTGTTATCTGCTGTATGATCAAACTCTACAACATGGTAAAAATCATCCGACCATCAGGGAATGAAAGAGCCCGTGTGGAGTACGCCAGAGAGAATCAGAGAGTCTTACCGGTAGAGAGGGAACCCACAGTTTCTTTTCCTCGAGTAGAGGAAAGCGCAAGACAACTTTGTACAAGTAACAATACAACCTATGGCGGATTACAAGCGATACGACGACAGCCACAAATGCATGACGAACGTTTTAGGAGGCAACCTAAGAAAAATTTACTTTGTCTTATGCAAAACTTGAAAGTTAAGTTTTTCTTTTTTCTTCGCTTCCTTGAACTATTTTTTGTTTTGTTGTCTTTCTTGGCTTTTTACGAAAGCCGGGAGTTTCCTTCCGGCGGAGGTTGGGAGCCAAAATAACAACTCGTGCCAGCAATCCAGCGAAAACTCACAAAAAAACATACATATACTTTTCTATGTACCGTACATATTCAATAAGAATACGGCTTAGAGGGTACTTGAAATCAAGATGTTGTTAAGAAAATTCTTTTATTGCTGTTTCCTTAACGTTCATAAATTTCACCATATTCAGAGCTACAGTTTACTACTGAAGACGCCGTGGACTTGCCTGAGTAGGCTTACTAAGGTAAATAGATCGAAGTACTAATTCATGAGACACAGAAGTGGTTAAACTTTCCACGCACCTATCTGGCGAGGAAACCCCAATCCAAGTTCCAGATTTTGCCTTCTCGCACACAGCTGGTGGAAGAGCACCTGCTTTGTCTTTCGTCGTCTCGCTTCGAGCGGTTCTCTTCTTCACTGTTCTGTAATGTTCTGCCCATTCTTTCACGATTTCCGCCTCTTTTGGAATAGTCTCTGCTGTCAAAGAGATCATAAATTTAGCGGCACTGAATGACATACTAGTCCGAGGAACAGGGTAGTAAGACGGGTAGTAAGACGCAGGATGTGTAAAATAGGTGGCTTTCCACTTTGTAATCCGTTTAAGGGACTTCTTTGAGATAGTTCCAAAGTCCATAGCATACTGAAGTATACTAAGGCCTAGTTCAAACGTCGATCTTTACATGTACCGAACCTAACGTTTCTATTAAGTACATGTAAAGATCGACATTTGAATCAATTAGGATCGGCAGACTTGTATTCGGATCGACAGTGCCGTTCTATCCGACTCGGCTAGTCGGATAGAACGGTAAAAGATCGGCATTGATTCATACGTCGTACTTTACATGTACCGAACTTAATGCATACATTATACATACGTTAAAATAATTATGTTTTACCCACAATTCAAGAAAGTTCGCTTACGTGCCATGCGCGAAAGCCTTCGAACCATTCAAACAATATGGCGGGAAAGGAGGAAGGGATACTCTGAAGGTTTTCTTGAACCTTGCGTCTGAATAGTTGTTGCAAACATTTTCCCACCAGCCAGAATTTCTTTTCAGTCGACGACACGAACGAACTGGACGAGGAACTGTGATGTTCCTTTGGGAAATAAGCAATAATAGAAGGCAAGCCAAATTCAAAACTCGTCTTCTCCTGGCAGCAAGGTTGTTTAATGCTAACTGCATCTTGAGTCGCCTTTTTCTACCCTCCTTAATCGCATTTGCAAGAAAAACAAGCTCTTCATTTCCACAAGTTGTGCTTCCCGCATTTTTTTCCGCCATTTTGGTAGGCATTAACCGCTAACTACAATGGAGTTATGTTCAGTTTTGCAATTAGGATCGACTAAATTCGGATCGACGTTTGAATCAACTGCCGCTCTTAATTATTCGAGTCGACCCAAATTGCAATTAGGTTCGGTACATGTAAAGATCGACGTTTGAACTAGGCCTAAATGTCTCATGTTTGAAATGTGACAAATCATGGAGCTTTTCTACTACAGTAGTAAGGATAGTAGACCATCGATATGCTTCGCAAATTTTGGATTTATGATGTTAATGTTTTCAATGAGACGGTTAATTACTCTCAAAAGAAGCTGAACAGACTGTTGCGTCTTCTGTGACACTGTGCCCTAAAGACCATTTGTGGTTGCCATTTCTTTCAGATTGTTGCCTTCTTTGACTTTGGAAACTGTTGATTTGAGATGAGTGTTTATTTTATTCACATTTTCCACCTTTTGCCGTGGTGTGATGTCTTGGGCAACATTCCCACTGCAGGTTATTTCGAAGCTATCATACAATAGACCGAGGTGCGTCAGGAATGGTGTTGTACCCGACAACTCACTGATGAGCTACACGTTCCCTGCTGCCGTATCCTTCACGAATATTGTTTCACCCACAGTGCAAATTCCGTGTGGTTGAACAAAAGTACACCTTTTTTGCAGTCCCACCTTCATCTCCTCATTGACCACTTCCCACTTGAATCCTTACTACCTTGTCGACTGGGTTATTTACTTTGACCTAATAAGCTCCAGAACATGTAAAGGCCAAACAGTTTCTACTCGTTTGATTTCTAAGCAGGAATTGGTCTTATTCTTTAATTCAATATCAACTGGTCCGCCCTCTAAAGAAAAGGCAAATAAACCACTTACAGTACTTGGACATTTGCAGAAACGAAATAAATTAACCGGCCACAAACAGCCAGCGATTCTATTTCAGCTATATCTGCTGGATTTTCAACCAATATAAAGGACTTTCCGCGGTTAGGAACTCCATCTTTTTCCGAAGTAACTTGAATAAGTTACTCACTAGCAACACAAAAGGCGGCGGGGTTGGGTAAAGGGTGCTCAATATGAACACGATCAGGATGAGTTATCATTCATGCGTTCTGCTGTAGGTGTTGAGCAAGGTACTGACGTAAAGTTGCGACAGTTCCCTCAGGGGAAAGTTTTTAGGCTCTCAGATTGCTTCCCAGCTCGGTGCGAGATCGAAAGAAGTTAAGTTAAGGGAAGATTTTGTCGCGGACGCTGGTGAAATCTTCAATTTGTTGGCGGTTAACGTTGAGTGTACTTGATTTTTTGAGCGGTTCTCCGCCGACAGCTCCCTCGCTCTCCGAACCCGTGATTGCTGCTCCATTAGACACCTCTGATTTTTCACGGAAAATGTAAAAGTCTGATCGGACATCGCCGATTTAGCAACTCTAGCCTCCTGCGAAGACGACACCTTGGTCGTAAACCTCATTCTTAAATCGCGCGCGAGCAAAATCAAACACAACTGGTAAGTAATCTCAAGGGAAATGACAGTAAATCTTGACTCGAGTGCTCTGTTTAAATGCGGTAAAATCGGATATAAACAGCCTATGTCCAAATTCAGTGATCCCATTAGAGGGCGCGATACACTCGCGAGATGATTGGCCGATTGATGCCCTCAAGAATGTACGTTAGACCTCGCCTTGAGGTTAAAATACCAGAAATAACAAACAATAAAATAGTGAATGTGGTAATATTTCCTTTAATTCTTAATTTCTGTTAATTAGTCAGATCCTTTTCAAGCCACGGGAAATGTTTAGATTGCCTGTGTTCTCTCTCACTAGATCGCTCGGGGTTTCGAGGACAGGATAAAGCTAGTCTGAAAGGCAATATTTCTTTTATATGACCTTTACGACTGGGTTTGATAAGTCAAATTTGAAGTTTATCTGTTTTTGACAAATAATCATGAAAAACTTGAATGATCATTTTTGATTGACCACGATAAAAGGTCAAGGATATTTATTGAAGGCCATTGCGTTGTTATGGTAGCGAATGGCGACTTTTAGGAGCTATATAGTATATAGAAATCAGAACCTGACGGTGGACGCGGAAGTATAGATGAAAATATAAAGCATTGCGAAATAAAAACACAGACAGATATATTGAAAAATGTGACTGTGATCAATGTTGATTGGTCACGATCGAAGGTCAAGGCCCTACTATGCACTACTATGGCAACGAACGACCACTTTTACGAGCGCTTGTAATTAAGGGGTGAGCGACCAGTAGACACGAAAAATATAGATAAAAATATGAAACACTGCGAAATAAAACCACTGACAGAAACTCGTCAGAATTGTTTGTTTGGTAATTTAAAATCAAAATTCAAAATTTTACATTGATAATTGCGCAATATAAGCCAATAAATGATTATTAAATAATGATAAAAAAAACTACAAACTTTTTTTTATTTTTCATTTCCTGCAAAGGAGCGTTTCGTCAATGTGCAAAGTGTTTGCTCGTGTTCAGATATTTAACTGTTTGTCTGTACGTCTGTGAGACCAAAGAGCAGTATCTGCAGAACTGCTGCACTCCCACCCCTCTCGTAAATCAACTTTAACTCTGATTTTGTGTGTGTTTACATTTACGACACGTTGACGTATTTATCACAGTATCTACTCCAATACTGGGCCAATATACGAAATCGTTACCAAAAACCCAAGCTAATGATGATCAGTGCTGTCGTAACCGATCTCGCGACAAACAATTACATTGGTTTGATGTACACTATGACCTTGTACTCACTAACCTCAATTTACCTATCACATTAAGCCAATATACGAAGTCAGTACCAAAATATCAAGCTCATGATGATCTGTACATTGTACTTTATTCATCCATTGTCTTTCTACTTATTTTTTTTTTACCTTTCAAAAGGGCAAACTGAGTAACTTAACTTTCATTTTTCACCATCTACCGTAAGCCGTTCAGCGACCGCCCATCAGCGGTTTACAGTCTCCTCTCCACAAAAAGTCAGTATTTCTGACGATGCCGATATATCGCCCTCTGCCAAATTAGCATGTCGCTAAGTGTGGTGGGCTTCGCAGAAGACTCTTGCATAATTGAGTCTGATATGTTATGAACTGCCTAAGAGGGGTTTTACCAGAATAAGGTAATTGACAGCAACTATTAGCGTTGATCTGTGAGTTATTTGTGACATAAAACCATGCACTGATGGCCACACCAACGTGCTCGATCTTGATATTTGTTGCAGTCACATTTAAACATGACTCTGACGATGAACACAAACCTTGGCGTCGAATGAAGTGCTCATCTTAGCGCGTCAGTCAGTCGTTGGTCAATCGAATGATATAACTCGGCGCTGGGGCTTTCCCAGAATATCTCGAGCGAACATTGCCGCTGAGGTCATCGTGCTCCCTTTAAAATTTATTTGGGGGTCCTATTTTTCGTTTATTAACTGAAAGATTACAAAAGGTATCGAAGAAAATGTTTCGTAAATTTTTGCTCCAAGTTGACTGAAAGTGGCTGAGCGAGTTTTTACTCTGGTGTCCTCGGGTGTTCTGTAAATCATTTGGGAGACCGAGGTTCAAGATTCTAACCAATGGAAAAAACACAATTATTCTGCTCGGTCGAAGAAGTATGATGCCGAAGTTTCCAAGCATCGAACCATAAAAACAAGCTGAACGAACCGTTTTATCGATAACTGTTAACTGAAAACCAAAAAGTGTCTGATAACTACACCCAAGTGCTCGACTTAAATATAAAACCTCGATCTTCAGATTTGTTGCCGTCACATTTAAACATGACTCTGCCGATGAACACAAACCTTGGCGTCAAATGACGTGCTCATCTTATTTTGAAGCTTTCCCTCAAGTCGAACAGTTGCCAGACTTGAATCAACCTTGTAAGTGGAGCGCAGTTTTTTATTTGCGGCGAAACAATTTAAGACCAAAGCAGCTTGCTTGTTGGCCACCTCTCTATTTAGGCGCTTTTGAAAACATTGACGAAGCTCGAACACCTTACCCAGTAATGATTGCTGAGACCATTTTCCGCGTGGGCTGATATTGGAGCAACATGTGGATTTTATTTTCCGTTTTGAGATATCAAGTTAATGATGATCTTTGCTGCCGTAACTGATCTCGCGACAAACAATCTCAATGGTTTGTTTTACACTATGACTTATTCACTAACCTCACTTCACCTATCATATTAAGCCAATATTCGTAGTCCTTGGGTGGTTTATGACGTCAATCAGTGGTTGGCCAATCGAATGATACAACTCGGCGCTGGGACTTTTTCAGAATGTCTTTTATGAAGGAAATGGCAGCCCGTCCGATAACTGTTAACTGAAAACCAAAAAGTGTCTGATGACTACACCCAAGTGCTCGACTTAAATATAAAACCTCGATCTTCAGATTTGTTGCCGTCACATTTAAATCTGACTGTGCCGATGAACACAAACCTTGGCGTCGAATGACGTGCTCATCTTATTTTAAAGCTATCCCTCAAATCGAACAGTTGCCAGAATTGAATCATCCTTGTGAGTGGAGCGCAGTTTTTTTTTATTTGCGGCGGAACAATTTAAGACCAAAGCAGCTTGCTTGTTGGCCACCTCTCTATTCAGACGCTTTTGAAAACATTGACGAACCTCGAACAGCTTACTCAGTCATGATTGCTGAGACTATCAGTTCGGCTTGCTTCGTTTTATTGGTGGTTGTTTTCTGCTTTATGATCAAGATCTACACCATGGTAAAAAACATCCGACCCTCACGGAATGAAAGAGTACGTGTAGTGTGTGCCAGAGATAATCAAAGAGCCTTACCAGTAGAGAGGGAACTTACAGTTTATTTTTCTCGAGCTGAGAGAAGTGCAGGACAACATGGTACCTGTAATAATACAACATACAGCGGATCACAAGCGAGACGGCGACAACCGCAAACGCATGATGAGCGATTTGGGTGACAAAGTAAACAAAAAATGTCCCGTGTGTTTCAGTACAACTCGAAATTTTTTTTTTGTTCTTACAACCTGTAACCATTCAAGCTGTATATTATCATTTGTTGTCTTTCTTGACTTGATGTGATATTGTGTTCACCATTTTCACGGAAGTTTTCGTCTCGAATTCATCATAGGCAACTGAATAGTACTGGACTAAAAACGAATTTCCGAGTCAAGCTTTTTTCATAAATTGTTGGCTATTTAACAACTATTCACCGAAGTGGAGGTGGTAAGTGGTGAACATTTACCGAGCCGTGAAGCAGCGTGGTAAACAGATGATTTTAACTCATTATTCTTATAACAATTACACAATATTTTCGGGCGCAAATCGCGCGTGAAATGCTCGAGAGTGAACAGCAAAGGTGTTCGAAGTTTGAGGAGCTAATCAGAGCGTGCCTCCAACGCTATCCACAACTAACTGAACATTCATTTCTTTTTTTACTAGCTTTTTGCATATTAATCGAGTTCCTCCGATAAGCTGACTGGCTTGACAGGGAAAGCGAATGCTATTGTATGGATGGACAATAGGAACTTTTTTTTAAATGCAACAGGGCTTTGTTCTTTTTCAATTCAAGGTTACATTGTCGTCAGATACTCCGCTTTTTGGCCTCGCCCAAAAAATGTCGTCCATCATTCTCATGAACTTCTTTACTATAATGAACTTTGTTCTTATACTGCTAGGTTTAAAATCTGTCAGGAGAACTCGATTTTTTCTGTCTATGCCTCTGTTTTACTGACCACTGAATCGTCTCATTTCAACGCCTTGAGTCCTATTATTTTGCTTGGCACCCCGTTCACATCATCATGATGATGCTAACCTTTTATATTGGTCGGAGACGACGAGTTGATCCTCAAAGTTTTGTTGTATGACGCGCATGACTATGTAGATAATTCTGTTACAGAAACCATACTAGTGCTGGGCAACAATGTGCTTATGCTATTATAGTTCTCCATTACGATCATCCTCTTCTCTCACGGCGCCGCGTTTTTTATCAAATATCTGTCAGAACACCGTAAATTAGAGCCGGGAAAGGTCAGAAAAGGCTCGATTTTATTATTACTGACTTACTTTGGCCTCGATACCTCGTGCATTTTAGGAATGTCGAATTTGTGTTAAGATATATAAATGTTTCATTTTACGTCTGTTTGGTTCCGGTTTATTTCTCTTCATCATATCCATTGATATACATCCACTTAATTATAACGATCTCACAACAGCTTGAGCGTTAGCGAAGTAAACTCACTCAGTGGTACACTTGTAATGATTGTTCGAAAGGGTATTGGTTGATAAGTGACTTAAAATTCGTGGCGCTCGCCTGTGTAACTAGTGAACCCAACATGCTGTAAATAGTTTTATTAAAATAAAAGTCCTAATCAGCGATCAGTTTTTGTTTACGTTCTGAGCGTATCGATAGAATTATAGAAATTTCGAAAATCGAAAGAAGTTGAATGTAAAGTTACCTGTCGCTTAGTACAAGCCTCTATGACGCAAAGAAGTCCATCTCTATCGTCCTTCATCCAATGATCAAGATAGTAGATTTACCATACAACACTCACGATAAGTTAATTTCCTCTTACTTAGGAAAGTATATAATAGTAACGCTGTGTAACGCAACAATAAGCCTTTTCTCGGCCATAACCGGTCTCAAACACCCGCACTTAAAATGCGAGAAACACATGTACCGTTGGAGAGCGTTTGAGAGCGTTTGGTCAGCGCTGTTAAAGAAGGATCAAAGCAGCCATCCAAATCTTTGAAATTTGACCTTCTTGAAATCCGGTTTCAAATTACATACAAAAAAACCAGTGATCACGTTTATCCTTGAGAACCATAGAATACGCGACAAATATGAACGAAAAATACTTTTACACGTTCAGAATAAATCAAATTACATTTACCTATGGTGAAAGGAAAAAGGAATGACCTAACTTTTACGGAATGTTCAGACAAAATCTGCCGAATTCTGCTGTTTTCACCGCCATATTGAAATGAAGCTACCACAATGCAACGCAATCGGAGTTTGCACACTGCCTGATCTGCAATGTAAGCTAATTCATCTTGGCAAATCGAACGATATATAACTCCCGCTGGGTCTCTCCCAAAACAAAGGTAATTTAAACTGAAAATAAGCCTTATCAGGAAAACCACAACTGAACAGGCGCGGCAGAACGTACTTCGAAGAATGAAGATTTCGCACTCTAATCTGCAGGGCGCTAAGGCAAACGTGTTGCGTTGAATTGTTTATTTTGCCCATGTCTGTCACGTAGGGCTCTAGTATTTCAGGAAACGCTAAACCTTAATAACATCGATAGAAAAAATCTCGCGACATCACGAATCCGTTCAAGAAAATATTTGTTTTAAAATTAAAAATAAAAACCCCGAGATAAAAGGGTTGAAATACATTTACCACACCTCCCCAGAACCACTCACGATAACGCATGACATAGCACTAGTTAATCCAAAATACTAACACACGTGGGTGATTTGACATATGATAATGAGCCTCCCGTACACAAAGATGGCGGATAAAAATTTAAAAATTGTGAAATCCGGACGTGACGTCACATGCAAACCAAGAATTCCTAAGTTCAGCTAGACTAGAATAAATCGTTATTTCACAGAGGAGTAATTGCTGACGAACCTGCTTCCTGTACACAACATAGCCGGTAAAAATTGTAAAATCCGGACGTGACGTCGCGTGCAAACCAAGAATTCATAAGTTCAGCTAGACTACAATAAATCCTTATTTCGCAGAAGAGCAATTACTGACCAAACCTGCTTGCATGTTGCCCTATTTCTATTTGGACGCCTGTAATAGTATCGAAGCTGAAGCTTATTCCCCAGTCATGATCACCGAAATGCTCTGTTTTGCTTGCGTCGTCCTATTGGTTGTTGTTATCTGCTCTATGATCAAACTCTACAACATGGTAAAAATCATCCGACCACCAGGGAATGAAAGAGCTCGTGTGGAGTACGCCAGAGAAAATCAGAGAGCCTTACCAGTAGAGGGGGAACCCACACTTCCTTTTCCTCGAGTAGAGGAAAGCGCAAGACAACATTGTACATGTAACAATACAACCTACGGCGGATTACAAGCGATACGACGACAGCCACAAATGCATGACGAACGTTTTAGGAGGCAACGTAAGAAAAATTTACTTTGTCTTATACAAAACTTGAAAGTTAAGTTTTTCTTTTTTTCTTCGCTTCCTCGAACTATTTTGTGTTTTGTTTTCTTTCTTGGCTTTTCACGAAAGCCGAGAGTTTCCTTCCGGCGGAGGTTGGGAGCCAAAATAACAACTCGTGCCAGCAATCCAGCGAAAATTCACAAAAAGACATACATATACTTTCTATGTACCGTACATGTTCAATAAGAATACGGCTTAGAGGGTACTTGAAATCAAGATGTTGTTAAGAAAATTCTTTTATTGCTGTTTCCTTAACGGTCATAAATTTCACCATATCCAGAGCTACAGTTTACTACTGAAGACGCCGTGGACTTGCCTGAGTAGGCTTACTACGGTAAAAAGGTCTTTAAGATATCATAGCCTTGAGATTACATGCTTTGTTACATTGTGCCATTAATTCGGAAGATCCTCAAAATCAAAGTTCCTTTCTGTTATCACTTCGGCTGATAGGATTCTAGATGACTCGGAAAATATTACCAGCCAGGCGGTAGTATTGTGTCTTTACTACATCTCTATGCAGTCTTACACCACACCAAAACCACTCGAAGTATATACAGGTACATTTTCATTTTGTGTGCTCTGAATAGACACTACAAATAGTTCCTGGAACCCCTCGGTGTTCTTTCTGAACGGTAGGATTTACGCACAATTGTGTACCTCTTTCCATCCAAAGTAGGTGTAATGTTTTTCGTTTTTGGCTGAGTCACTTCAAAGTTTTCATTTCGCTTCTTCGTATGGTCAACTTTCCAAAAACGCACGAGTGTATCGCTGCATCAAAACACGATGAGATATCTGTAAATTTTTTTGGTCTAGTTAAAACAAAATGCTGTTAAGTTACATTTACTGCATGTCTTCTTTCGCTAACGGGAAATTCATTCTTTTCAACAGATTTCTACAAATTTTCCGCTTTCCTGTGGTGAACTGGGTTTCTCAAGGGAAAGAGAACAACATTGTGTCCATGGACAACATAGATATATTTTTTAAAATGAAAAAAGGCTTATACTTTATACTTAATGCTCATGCATATACTTTACGCTTGAAACTGTGTTTAAAACGGCCGATTTGAGAAAAATTCTTTGTACAAATAAAACTAGATGGCCCAAAAAAACAATAACAAACTGCTTTGGTTTATTTGTGTTTTCCGCTCGAGATATTGTAATTTGCGGTCGGACGCGCGACCTCACCCACAGGATCGAATTTAATGAAACTACGACACCATACTTGTTCCTCGGGCACTTGATCTTGGCTTTATGCGTGAAAATGAAGAACAATTTGCAGATTAAGGCGGGGGGGGGAGGGGGAAGTGTAGATCGAAGTACTAACTCATGAGACACAGAAGTGGTTAAACTTTCCAAGCGGCTATCTGGAAAGGAAACCCCGATCCAAGTTCCAGATTTTGCCTTCTCGCACACAACTGGTGGAAGAGCGCCTGCTTTGTTTTTCGTCGTCTCGCTTCGAGCGGTTCTCTTCTTCACTGTTCTGTAATGTTCTGCCCATTCTTTCACGATTTCCGCCTCTTTTGGAATAGTCTCTGCTGTCAAAGAGATCATAAATTTAGCGGCACTGAATGACATACTAGTTCGAGGAACAGGGTAGTAAGACGCAGGTTATGTAAAATAGGTGGCTTTCCACTTTGTAATCCGTTTAAGGGACTTCTTTGAGATAGTTCCGAAGTCCATAGCATACTGAAGTACACTAAATGTCTCATGTTTGAAATGTGACACATCTACACATTTGTGACAGTTTTCTACTACAGTAGTAAGGATAGTGGACCAATCGATATGCTTGACAAATTTTGGGTTTATGATGTTAATGTTTTCTATGAGACGGTTAATTACTCTCAAAAGAAGCTGAACAGACTGTTGCGTTTTCTGTGACACTGTGCCCTAAGGACCATCTGTGGTTGCCGTTTCTTTCAGATTGTTGTCTTCTTTGACTTTGGAAACTGTTGATTTGAGATAGGTGTTTATTTTATTCACATTTTCCACCTTTTGCCGTGGTGTGATGTTCTGGGAAACAGTCCCACTGCAGGTTATTTCGAAGCTATCATACAATTGACCGAGGTGCGCCAGGAATGGTGTTGTACCCGACAACTCAGTGATGAGCTACATGTTCCCTGCTGCCGTATCCTTCACGAATATTGTTTCACCCACAGTGCAAATTCCGTGTGGTTGAACAAACGTACACCTTTTTTGCAGTCCCACCTTCATCTCCTCATTGACCACTTCCCACTTGAATCCTTACCACCTCGTCGACTGGGTTATATAATTTGACCTAATAAACACCAGGACCTGTAAAGGGCAAACAGTTTCTAAAGGCTACAACTCGTTTGATTTCTAAGCAGGAATTGGTCTTGTTCTTTAATTCAATATCAACTGGTCCGCCTTCTAAAAAAAGGGAATTAAACCACTTACAGTAATTGGACATTTGCAGAAACGAAATAAATTAACCGGCCACAAACAGCCAGCGATTCTATTGCAGCTATATCTGTTGGGTAGTGAACCAATTTAAAGGACTTTCCGCGGGTAGGAACTCCATCCTTTTCCGAAGTAACTTGAATAATTGCTCTTTGCTCGTCATCAGCACATACTAATACTTCGTCACTAGCAACACAAAAGGTGGCGGGGTTGGGTAAAGGGTGCTCGATATGAACACGATCAGGATGAGTTATCATTCATGCGTTCTGCTGTAGGTGTTGAGCAAGGTACTGACGTAAAGTTGCCACAGTTCCCTCAAGGGAAAGTTTGTAGGCTCTCAGCTTGTTTCCCAGCTCGGAGTTAGATCGAAGGAAGTTAAGACAATCGCACTGATCCGTTCATGGCAATAAACCAAATAGTCTTGTTGCCACATTCTACGACAAAACCAACCCCGCAAGAAAATCATACGTCTATAGCGTCTTAGTATCCCTTCTTCACTTCAAATACATCTGCTGGTTAATGAAGACGGATTCGTAGTAATCTTGTAGATTACAGAGTAAAGTCATAATCACGTACAAGAATGCTACCCAGTGGAACTGAACAAACAGCGACAGGGTGGTTCCACTTCCAATATCTGTACTTTTCTAGAACTATGGAATGAACCACGAAGGTAATGCTATCTAACACTTGGATTACCTCTGGTCTGGTTAAACGCACGATGGGTCCAATAGCCATTCTGTCCTTGTTTCTAACGCATTCTAACGACAGCAATTTATGTAACTGCTCTTGGATACCAGTGTGCGATGAATCTTACAGTGTCCGAACACTGAGTTACGAGTGGTACATCCGCATTTGTGCCAACGTGGCATACAACAACATCACTTTGAGTCTTTTAAAGCGTTTTCATGCTGTGATTTACAACATTATTTGTTAAATGAAATAAACAAACATAATTTGTTAAACGAGAATGAAAAGTATACTCACCGTTTAGCTCCCTGTCGCTGTCACTAGCCAAAGTTTAAGGCAACTTTAAGTTAAGTTGCCGCTTTGTAAGAATGCTGAAGTTTTCTGCCTTGCCGTGTGCCTTGATCAGCTGGTAAAATTTTAGGTCCAGTGATCCAAGGCTTGCTTGCTCTCTGAGTCCGAGGAAGTTGGCCAGATGTCTTTTAAAATTGTCGATGCCTCGTTTTGTACAGTCCTTAGTGACCGAAATACGCGCTTTATATCTCTCGATCGGTTATCCCTTCTCTGTTCGATATATATTAATGATCGCCTTTACAACACTCGATACAGTGATTTGTAACAGCGACAGCGAGGTCTTGCGAAATGACCCGTTCGTAATGAACTATTAATTTATAACACCTATTATAAATAAATGACTAACGTTTCACAACACCGGAAGTGTTTCCACGCGGAAGTCAGCACTGTCAGTTTTACCCGCGACTAGAAGTTAAAGGACTTGCTCACAAATGTCTTTTCGTAATCTATTAAAACTTTTATTTGCAAACAGCAGAACTTGACCCTATTTAAGACAATCGTTTCGTCCTTAATTAGGGGTATCTGAGACATTTGATGGCTAACGTTGGCCTGCTCAGATTTGACGGCTGACGGTAAAAATGTTGCGTTTTTTACGGTTGACGGTAAATATTTTGGCCATGTGGCGGTTAACTGTTAACCCCATTGAGACTCTCTATCATGTGTATGCTCAGAAAACTTTTTGAGACTCGTTGCCAATCGCACCGACCCATAGTAACTAAAGGGGACATATATATAACTCGATCACTTATATTTAGGAGGTACTAGCAAGTCCCGCTTTGAGTTTTCAGTAATCATTTCAGGCACCAGTTGTCCCAATTTTTAGATTTTTGCTTTGCTATGGTAACGAAAAACCACTTTTAAGAGGGATAAATAAATATATATATATATATATATATATCAAACATTGTGAAATGAAACCACCGACAGAAACTAGTCAGAATTGTTTGTTTGGTAAGTTAAAATTGCAGTTGAAAATTCTGTATCGATAATTGCGCAATATAAGTCAATAAATAATTACTAAATAATTACTAAAAACTACAAACTTATTTTTAGAGAAAGATGTTCTTTCGTCTTGTCATGAGCGTGGGACTGAGAAAATTCTGAGTCCCCACGAGGAATCGAACCTCAGACCTTCGGATTCCGCGCTCCGATGCTCTCCCACTGAGCTACAGAGACTCCACGGTGAGCGAGGTCTATTACGAAGTTCATATGACACACGTCCTGCATACTGCTAGGATCAGCAATGTCGATAGCATAATGTTTGTAGATAGAAATAAGAGAGACGGTAAATTTTGAGCTCGGTAAAGAAATAGGGAAAGATGTTTTTTCGTCTTGCCACGAGCGTGGGACTAAGGAAAAATTGTTGAATCATGAAAAAAAAGTGTTGACTCATGTTAAGATATTTAACTGTTCGTCTACATGTCTATGGGGTCAAAGAGCCGAGTATCTGCAGAACCGACTTGCACGCTATCAGCGTTCATCCGTGAGTGTTTTGTGACGTCAATTAGTGATTGGCCAATCGAATGATATAACTCGGCGCTGGGGCTTTCCCAGGATAAAGGTGATGTCAACGAAAACAATCGTTATCAGGGAAAGACAAAGGTACATCTTTGTCTGATGCTTGACTTCACCCAAGTGCTCGACTTCATTATAAGACCTCGTCGTCCTGAATATGTTACAGCACATTTAAACCGGCCTCTGCATTTGAACACAAACCCTGGCGTCGGATAACGTGCTCATCTTATTTCAAACCTCTCCCTCAAACCGAACAGTTGCCATACTCGAATCAGCCTTGCGAGTGGAGCGAACTTTTTTTTTTGTTCGCGGAGGAGCAATTATAGATCAAAGAAGCTTGTTTGTTGGCCATATCTTCATTTAGACGCTTTTGAAAACATCATTGAAGCTCGAACATCTTACCCAGTCATGATTGCCGAGACCATCAGTTCGCCATGCTTCGCTTTATTGGTGGTTGTTTTCTGCTTTGTGATCAAGACCTACACCATGGTAAAAAGCATCCGACTCTCACGGAATGAAAGAGTACGTGTGGTGTACGCCAGAGATAATCAGAGAGCTTCACCAGTAGCGAGGGAATCTACAGTTTATTTTCCTCAAACTGAGCGAAGTGCAGGACAACATGGTACATATAATAATACAACATACAGCGGATCACAAGCGATACGACGACAGCCGCAAATGCACGACGAGCGGTTTATGCGACAAACTAAGAAAAATGTCCCGTATGTTTTAGTACAACTCAAAATTATTATTATTTCTTTTCGTTCTCACCGCCTTCAATCATTCAAGATCTACATTATCATTTGTTGTCTTTGTTGACTTAATGTGATATTGTGTTCACCATTTTCACGGAAGTTTCCGTCTCGAATTCATCCCAGGAAATTGAAGAGCACTGGACTAGTAACGAGTGATTCACCAAAGTTGAGGTGATAAGAGGGGAACATTTACCGAGCCGTGAAGCAGCGAGGAAAACAGATGATTTTAACTCTCTATTCCTATTGACGATTACACAATATTTTCGGGTGCAAGTCACGCGTGAAATGTTCAGAAGTGAACAGCAAAGGTATTCAAAATTTGAGGAGCCAGGCACAGTGTGCCTCCAGCGCTATCCACTGCTAACTAAACATTAATTTCTTTTTAATGTCATAGCGAATGCCATTGTATGGATGGACAATAGGAACTTTTTTTAAAATGCGATAGCGTTTTGTTCTTTTTCAATTCTAGGTTATATTGTGGTCATATACTCTACTTTGAAAGTTGAAAATTTTAATAGCCAATTATCCTATTTGTAATAAAAAAGTCTGTGTCAAAATAAATAAAATGCCAAGAAAGTAATAACTTATTGCTGAGGTTTTATTTAGTTAGTGCTACTTGTTGTAATTTTTTTTTGTTTCTTAAGGTCATGGCCAAAATATTAACCTTAAGCAACTTAAAATTTAGCTAATTTTCAGAAATCTCAAGAGTTACTATTATTCCGATTTCCTTCAAGAGAAGATTTTTTTAAATTCAAATAGGAAAACTCGAGCAATTCGCAAAGATAAAAGGGTTGATTATCTGAAACACATTTACCAGGCCTTTCTAAATCTTTTATTTGATTAATGTTTCTATAGCGGAGCAAAAATTGCGAGCTTGTTGGCACATGAAGCATGACGGTTCATTTGTTTTTTCTATTTTTAGAATATCTGTGTCAGACTTCTGTTCCAGGGTCACTATGGAACAAAATAAAAAGCGCGTTATTCCGGTAAGCAATAAAATGTCTTAGTCTATTATTTATCTTCTTCTGTTTTACCTTTCAAAAGGGCAAACTGAGTAGCTTAACTTTCATTTTTCACTATCCGCAGTCAGGCCGGACGAGACATTTGCGTAATCAAATATAATATGTTAATGAGCTCGAAACAAGCTCTTGAACGAAACAGCCTAAGGGAGGTTTAGAAGCATGGGGAAGGTCTTCAGCGTCTTGGTTATTTTCAAAAGCGTCTAAATGAAGATATGGCCAACAATCAAGCCTCTTTGGTCTATAATTGCTCCTCCTCGCAAATGAAAACAACTGCGCTCCTCTTGCAAGGCCGATTCAAGTGTGGCAACTGATCGGTTTGAGGGAGAGGTTTGAAAGAAGATGAGCACGTCATTCGACGCCAAGGTTCGTGTCCATAGGCAGAGGCAGATTTAAATCTGGCATTAAAGATCATTGTGTTATATTCGATTCACGTTGGAGGGTGTAGTTTAGCATCAGAGATTGA